ATAAATAAAAAATCATGACAATTTTATTTTCTACATTTATTTCTTTTTCTTCGAGGATGACCATATCTAATCTGGGACATAATATTTGTATATATAGAAATGAAATTTAAATCTAAAATTTTGTGACAAATAAAAAAGGAATTGTCGAAATTTTTGAAAAAAGTTAGTATTATTTTTGTTGTTGTTCATTCAAATCCTATGATTTTAACCCGGTTTATGATTTATAAAATGACGCCCCATAAATAGTCATTGAGAGTGGACATCAACAACAACATTGTGTTTTGAAAATTTATTATTATCATTTTTTTTCTATTTCATTGAAAAAAAAATTTACATAATATTCATGTCATGTTTCATTTTTTTGGCGCCTGTATTACGATTATGCTACTAGCTTTGAGCTAGTTAAAATGTTCCAGATTAAATGTTTTGTCACTATGTTGAACACTTTAAGAAAAAATTGTCATTTAGCATCCATGTGTGATCCATATTTTTAGCTTAATCTTTTAGTAGATAGACTTGCATCAAACTTTGTGACATCGTGGGAAACGATTTGCACTAAATTTTTTTTTAATTGTTCATATTATACAGTTAAAAAATAATTCTCTTTTATTATTATCAAAGAGTTATTCGTTTCAAAATTTTTAAGAATAAAATTTTAAAACTTATCCACTCACACACACACAAAATGTGAGTTGTAAAATTATAAAATTTTGGAAAGGTGGAATTTTCGCTACGGTTGTTAACAAACAAAATTTGTTGTTGAAAATAAAATTATGCAAATATATCAATCATTTCAATGAATGTCATTATAGATGATAAATTTCATAATAAATTTTTTTTCTTCAATCTTTTCCTTACATTCAAATGATAAAGACAATAAAACAAACAATGTATAGTTTCATTGTCATTCCATTCATTGAATAGTTGAAAATTCAAATTTAATTTCTTTTTCTTTTTTTCAGAAATTTATCAACAGAAATAGTTGGTTGTGTGAAAAAAAAGGTGAAGATGAGGAAACTATCAACATAACAAAACAAAACAAAAAAAATCGATTCAGTTAATTATTCGATAAACTTGGATTTCTCTCCATCACTCTCTGTTTTCATGTTTGATGTTAAAAACGTTTTTTTTTGCTTGTTGAAATTAAATTCTTTGAAAAAAACGACAACGACGATCATTAGTTATAATTGAGTGTATAAAATTGTAATTATTCATCCAAACTGATAATATAATAATGGACTCAAAACAAAACAACATCACACAAAAAATTACCTAATGAAGATCAATTCACAATTTACACAAATTATATTTGATTCGTTGAAAGAAAAGACTTCAAAATTACGCAATAATTGACAATTACATTTGATGATTATTATTATTATTTTGTTGTTGTTGATGATGATGACGATGATAATGACTATTATGATGAACGCAAGATTTAGCGCCCTTTGCCGTTTATTTATCTGTGTGTTTAAAGTTGTGTTTTTCTTCATTATTTTGGGTGTTATTTACTGTTGTTTCATATTATCAATCCAAATTCATTCAAATCGAAAGAAGCAAAAAAACAATATTGATCATTATGATAATGATAATGTCTATGTCTATCTATGTAGTATTTTGATCATAACCATTGTCATCATCATTATTGTTGAATGTTTGTTTCATTTGATTCGTCTGGTTTCCGTTGTTGTTCAATTGTATCTTTTCAAATGTTTATTTGTTTGAAATTAACAATGTTTTTTCTATTGTCGTCTATCGTCTATATAGATGATCAAAAGATGATAATATTACCAATGGCAATGATAAAACCTTTTTGAATTATAATCTTCAATATGTTTTACGTCTTGTAACTTAAGAAATAAAGTAAATAATAATAAAAAACACAAACAACCGATTTGAAACATGGAAATAAATTAACAAAAAAAATTATTAACAAAAAATAGGAGGTGGCAAATGGTTGTTGATGATAATGATGATGATGATTATGATGATGATAATTGACCATGATCGACACACACGATTGAGGAAAAACAACTACAATAACATACCTAGTTAACAATGTCCGCATAATTTTTTTTCTTAAATATCTGAAAATATAAAAAAAGATCAATTATAGATCAGGTGGTGTTTTTAACAATGTTACAAACATTTTTTTTTTCTTCTTAATCAGCATTTAATCATAAGTTATTCGATTAGATATGGATAATAATATTATGTGTAGGTGGTGGGGATGGTGGTGTTACAAAAAAAAAATGTCAAAGGTGAAAATTATTGACAAGGTAAAAAAATTGCTGTCTATCATTCCAATTGGTCCCGTTTTTTCGGTTTGTTTGTTTGCTTGACAATAAATCACATGGATAAACAAAACAAAAACGTTTTTCCATTATGCAATTATCCATTTCACACTTTACAATAGGAAAAAAAAATTAAAGATTATTAGATTTATAACAGACAAAAATGAAAATGCAAAATGTCCGCCTGATAGATCCGTTCGTAGATGATTATCAACAAATACACATCACACATACAAATTAACACGTGTAGATACAGTGTATTTGATTTTTTTCGCCTTTTCTTTGACAATATATTATGGAACAAAAAAATATATATTTTTTTTACAAAATGATGAGCAAAACATAAAGATGATTGGATTGGCCGCATTTTTTTTACTTGTCTACCTCAGGACGACACATGTCAATCATTCATTTAGAATTGGATGAAACGAATTTGTTGTTGTCGTTTTTTTTGTGAATCAAAAAAAACAGTTGAAATTGGTCGCGATGACCGCGAAAAATGAATGAATGAATGAATAAATTCACCAATCTTCGTGATGATGAACTGTTATGATTTTTTTTTCATTTTTGTTTTCCATGTTGATTATGATGATGATGATCATAATAGTGATTAACAGGTAAAAGAAAAAATTTGTTCATTTAAAATGGAAATGTTTTTTTTTTCGTTCGAACAAATAAATGTTAATGATGGATAAAAATCTGAAAATAATCAATCGATTTTCTACCTGACTACTTGAATTTGATAATGAAATTTTTATGTTTTTTCCTACCATAATAATGATAATAATAATAATCTTATTTACTTAAAGCCAATAAAAAGATGATTGATCTTTTTCTTTATTTTTTTTCACATACGAAAAAGGATTTGCTACATATTTATTGATCGTAAAAAAAATTCCAGCTAATTGATTTGTTATATGGGGGAAAAAAACATTTATTACATAATGAAATTTATCAATCAATTCGATAATTTGATTCGATAATCGTTATAAACGTTTTGTTTGAAACAAACAACAAAAAGTTTTTGGAATATTTTCATCAAACTAAATTCATGGTACCATTCAGTGTCATCAATTAACTTTAGTTAAATAACACGCAAGTATTTTCTTTAAAATTTTATTGAAAAAAAAATTAAATTGATAAAAAAAAACAATAATAATTAGAATTTTTTTCCAAGGAAATTTTTTGTTTTGATACTGTTGACGCCCTGTTGATGAATGAATGTTCAATGTTGTTGTTTGTTATTTATTCATTAATCCTGCACGTAATATTCAAACGATATTGTCATTAAAGAAATGAAAAATGGTCAACTTGGACAAATGAAAATTGAAAAATATATTCAACGATCCAGAAAATTTGGATAATTATCACCTCTATTGTTGTTGTTGATGGTGATGAATAGAATGAATGAGTTTATTTTGTTGTTGTTGTTTTTTTTTGTTTGTTGAAAACAGGAAATGTAAATTTTCATCCATGTTTGACATCACATCACACATCAAGATGGAATATCGGTAGCATCAATGATGATGTTGTTGTTGATTTCATCAACGACAATTATTATTATCATCATAATCATCATCTATGTGATGAGATAAATTATTTTTGTTTTACTTTGTGTCATTTTGTTGATTATAAATTGAAATAAATAATAGTAAACAAAATTTCTATGTTAAAAAATTCATCATGTTTAAATTACAATTTACAAACATTTCATCGGCATTTATTATCATAAAATTTTTGTCAATTGTTGTCTGTCTAAAATAAAAAAAAAATCTGTTAAAATGAATCATCATCCTTTGATGATAATGATGATGACGGAAATGAATGGAATACAACAGGCAAATGAAAAAAACAAAATTTCAGATAATCAATTCTTACAACAACCTAAACACATGACATTATCATAATGTTAATCATTTTGTTTTTCTGATTATTTAATACACACACAATAAATGTCCTTACATATCTTTTAATCGTAATCGCCTGCATATGCGATAAAAAATCCTTGATATGAAAATCAAGATCATTTTGAATGGACTGAAAAAAATGTTTGATTCCCACACTGAAAAAAACTCCTAATAAACAACAACAACATAATCACACTTAATGCATCAATTCCTTCATCATTCTTTGTATTTGAAAAATAAATTTGTTGTTGATTAGAATCATTAACTGATTAATGATTCTAATGCCGGCAAATGTCAATCTATGATCATTGATTCAATCACTGACTATGTTTGAATGCAGAAAATCGATTTGAAATAAATAAACAAATATCAACGATGTGATCAATCAATTTTTTTTTGTTGAATGCTATCAACAATCTATTAATTAAATGCCTATTCTTATTTTTATTTGATTAAATCATGCCACACTTTTTTTTCTTGTATGTATGATTGAAACAATGAAGAAATACATCAAATGATCTAGATCATTTATAACCAATCAGTTAAATAGATAATTAAGGATAAATATGATTAATGTAAAATGATGTGAACATTTATTTTTGTTTCAAAAATATCAATAAATAATAAATGATTTGAAAGAATTTTCTTTCTTTTTTTTTTGATTAAGTTTTGTTGAATGAAATAAAAATTTAACGTTTTATCATCAGTCAAAATAATAATTCCTCATTGTTTATTTGGTGATGTATAAATGATGATGAAAATTATTTTTTGTTTTTGTTTTTGAAATTCAATTATTTTTGTTTTTGTTGATTGTGATTTCCACCCGTATTATTGTTGTTTTTTGTTTGTTTGTTTTCAGGAAATGACGCCAAATAAATGATAATAGTGACAATTATTGTGAAATAGTCTGTATGATTATCATTCAGATTGTCATCATCATCTTACTAATTAAAAAAAGAAAAGTATTTAATAATTTTTCGAACTCCAATAAATTGATCGAGCTGTTTTGCTTGGATAACTTGGTAAAGTTGTTGGTGTTTTAGTTGGATAATTTGGTAATGATTCTGGTTTTGTTCTATCGAATGAACTGCTACCGGTAAAACCACCTCGTTCATCATTTTGTTTAATTGCTGGTGCATTTGATGATTCTTGTTTTTTTGCTATGATTGTTCGGATATCTTCGGTAACTGGTTGAATTTCCTGTACAATTCTTCGATATGGTTTAATTATTTCACGTACTTCCTGAATGATTGGTTTCACAACACGATGACGAAGATGTTTTGGATGATCTTCTGATGTGGATTCTTCAATTCGCTCTATTTCATTTCCATCATGGTTTTGTTCAATTTGTAATCGACTTGAAGCAGATTTAAATTGCATCACTAATGGTAATGAATTGGCTCCAACTTCAATGATATAAGGTTCATTTTGATCCAAAGGAATATCAACTGGTACAATATCGATTGTTTGACGTGTTTTAACAGCCAACGGTATGACTCTACCAATTCTATTTGATCTCATTCGTTCATTGTCAAATTCATCCGAGCCAGATGAACCACCTTGTTCATATTGTTGTTGAATAATATTTTTCGATGGTGATGAATATGATTGAGCCGAGACTAGAATGATGGCCACAATAAGAACCAAAATTGTTGAGGTCTAGGATTTTTCAGTGAAATTAGTTTTTTTTTGTTGTTGAAAACATAAAATTTACAAACCTTGATTGTTTTGAACATTTTTGTTGAAAATTTGTTGTTGTTAAATTGGATTTGAAAATTTGAATTTTCTACTTGGTTGTTTGATGATTGATTCAATTGTCATGATGTCGGTTTATATAGTCATTGAATAAACAAAGAAAAAAACGAGGTTCCTTTAGTTTTGTATATTTTTGTTAACTTGATTGAATTCAGACCAAATAATATCGATGATCACCGGTCGAATCAACTGTTAAAACTAACTTTTTCGTTGTGTCACTAACGTTTTTTTTCAGGTTATTTTTCATCTGATTTTGTTTTTTTTTTCATATTACGTTCCATTTCTCATGGAACATAAGACCCGGCAGCCCCAATGAATTAACATAAACGAAAAACAAAATAACATCGATATTAGGTTTGTTTTATTTGCCTGATATCTTTATCTTTTGCAAGGTTTGTTTGTTTGTCTGTTTATTTCAACTTTGGTCGATGAAGATAAACATCAAAAATAGTGAAATAGTCTGAAAATCATTTCATTTCATACATCATAGTTTCCAATCAAAATTCAATCGAATTTTCGAAGGTCTTTTTTTTCTTTTTAAAAATAAAAATCAATAATAATTTTAAAATTTCACTATCATTAACTTTTCACTTTTATTTAGGATTTTTGTATTTTGAAATTTTTCCTACTATCTTCAAATGAAATACGGAAGAATAGTACTTTATCATTACCGCCATTTATGTTATAACATTGCTCACTTACGCGAATTTAAAAAAAAACTTGTTGATGAAATTTTAATTACGATATGATCATATCATAGTTAATCTTTATGATTGGAAAAAAATCGGAAATTATCGTGTACTTTACACTCAACAACAACAACAAAAAATGTGTCGCATGTAATCACTATTTTTTAAAAATAACAACATTTCCATTCAATTAATGATCAAACAACATTATTTAACCTAACCCTAAAAAACAAATGATATCATGATAAAAATAAATTAATAGATTTAAATTATTCAATTATAAATTCAAATTAAATGTATCAAAAATTTTATAATAAATATAAACAACAATAACATCAACAGGTGTTTGTATGGAATTTTTCAATTACTAATAATCTTGTTCGATTAATTATTATTATTATTATTAATAACCGGATTTACTGGCTGATGATCCAAATGAATTGCTACCATATGCACCGCTACCGCCACCATAAGATCCACGACCTGTTCCAACACGTCCTGTTGAACTACTTCCAACATTACTACTACCTGTTGAACCAGTAGTATCAGTTGTACGTCCACGACCCCGTGCAACAATTGTTTTAACTTCTTCTTCAACTGGACGAATTTCCTGTACAACACGTCTGAATGGTGTAATAATTTCACGAACTTCCTGTATAATCGGTTTCGTTACTGAATGTCGTAATAATTGTGGTTCATCTTCAGATTCTGTTTCTTGTATTTCACCCGCTTCTGAACCTTCATGTGATTGATGTACTTGTATTCGTGATGATGCAGATTTAAAATTTAGTATTAATGGCAAATGACCGGCATCGACATCAATAACTTGTGGTACAACATCATCTTGTGGTAGATCAATATCAACATACTCAATCACATGTCTTGAACGAACAGCTGCTTGTATTGGTCCTGAAGCGGCAGCTGAACTAGCTGAAACACCACCACTTGTACTACCAAAACCATATGATGATCCAAAACTACCACCCAATCCTAATGTTGATCCGCCACCGTAACCCCCGGAACGACTTCCACTTGAGCTTGAATATCCTTTAGTACCTCCACCATATCCACCGCTACCAGCATAACCAGTTACCTGACTAACAAACAATGTTGTACACAATATTGTAATCTGAAAATAAATGGAAAACAATAAATCAAATTAAAATTCACTTTTACAAAACCAACAACAAACTTTGCCAAGCATATTGAGCATGTGATAATAAAACCAATAAAATTATCGGATAATGAAAATGAAGCTAGTGATTTTTTTCGCTTTGTTGCTTCTTGTTAAGTTTGAAAACAAAAACAAAAACAAAATAAAAACAAATTTTTTTGATCTGAACACTGGAACTAGTTCTCGAGAATCTGATGAAGCTAAGTCCAACATTGTAGGCTTTTTATACGTTTTTGTCATTTTTGTTTTCAATTTCAAATTTTTTCTTTTCTCGCTAATCATATTCTCAAAAAATTCATTTCAAAATTGAAAACAAAGAACAAAAAAAAAGGTGAACAACTTTAATTGTCACCGAAATTAAATTGTGATTCATTTTCATTATCAAAATAGCTTAAAACAAATGACAATGCTTCAATTTTGAATCAACATCATATAGCTTGTGGTTGAAAATTGTTGAATTTTCTCATCTATTTTTTATGAAATTAATCTCCTCCTTTATGATAATTATGATGATGATGATGAACATTGATGGTCATCATAATAATCAAATGTAATCGGTCTTGTTGGGCCGAATCATTTCAATTTTTTTTTCAAAATCTTCTCTTCAATTTGATAATATAATTCAAAATTCAAAAAAAAAATTCTTGCCAATTTATTCGGACCTTATATACAATATTTAACGTTGAAAAGATTGTCATCATTACTTGATGATGATGATGATTATGAAATTATATTTCATTTTTTTCCATTATGATGATGAAGATGTTGTTGTCGTCGATCGAAAACAAAGAAGAGAGAAAAAAAATGTCATCTTTTGTTTCAGTGTCATCATCATTATATGAATTGATATCAAATTTTTTTTTACCTTTTTTCGTTGTCACCTTGCCATTGTCCTCATTCGTTCTCAATGTTTCTCGTTGTCATTTTTGTTATGTAATTTAGAAATCCAAACATCAGAAAAAAAATGATGATAAAGATAACAACAATTAAAGTATCCAAAGGGGAAAAATTCCAATTAAAATCAATTTGTAAATATAAACAATATCAATGCCGCATCATTATCATCGTGATGATAATAATGATGATATAGAGACCTTGGGTGTGTGTGTGTGTATGATGTACACAAGTTTATCCGACCTTGCTCTTGGATGTTTTTTTTGTTGTAGTTGTAGTTGTTCACATGATGATTAATTTTGATTTTCAACAGAAAAAAAAACAAATTCGATTCTCAATAGAATAGATGCGAATTTTGATGTCGATTTTTGATATATTTTTATAGTTCGTCTAACATAAAATGTACCAAAAAAAGATTTCTGAAATAAATCTGATTTTGTTTCCATTTCAAGGTAAATCCAATTACATATCTTTTCTCACAAAACATAAAAAACACTTGTTGTTCGCTCATTACAGGTGCACATTATAATCTATTTAATAGACAGTTTTCTTTGTTTGTTTCACACTTTTAACGAAACACAAACACACACACTGGCATTAGATCCAATTTAAAATTGATGATGGATATTTTAACTATGAATGAATTGTATCAATGTTTATTATCACTATTACTACTGCACTACTTTTTTTTTGAAAATAATTTGCACTATGCTATGATTGATCAATGATATCAAACTGTGGTGTGTGTCTTTGGAATCTTTTCCCTTTTGTTTTTTTGTTTTTTAAATCTTCAGATTCGTCAATGTCATTGTTTTTTGTGTCTGAGTGTTTAGAAAAATGAAAAATGTTGTTAGGATGGATCAAAAATGAATGGATAAAATAAATTGCAGCATCATCTCAACAATCATGATGATGATAATGATCTAAATGATGATACCGACAATGATGTTGTAATAAATGAATGTTTTTTCTTTTTCTTTCTTAAGCTATTTAGGACAATTATTCATAAAGCTTATCTACAATTGAAGATTCATTTGTTCATCTATGATATTTTTAAGTTTTTGATTTTTTTTTAATTATCGATGATTATTGATTATAAATAAAAAACAGTTATTTTTGTGATTTTGAAAATTGTAAAATTTATTTATTTATTTATTTATTTTAATTCAGTAATTTTTCTTTAATATAGTTGAATATTTCATGATATAATCATTATTAACATTTTGGTTATTATTATTATTTTTATCAATTTTTGTTTCATCTATTGTTTTCAATTTATCTAATTTTGCTTTTTGTTGTTTTCGTAATTTTCGTTGTATTTGATGATAATCGGAAACGGATTTAATAAATTTAAATTTTGTAATTAATTTATGATAAAAAAGACTACCTTCACTATGTTCTTCAGTTAATTTGGAATTTTGTAAATCTTTGTTCAATGTAAGGCTTTTTGTTTTATCGAAAGTAACTTTTGATAATCGTTGTTGTTCAATTGTTTTTAATTCCACTACAAAATCCTTATCATCATCATTGACATTTGAATACGGTTTTTTCGGTTCAATAACTGTTGATTGTATAACTCTATATTCTAATTTTAGGGGTTGTGGTGGTGGTGGTGATACTGGTGCTGGTGCTGGGGCCGGTGGTGACGGAGGCGGTGAGGATTGTTGATTGATTGATTGTTTTCGTTTTGCTCTATTCGATTTTGATAATGATTTTATTGTTTTCCCTGATAATGATGATGTTGATGTCACTGGTGTTGATGATGATGATGGCATTGGTGTTGATGATGATGATGTCATTGGTGATGATGATGATAATCCTGTTTTTAGTGACATTGAAGAACGTCGTATTAAACTAGGTGTTGAAGAATTTCGTTTATCTTGTTTTACCGACGGTAATGATTTTAATTTAGACTTTATTGGATAATCAGAATTTTTACTTATGCTTATATCTGTTGTATCAATAATTTCATGTTCAATTTTTGGTGATAAAGATTTCCGTATCTTTTTCTTTTTTACCGGTGGTGATGATTTTTTACCTTTTTTTGTTCTTGTTTGATTATTTTTATTCCGACGTTTTGACCAAAAACATGTAATAGTTATAATTAGTAATATAATTATAAATATTATAATTATTAATAAAGGAAACAATAATGATTCGAATGATGTTGATGGTGATATTGAATATACATGATGATGATCAATATTATGCGAAGATGATAATGATGCATCAATTAACATTATCAACATTCGTACTTAAAAAAATAAAAATAAATAAAAAATCGATGATTTGATAACGATCTTGGAAAATGGTTAATGATAGTTGTTGTTGTCGCTGATAAACACGATTACAAAATCGTAATATAAAATTTTAAAAAATGTTTTTTCCTGTTCAACCATCAATAAACAAACAAAAACAGAAAAAAAGGATCGATCAATCGATCGATTGAACAACTAAATGTTAACGGACAACCTTTCCCAATTGAAATATTTTTCGTATTTGAATTTCCTTTACGGCGATTGTTGTCGAAACTTGTTATTTTTTTTCGACATTTCGAATTTTTTCGTAATTTTTTGTTAATAAAAAAAAACAAAATCAATTCGATTGAATGGATCGATCGATTGATTGTATTAATGATGTTGATGATCTAAATATAATTTAATTCATAAAAAAAATTTCATTCAATTAAATTTTGTTTTTTTTTTCGACAAAAATGGAAAAATAAAACCGTTTATTTTTTGAAAAAATTATAAATTACATTTGGATAGTTGAAAAAAATGAAATAAATTTTTTAAATCATTTTGCCAAAAACCAAACCAAGGACTAGATTACATCATCTAATCGATTATTTGATTTCTGTCGTCGATTAAGAAACAAATTATAAAATTTGTTGAAAAAATTTTTGACATATTTGTCCTCCTACACAAAAACATGGAATCTATTTGAAACAACAAAAAAAAATCGAACCAAAGTAATTGATCCAACGATTAATTAAACGACAAACAATAGATCTATGGTAGTTCTCATCAAAAAAAAATTGATCGATTAATGATCACGATGTTCAAAATGACAAATTAATAGATTCATACAGAAGCAGAAATGAACATGATGAAAAAAAGGCCAAAATCAATGATTCGTTAAGAAAATCAAAACAAACATAATACATCGAACATTATCAATTGATAATGATTTTGATGGATCAATCAAAATAAAAAAAACAAAGAGGAGCTGATGATGAGAACATCTGCAGTAATAATAATTACGTAAGTATCGAACCATCGATAAGCTTAATCAAATGAAAATGTACTTCAAATTAATCTATTTTGTTCGAATCAAAGGAGTGATCATCATGGATCATTGAAAAAAAAAGTAAGATTTGAACTTTAGATTATTCTCTCTGTGTATAATTTGTGGTCATTTTTTGTTTGTTTGTTCGTTATTTTGACTTTTCTTGGAATTCGATTGATTGATTTTTTGTTTCATTTGATGATTTCATCCATTGACGTTTCCAACATTTTGAAGAGGAGAAAAACAAACTAACTAAAAAAAACAACTTCCTTAAGAGATGACAACCCTGTAAATGTTTTCGTTTTTTTTCTTGTTGCACTCACGTTTTATTTATCGTTTGTTTTTTAATGTCGATCCAAATGTGATGTCAAATAATGATAATTAACGCACGCGCTTATGAAAAATAAAATAAAACATTTCCCAAAAAAAAAATCATTGGTTTTATTTCAAATCAATTTTAATTACATCATTCAATTTCGATTATAAAGAATATTTCAGATAAAAAACAAGATAATTTATGAAATTCAAGACGTTAAATATGAAAGACGGAAAAGAACAAGAACAAAAAAAAACATACATAATTTTGTTTTTTTATTGAAGTAGTGATGGTTGACAAAAAAAAAATTTATCTAATGAAAAAAATTTTAAAAAAAAATGATTTGCATTCGTAAATCCAGGTGTATATAATACGTAATGAACCAATTAACAGCAGCAGCAGCAGCAGCAAAATCGGAGGCGTTGTTATTATGAGAGGATGATGAATGAAAAATTTTATGCTTGATTTTTTTTTCGAAAAATAAAATCACCACCCAAAACAAAATGGATCAGTTTTTTGTTCATATCTGAAACACATACAAAAAAAAAATTGGATCAAAAACAAAATTATTTTCTTGTTTGGTACACATAGATAAATCTGAAATGGAAAAAAATTTGTTTAAAAAAAACATTAACAAAAAAAAATGGATAGAAAAGAAAAAAAAACAAACTAAACATTGACAATTGTAAATTGAAAAAAAACAAACAAACAAAAAAAAAATGATCCAAAATTGAAAAATTTCAATGATGAAGATGATGAGAAAAAAAAACAAACAGTTAGATTAGGTTTTGTTTTCGAATCATGTTTCACATAGATGATGATGATGAAATAGGTATTATTTCAAAAAAAAAATGTAATTATTTTTTTTTAAAAATGAATAATTATAAATATATTTGTATCAATTGTATTTGGTTTATCGTTCACAATTATGTGTATGTGTGTGCGTTTTCTTTTATATTTACAACATTTGATAAATATCGCATTTTTCATTATTTATATTTTTTTAAAAAAATCATTCATTTTTTCCATGTTCATTCATATAAAGACGATGTTGAATGAGATGATGAAATATTGAAATCATGTTAAACAATCAGATATTTATCATAATTTGAAACAATGTATTTTTTTATATATAAAGGAAAGAATAAAAATAAAACAATAAAAATAAATATATCGATCAATTTCAAAATCAATTTTGTGTGTGTGTGTGTGTGTTTGTGTATATGAATAATGTGTCGAAAGTATCTGATACATTGTTATTTCTTGTTTGAATATTAAGGAATATGAAAAAAATTAGGGAATTTTGAAAGCAAAAATGAAATTAATTTAAATTAACTACATTATGAAAAAAAATCCTAATTCTGGTTGCCAATTATCATCAGTTAACATAACGTATAAATGTCATCAAAACAAATTTTCATTGATTTCCTAAATCTATTTATGGGCAATTTTCTTATACATAAGATGTTTGGGTAAGTGTTTATGTGTAGCATCGGATTTCAAAATTAAAAAAAAATGATTGATTGATGGATCGATTTGTTCAAATTTATTGATGTTTCTAAAATGAGAAGGAGAAAAAAGGAAAATGATAAAAAAGATTTTTTTTTATGTTTTGATATGATGGATAATTGTAAATCACACAACACATTGATGGTTGAAAGATGAATGTCGATCAGTGTTTGTGTAAGTGTGGGTGTGTGTGTTTGTTCGTGAGAAAAATCATTTTCAAATCATTAAATTTTAATTATTAAAAAACAAAATAAATAAATCCAAAATCTAAAAATGAAAAAAATAACGATATTGATAGGAAGCAATGGATAAATGATCATCTGCCGATTGTGGTGTCAGTTATTATTCATTCACATAACTGTTATGGAAAATGTTTTTTTTTGTTTTTTGGTTCAAAACATGAAAAAAATTCATCAATCAAATTTTGATGATGAAAAAAAACTGCAAGTTAGTAGTTAAAGGATTTATGAGTATGTTTCATGGTATTATTTGCAACTATTAGTATGAAATCAACAAATTGATAAAAAAAAATTAATTATCATCATCATCAGATGATGATGATGATGGTAAGCGACCGTACGACAATCAACAAGCAAAACATGATGACTTTTAAAACTTATTCAATCATATTCAAAAAAAATTTAAGAGAAAAAAATTTATGCACAAAAAATCAATGACTAGGATCAATTAATCAATCAAAATGGTCATCATTTTAGGTTCGGAATGTTTTTTCAACTATTTTTCTTTTTTCTCAAATAAATAAAATGAAAATGTAAACATAATGAATTCATTTTCTATCAAGAAATGTTTTGAATCACAATTAAATAGATCACATAGAAAAAATTAAATCGGTTGCAGGAGATTTGAAATATTTTGTTTCAAAAAAGATTTATGCATTTACACAAACACTTATCCAATGTATATTGCAAATAGAAAAAAAGATGGGAGAAAAAAAACGGTAAATCTCTTGATCACAATTCATGCAATCATTTTGTTCAATTTTGGAAATTGAAATTTTTGTTTCATTTTTCCTTCTCATTCAACATTCAATCGTAATGGATTGGAAATTATATTAACGTTTTTCTAATATTTGGAAATTTAACAGAAATTAAAAAAAAATCCAAATTAACAAGCAAAGGAAGGCAAAAAAAAATTACTGTTTAGTTTTGATGATCACTATAAAGCAACAGGTAGTAAACAAATAACGAACTGTTCACCACCATCATCACCAAGTCATCAATAAACACACACACACAAAAAAAATCAAATCATCATTATGTATTGAGTTTGAAAAAAAGTTTACCTATGATGATCAATATTAACACATAAAAGATATGTAAGAAACTTTGTTGTACGAAACGAAAAACGGAAGATGAATAAAATTTTAAAGTTATTTTTGGTAAGCCCTGTTGCCGATAGTCATAATTCATTTGAATTTGTGACTATAGATCTATTATTTAGCCTTTAGGAACTTTCAGAAAAAAAGAAATTATTTCGACAACATTATCGATCATCAGGTAGATTGTGATGTATTTAAAATAAATGGATCAAATGATGAAAAAGGTGTTAATTTGTAGCGGGAATTTGTAGAGATAATTTATAGTAGCAAAAAAATAATGAATTTATGAATCGGAACTTTTGGAAAATGAAAAGTATCTGTTAGTTTGTAGTTAAGTTAAACATATATAGTAAAGTTCAATACTGTTCATCAAAGGAATTCGATTTGGAGCATTTTAAAAGAAGAAATTAAAAACGAACCAATTAAGGAATGTTAATGTTGGTAATTTATCCGACATTAATGTCTGTTTTAATTTGGTAGGATCCGTACGAAAACTATCCATAAATTTTTTAGCATCATTTGATTGTATAAATTTTACAATAGCACATTTTGATTCATTATTTTGTTCAATGAATACGATTGATTCGACCATTCCATATGGTCGTGTTATTTTTCTCAATAAACTTTCACGAATATCGACGGCTAAACCAGATATTTGTATTGATGATGAAGGCTTTATAGCCTGTGTTGTCGTCGCGGTAGTTATTTTTTCGGGTGATGACATATTAGCTATTGGAGTAGGCGTTTTTAATGTTGAAACATTTTTGGCAGCCGGTGTAATTTTCGTGACTTGTGGATTAGTAGTTGATTGTTCTAAATTTTTCTCATTACAAGATGATGATTGACGTATTATAGGCGTGACATCACCACCGCTACAAACTGTTTGAAAAATCTTCCTTTTTTCCGCCCTTTCTTGAGCAATTTTTTCTCGTAAAATTTTTTGTTCTTCCATTTTTTTCATATATTCTTCATCAATACCAAACGAATCTTTTATCTCTTCAACTTTTTCGGCAATCACAGATTGATTCTGGGTTTGTTGTGTCGGTTTTTTGCCTTTCTTTTTTTTCTTTTTCCTTCGGATCGGTTTTGAACTTCGTTCTATATTTGGTATTTCCTTAGAGCTGATCGTTGATATGATAGGCGTTGAAACATTAAGCTCCGGTTTTGTTGCAAGATTTGTGTTTGGTTTAGCGGAAGTTTCAATATCTGTGGCATCTGTCGTTAATGTTTTTAGATTTCGATTTTGTACAAAAGGGGTTTGATTAACACTTTGTTCTTGATTTTTAATTAAATTTTGGGTTTTGCTATCGATATTCGATTGATTCCTTAATGTATTGAAAAAATTTGTTCTTTGTTGCTGATTATTCAAATTTGATTGATTCAATACAGTAAGATTCCGATTGGGTCTCATTAATGGAGGATCCGGCAACAAAGAATTACCGTGATGAATATTGCCGATTTTCAGTGGATGTATCATGTTGTTGACATTATGATTGAATTGTCGATTAGAATGATCCGGGAAATTATAATGTGAATTTGGAATATTATTTGATATTAAAGGTTGCTATGTGATAAATTTATGAAAAACATTATCAATGTATTTTTTTCATTTTAGATTCAAAAATATTACCTTGAAGTTATTTATTTGATTATTGGGAACCGTGTTAGTTGAAAATCCAACGAATGATTTATTTGGTGTTGATAGTGGATGACCATTGATAAATGGAGGATTTGTTACGAATGGCATTATATTAATAGGTGGTGGATTAAAAGGATTCGGTATGATAGAAGATGAAAAACCATCGAATCTGGGATTCATAAAAGAACTACAATTACCGAATGACCTTTGAAAAAAATTATTATTATTTGGATTATTGAACAAATCGGCTGTTAATATCGGATCTATTGACATATTGGATATTGTTGAAGGCAGTGACGGTGGTGGAAGTAATGATGGTGATGGCATCATCGATGGGAATCGATAAATAGGTCCAGATTTTTGACCCAATGAAGAATTTGATGATCTCTGAGAGAATGATTTTATTCAATTAGTAATTTGATTGTATGAATATATTGAACTACTTACATGAGCTGGATATTTGAATGCAGCATTTTTATCAAGCTTAAAAAATTCATTCTGTACATTGACCGATTTATTGTTATTTGGAAATCTAGGCCTTTTAAATTGGTTACGGAAATTATTTGTGCTACTATTTCTGTTTGATGTTGATTCAGTATATGGTCGTTTCAAAAGCGGTCGATTTTGGCTAGATTGATTCGGAATTTTATCATTTTCACCATTTGCCGGCGATGAATTAGATTGATTAGTAATTTCTAAATCTTTATTGAATGAAGAATTTGTTTCAGATTGTGAATTTTTATTGATTTCATTCGAATCGGATAAATTATTCGATGTGATTACATCGCCTTCAAGTAATCTTGCTTCAGCTTCGGAATCGATTTCAAAATTTAAATCATCATCATCATCATAACCATCATTTATCAGCATTTTTAACACATCTTCCTCGTCATCCATGATGAAATACAAACAGGAAAAATAAAAAATAAAAACAATTTCACAAGATTCGAATAAAAAAAAATTGAAAATTTACGAACAACAAAAAAATTCAGCTCAATAAACAAAGAAAAAAATAACGAAACGTTTGCTCTTCATAAAAGACGTTACATGTTTTATTTTTTCACAGGAAATCGTTTTACTCAAATAATTTCAATATTTTTCAATCTAAAATTATAATAATCTTATTTATTTTCATATATTTAACTTGTCTATCTTTCATGTGATCATTGTTTTTTCTTTTCACTTCACAAATCTAAATGCAAATCGATTTCGTTATTTTCCCATTTCAAATTTGTCAATAAAATATCAATGACAAAAATTTATGGAAAAATTAAAATACACCAGAAAAAATCCTAAAAATCATGTGAACAAGAACAATCGATACATATTTAAATATGAATATGATGATTAGATAATGTCACCATCTTAATGATCCTTTGCAAATAAAATTGAAGTTCTTTTTTTTTGGTCTAGGTTTTTTTTGTGGAAAATGCTATAAATGGCTACAATTCTTTACGGTCTAATTGATTATAGTTATTTAAATAATGACCTAAAACATGAATAAAGTGAAAACAACAAGAACTGATATAATGAACAAAAAATTAACGATTGGTAAATACCGCCATTGGCATCATTCATTTTGAAGATTTTTTTTGTCGTAGATTTGGTTGACACCACCCAAACGATTCTTTAGATTTACCCTGTAATTTTTTGATTTTGGTTTTTCATCCGATCTGTAAACAATCAATCGTTATATTTGTAAGAAGATTTCTTTTTTGTTTTATTATCATGATTATTTCTGCTTGTTTTCATTCGGACAGATATCGACGGTGAAATTATAGGAATGAGCACCATTATCATCGAAATTCAATTTAAAATAAATGTTTTTTCATTTATTTAAACGATTGGGTAACTATAAATTAACGATATTATCATTTGATATTACAATTATTATTTGTCATTAAGTTATTTCAGTGTATTTTAAAATCGAATCTTCTTCTATTTTCATCAGTATTTATGGTTGGAGTTTTTTTTTGCCATCAAACCATAATAATCATCGGTTCCAAATAATGAAAGATCATCATTACAATTCGATTTTTTTTTCATTTCAACACTTAACTAAGATTTAAACAGAATTTTTTATAGAACATGATTATTAGAACAATGTTCAATAATAATAATTCAACATATTTATATTTAGTTATTTCAAAAATACGGCTACAGGTAAAACCAAAATGATTATCAGCCATTGTTTGTATGAATAGGTTTTGACTAATTAGATCATGTATCATATTCCTATTATTATAATAAATTCTACGTCTATCACGAAACAATATTTTTTGTTGTGTACGAGCTTGCCATTCAATTATTAAACGTATAAATTGTTGATGAATTGTTGATAAACTTGCCAAACGTGAATAAATACCGGTTGTTGCTAAAAACATTGTCATCATTGCCATTAAAGGTTCATAAATAAACCATTCTTTTTGTTCTTGTTCTTTTGTTATCAAACAAAAAAATATGATTGAAAGTTTTGATTCCATTTCCAAAGTCATCAACATTGATCGTATTGTATGATTTAATTTCATAGTTTTATCAAAAAATATTACATAATTTTTTTTAAACAGTGGCCAATATATTCGTTGATTTATGCATATATTTTTATCTGAAAATATTTTCATCGAATCTTTCATCATCTCTATGTTGTGTAAGATAAAAAATTCAATGAAAATTAACAACCATTTTACGAAGATAGTCAATTGTCCAATTAGATAAATAAAACGCCATACACAAAGTATTATCAACGGTATTGTTGTAATTATATGAAATAGATTGATTTGTCCATTAGGATATAGATTGAAAATCATATCCAAACTCATTATTATCGCCATCCACATTGCTGCTATTAAAGATCCAATTCGAATCGTTTTTGTTAAAATATCAGCAATAAAAATTAATTTCTGTAAAAAAATTTGCGATTTTGAATTTATAATATCATCGTCAATATCTTTATATTCGATGAATAAATCATTTACTTGAAAATCATATGTTATAACATCATGAAATATTTGAAACCAGGCTATTTCAAGTAATGAATAGCAGATAATTCCATAACTTAATACAGTACCAACATCATAATTGTATAATCTTTTCATATAATCTACGTTTACCGGATAAGTAATTATTGAAAATAGTCTGATACAAGTTAGATATATAATAGTTGTCCAACATAATGATGTGAACAAAATTGTTCTTGAATATGTATGAAAATTCCATCGTATTTTGCGTTTTTGATAATCATCCAATGTAAATTCCAAACGAATGACAAAATATTTCATTGATTCGAAAAATTCTTTTGTCAATTTTCGAATGACATTCTTTTTCAATGATTGTTGATATTCGTTAAATTTTTTTATGAAATTCGTTTTCATCATCGTTTGACATTTACGTTGAATCGCATTCATGATAAAACTGAATTGAAATTTCTTTTTTTATGGCAAAAATTTCTCGTTGATCATTCAGTATTCATTAATGATAATAAAATAATTATAATTTTTTTTGTACATTTCATCTGTTTTTTGGTTCATTCAAAGAATCAAATTGAAAAAGAACAACCTAATAACCAAATTTTTTTGATTAAAATCAAAACATTTGCAGATATTCTGATTTCATTTTTTCAATCAATGATTGGCTTTCTGTTTGCATAGATTGTTTGCAAATTGCAAAATGTTTTCCCTACAGTTTGTTTCCTGGATGAATCAATAATAGGAAAAAAAGGACTATGAATTTTATTTTCAAAGTCAAGTTAATTTTAGAATTTTAATGAACAAAAAATTCTATTAAAATCAAGTTTTTTTTCAACGAAAATTAGAAATTTTGTATACAATTACCATATAGAAACATTGTTATCATTTAGTTATTCATGGGCGCAGATATAGTCAAAAACTCCATTACAAAAAATCAAAAATGAAAAAAATATTCTTTCGTCAAAAATCAAATGTTATGTGAGAAAATTTCAAATTTTCTCATACATGAAAACGCTTAATATAACGCCCAAAAAATCAATCCCCGATTTCTCTATTGACAAACAAAAAAGATTAATTAAATAATAAATTAACGGTTACAATCAATCAATCAATCAATCAATCATGTGATCATTAGATCAAATTTATTTGATTTTTTAGCAATTGCCAAAAAAAAAACAATCATTATATTCAAATTTTTATTTCATAATAATAATATGATTGTATTTGATCACATTGATTCTTTTTTTCTCGCAAATTATGATGTGTATATGATTTGAAATAATCATTTTGATCCAATAATAATAATCAATAGTTATTTGTTCTTGTTTGTTTTTTGATCGGATTGAAATTGAACAATTTTCGATCATTTTATTTCATTATATTCACATTTTGGAAACAATCAAATTTCGATTTGATCCAATTTTTTTTCTTATTATTCCGCTATCCTAAAATTGCCATTTACATTGTAAAATCCATAGATTCATATTTAAGATCATTGAGAAAAATATGACTTTTTATTAGTTTGCCTCCCCCTCCAATGTGATTGATTGATCGATCGATTTTTTTTGTTTCACTGAAAACAGGCGTATCCGATTTGTTGTTGTGTAATCTATTAGTCATTGTTAATTCATTAATTAGTATTAATGATAATTATTTTTGATGAATAATTAAAATTAGATATTAATTAATGGAATCAAAAAAAAAAATAATAAAACAATCTTGGAAAATTTTTTTCAGGAAAAAAAAATTTGCTGAAAATTGTCCGGTAATTTTTTACTTTTTATATTCAAGTTTTTGAATAACAATCTTCTTTTTTTCCAGGCAAATTTACCTTGATTTCTAATTACTGAAAAAAATATCCCAAAAGGATAATCACCTTAGCATTTTTGACTCTCTTTTTTTCAACAGATTCTATAATAAAATAAGTTTTTCTTGATCATCGTATTAATAAGAATTAAATCATTATATTTTCTCATTCAAACAACATTCATTGATGATAATGATGATAAAATAAATGAACGTAAAAATTCATTCGAGCATAAATCGATTAACCACAAAGAAAAAAGATTGTTTTTATTTCTTGCTAGAACAAAACAAAACAAAAACAAAAAAGAGAGAGAGAGAGATCAAAAACAACCTCAATCACCAATCATTCGAAACCGATTTGATCAGATTCATTTGTGTCAATTTGATCGATTTATTCATAATATAATTTTGATCTGTATGACGATTGGAAAAAATCGAATCCGATTGTTACATTTGTTGATTTTTTAAACAATAATTTTGCTGATTATGAAAATAATAGACATTTTTTTTGTAACGAAAAACAAAAACTTTTTTTCCAAAAAAAAGAATATACAAAAAAAAACAATGGAAAATTATTTTAAAAATGAAAAAGAATATGTTAATTTAATAGACAGTGTATATAAACAGAATGAATGAATGAATATTTTTTTTTTCAAAGAAAGTGTATCTTTAGATTCATTATTTTCAATATGATAATTATGCATTTAACCTTTACACTTTTTTTTTGTTTCATTTATCGTTGAGAAACAAACAAACATTTTGTTTGCATTTTGATTTCATTTCATTTTTTTTTTGCCACATGATTCTCACTTGATCGACTGAAAAAAAATGTAATTGTGAAACCCGTTAATAATAATGATGATGATGAATACAATTGATCTATTGATCGATATTCGATTGAATTGGAAATTTTTTGTTTGTTTTTTCATTCGATAATAAATGTGTGAATCGTATTGATTAGATTGTGGTTCATTGTTTTTTTTATTGTTATTGTTAATTTATGAAAGTGTTGATAATATCATCATCATCATCATCATTATTATCAACACGATTGAATAGTTTGGCCAAAATGAATTAAAATATCAATAAAATCATCAATGATTTCCATTATTTTCGATAATGACAATAATAATAATGATGATGATGATGCCGTTATTGTTGTTATTGCCAAAAATGATTTATGATAATTTTACTTTTCGTATTCCAAATTTATCCAATTAAACACTTTTTGTTTTGTTTTTGTTTTTCTAATGAATTCTTTGTATTTTCTTCATCATCATTTCATAATTCAAAAATAATACTGATATTGTTCTCAGGGTCTTGAACGAAATTTTTCATATATATTTTTTTTTCATTCGAAGAAAAATTCATTCAAATGGAACAAAACCTGAACCTGAATGAAAACGAAATGTGGACACCGAAACACACACACACACGCATAATTCACATTTATATAAATACTTTACACACATAATAGATTTTTGTTGTTGTTGTTGTTATTGTTCCATTTGTTTTTCATTCATTATTAGCTAAATGATTATTATCAAGACCTTTTTATCCAATATTTAATATTTCTTTCTTTCTTTCGTTACCTTCATTTAATATTAATTATAATAATTTTTTTTGAATTCAAAAATGTTAAAAATAAATGTTGATTACGTTGGTGGTGGTGATGGTGGTGTTTGGTACGTGTTATTGTTGATTATCATTTTAGTTTCGTATATGACAATACTTTTTTTCTTGATCCAATTTATTTTAACAAAGTTATTACGAAATATATAGTGGTGGTGGTCACTCATTATCAGTCGTTTACTTAATTTTTGTTTTTTTTTCGTCATTCAAAATCGTAATCGCACGTTCTCGTATTTTTTCGGTCCATTTAATAGCTATTTAGTTTATTATTTTGTTGTTTCCTTCTTTATCTTGATTATTATTATGTGACGACAACATACAAACAACAACAACAACAACAACAACAAAATACGAAATGAAATTCCGGACAGATAAGATCCGTTATGGTGGAAAAAAACCAATGCAAAACAATTTCAATTTCAAAAGATCATTCATTCATTCATTCGTTATTTGAAATTCAATGCTGAATAGACTGAATTTTCTTTTTCTTTTTTCGCGCTAAACAAAACTCTTTGTCTCCCAAAAACACATTGCTTTCATTTTTTTTTCTTGATGGAAACGTACCGAAAATTCAACAAATCCATTTTTTTCGGCTCCATCATAATCATCATAAATGAAGAAAAGAAAAACAGAAACATTTTTCTCTCATTCACACACACACAAACATACCAAACAATCGAATCACTTATCAATCTTTTTTTGCCGAGGCCAACTTGTTGATTGTATTTCATTTTCGTTTGCCATTCTTCTCAATCATCGGTTTCTTTGGGTTTTTTTTTCTTCTTCTTCTTCAATGTATGTAAATGTCATACCAATTGATTCGCTTTCTCTCTTCATTTTCATCACTCTTTCCGTGTAACAGTGAAAACAAAAATTCATTCATTCTCTTTGTTGATCATCAATGTTGTTGTCGGTTTTCTCAAGTTTCAAATTTCGATCCATTTTGTTGTTGTGCGGTTGTTGTTTTTAATATTTTTTCTTCCATATAATATAATGGTATCACTTTTAGATTGGTTATGTTTTTTTTTTGAAAAAGTTTTTTTGATTTAATCATTATCATCATTAAAGTTTGCAATTGTCAACATTGTTATACAATCATTCGATTTTTTGTCGAAGATTAATAAGAATTGATCGATTTTCTATAATTTTCTGTAATTTTTATTTTTCTGTATCAAATTTGTTGTTTTTTTCAAATTTTAAAAAATAAATATATCAAAGTAGATCTTAAAAGAAAAAAATCAACGAAATTTTTAATGATTGATCGATCGATCGATTGATTGTGTTGAAGAATCTATTGTCGATTTCTCAAATAAATAACATTTTTATGTTTTCATAATAAAACACGTTGAACTTGTGAATTTGTTTTTTCCTTTTTGTTATTGTCGTTATCGGTGTTCAAATACAAAATTCCCGAAACAAATCCCATATTTGCATCACACACACGTGCAAACACATATTAATTTTCATCATCAAAATAAATCTTTTTTTATGCTAAAAAATATCATTTCCGAATTTATGACCTTAACAATGAATATCTCTTAACATTATAATGTTATTTTCATTCAAATTATAATATGGATGATGATCATGGAAATCATCAACATCCCATCATCATCATCATTATGATGGCAAACCAAATATTAATGTTTTCCTCAACATAATAATATTATTTCATTTTATTGTTGTTGTTGTTTTTTTTTTTTGATTTCATCAATGTAATTTCATTATTTATTAAAAGAAGATCCACAAAGTTTGTGTGTGTGTGTGTATTTTAGTGCAAATACTAATGAAATCGTCGACGTTATAAATCAATATCTATTTCACGTGTCTGACATTTAATTTTCGTTGTTTTTTCTTTGTTGTTTTTATTTCCGATCTTGTTCACAAAATACACCCACATTCATTTGCATCATCATTGTGGTTTTCCGAATAAAATAACAACAGCATTTACTGCTGGGAAAAAAAATCTTGCTAATTGAAAAAAAGTAACGTGTTTTTTTCTTCTTCAATCATTTCACTTTCTAACGTTTTAAATTTCAAATAAAAACAAAAAATCATTCCGAAAAAAAGTTCCCGGATGAATTTAACCAGGTTTAATTTTTCTTGTTCCAATCAGATTTCATTCTCTAAAATAAAAATGTTTCGACCAAGTTTTCCTTTCTTGAATAGAAAAATGACTTTATTATAATTATCTGAGTTGTTGTTGTTGTTGTTGTTGTTGTTTCAACAAACACATTTTACAATAATTACAGTTAAATTTTTCTCATTGTTTTCGGTTATTGTTTTTTTTCTTTGAATGTTTTAGAAGAGTGTTACCGGTCAAGCCTGTCTGCTTGCTTGACCGACCGAATTGAACAAAGAACAAAACCAAGCTAATGATTGACTATATAACTAATGAGTTTTCCTTTTCCTTTAAAGGGTTTTTTTTCTGTGATAAAATTTCAAATCAATTTCATTTTTAAACGAAAAATTTTGCGAAAAAAGAAAAAATTCAAATTTTTTTTTGTACCAGAAATTTTTATCTTTTTTTCTTTCTCAAATTAAATTTTAGACCAAATGTTTTAGTTATTTCCATTTTCGATCGCATTTTTTTCTATGCATGCATAGACAAAAATAAGAACGGAAAAAACCATTCGATAAAACCTGTAACACATTACATGAATTGTCCAATGTCCAAAAGTTGTTGTTGTTTTTATTTATTCAAATCGAATCAATCTCGAATTGATTTTTGTTTCTTTTTCTCTCGTTTCTTTCTATATAGTCAATCAAATAAATCAAATAAACAATCGAATCACACTTGATCAGTTGATTATATATCCAAAGCAAATAATAATAATAATAATAATTTGAAGGTGAATACAGGTTGTAATATCCATCATACATATAACGCAACAACAACAACAACAACAAAAATCAAATGAAATTTTACTTTCAAACAAATCTTTCTTTTTTGAATTATGATGTCAATATGCACTTGTCACAATCTACAACAAAAGATTTATTTTTCTAAGAAAAAATCTAGATCAACATTATTATTATTATTATTATTATTAATCCACATAGAAAAGCTTTTTCAAATACAAATTTTGTTTATTTTATCCATATAATTTGCGATAATAAGTATTATATAACCAATGTTACATAACGCACAAGTGTCATTAGATCAAGCACTAATGATAATCAATTAGTAATGAACTTTTTTATCAACAGTAACCGACAAAAAACAAATGAAAAATTGCCACCAAAAACAAACTTATCCAGGTGTAAATTTGATTATGTAAATAAAAATACCGCACACGTTTTTAGTTTTGTGTTTACCATTGATAGTTGAAAAGCTGACTAATTTAATTTTGTTGATTATTTTTTTCTGAAATAACAAATTGGATATTTATTTTCACCGCCTATAGGTTTCTCTCAATCACACAAAAAAAAAAATTTTCCTTGACAAATCAAATTCAATGTCCAATGATGTATCCATTTCATTTTTTTTTGGATCAATCCTGTTTGTGAATGATAATTTTGTTTAAACATTCAAAGGTCTGATACATTTATCATTATTTTTTGAAAATTTATTAATCATTTTGTTTTGTTTTTTCAGTTAAAAATGAAAATTTTATGCAAATTTATTTTGCTGCTATTTGCAGCCATTATTGTATCATCGGAATCAAGATTATCATCATTAATTAACACTACAGAATCTAATCATCCTAATCACAATCATTATTATAATAATCATCGTTTTAAAAATAATGATAATCATTATATAATTGATAATAATAATAATGATAATCTTACATCTTCATTGTATCCGATGTCGATAAATACAACTGATATTTCAACGGATACTAATTCGACAACAACAACAACAACCCCTACAACAACAAATCCTGTGATCAAAGATCTTGATATTGAAGAATCAAAAAATCATAATAAAAAAAATAATAATGTTAATGTTCAAAATCATTATTGGAATGAAACTTTAATTAATAATAATAATAATAATTCTAATTCAAATGAAAAATGGTCATCACCAGATGTTAGTAAACTGTCACCATTTTCATTGCAATCATCATCGTCATCATCATATCCTAAACCGTCATATCATCATAATTATAATAATAATAATAATCATCATCATCAACATCAACAAAATAATAACAACCAACAATCATCTGATTATTATTCAAATCATTATTGGCCATCCGTACAGGTTATAATCGAAGATAATAATGAAATCCGATTGACCAGTAATAATAATAATAATCATCATCATCATAGTGAACATAATAATCATCATAATAATGATTATACGAAACTTTCACATGATGATAACTATCAACATTCTAGACATGATACAACAATGATACCAACTACAGTAAATAATGATGGTTTTGATATTGATGTCAATAATCTGGATCAAAAAAATCAACCACAATTTCATCATCAACAAAAACATCAAGAACAATCAGAAGAAAATCCATTTGCTAATTTTTTCAAAAATATTAACCAAGATTTTCTCAATGATTTCAATTCGATCGATTCGAATGATAATCAAAATGATCATTATCAACAACAACAATCTAGTGGTATTAATATTGATCAATTTCAATACCTGAATGATGATTTGAATAATTCCTTGCAAAATAGTGATGAAAATGAATCGAATAAAAAATTTGTAAAAAGTATTCAACATCCAACAAGATTTTTGGAACCTAAATTAATTAGTCCAAGTAAAATACCCGATGTTTATTTGCCTCAACAAGATTCATCATCACCTAAACAACAACAACACCAGGAATTAGATAATTATGTTGATTATGATGTTCCTAAAAATGAATTCACTACCGGTGATAAATATCAATCTTATCATTCACCCGAAAAATCATTAATGGTACCAGTTGGTGAACGTGTGCATTTTGTTCGTGTTAATGATAAAAATCAGCCACAATCATCTAGTATTGTAAGCAAATTAGATTATAATAAAAATGAACCATATGAACCAAGTGTTATTGAATTACCAAGTAGTCAACCTGTATTGCCAATCGTATTCAATTTCAAAACAAAAGCATCACCGGTTATAGCCAAAACTACACATAAACCATCTCCTCAATCGTCTAGTGTTCAATATTTTGAAACACATGAACCACCACATTATCGTGAACATACCGTACATAAACCGGTCATACAAGATTTTCATGAAATTATCGTACCATATCGTGTATACATACAGGAAATACAACCTGTTAATGAATTTCATCATACAATAGTTTCAACAACTCCTAATGAATCAAAAACTTCATCATCATTACCGATGAATCCGTATAGTTCATCATCATTATCATTATCACAATCATCGGCTTCTACAAAAAATCCAAATCCTTTTCAAAATTTCATTGATCAACATCAGTATAGCCATCAGTATCAACGTCCATATTCTTATCATTCTCATCAACAACAAAAACGTCCACACTATCAATCTTATAATCATTTCAATCAGCTACCAATGAATTACAATCCATTTTTAGCGGCATCACCACCAACTCCTACTATGGAAATGACCAATCATATGACCAAAGTGCCTGTTTATGCACCGATTGAATTTAATCCTATACATCATTCGTCGCATAATCAATGGGGTCATAATGATCATTTGGTTCCAATTTTTGGCAATTCACAACAAATTCCTTCCGTCATTGATTTTTCAACTGCTTCAAATCTATTATCGAATAATATTTATGCAACAACACATCAACTAGGAACAGCAACGCCGAATCATCAAAAATCTACAAACCATATAAACAATTTTAATCATTTCAATTTTTAATTATTTTTTTCATCATAGTTTTTTTTCGAAAATTTTCATATATTAATTATTGTTCTCATAACAATTTACAAGATAAATGGAAATTTTCTATTTTTAAAAAATTTTGTTTTTTGTTTTCATTCAATTGTCAACAACACTGTGGTATTACATATGCATTTGGATCGTTGATGAATTCAATATCAGCCAATGTAGTTACAACGGTCATTCCATTTGTTTCTTTTGGATCATATTTACCTGTATCTGAACCGGAACGATTCACAATAACTGTTCGTATTCCAACCCTTTCAGCTGCACGTGCTTTACGTGGATCATCCGTAATGTATAATAGATTATCCGGTTTTGGTTCTCGTAATGCTGCCAATAAACCTCTAAATTTATTCGGATCAAATTTATAACCACCACTTGAATTCAATCCATTCGCAATGTAACGATTTAAATCACCAGCAGCTGTTGTACGTAAAAATTGTCGCTGTCCTTCTACCGGTCCGGATGCATATGAATAAATCTTGATAAATTCTTCAAATCGCCAATAATGAAATGCATCGATAACATCTGGATAAATGTCGGCTTTTAATTTACCAGTTTCAAATGAATTTGACCATAAATCTGTGCAAAGTTTTTCCATCTGTGTTCGAAGTGCGGGATATTTACTTTCTAACACCCATTGTAAACCATTGATAGTCGTATTGATTATTTCATCGGGTTTATTATCAGCGTTTGGTTCCTCAATATTCGGTATATTCATGCCAGCTTTGCGATCAATCTTTAACTGTTCCCACATTCGTCCGACTATTGTTCGTGTTAATTTATTTTCCCAATTTTGTCGAACATAATCACCGATATTATCTTTTGCAAATTTTTTTAAATGAGTAACAAATGTCCAAGGTGCAATAACACCATAAATATCAACTAAAATATTATTTGGTTTTCGAACTTGTTTAGCATTTGGTCCAAAATTTTGTTTACGACGTTGGCGTTCTTGTCGAACAACACCATCAAAACCAGTAGCTGATTGTTGTGGTTGTGTTGCCTCTTCCGTAGGCAAAGATTTCATTGAATCTTCTTCATCACTTAAATTCATTTGAGAATTTTTTTTATAGAATTATTGATCAAATGTACACATTCATGCATGCTACATGAACTGAACGAATTTAAATCGGTAAAAAAGTTGATTTTAATAAAATTACATAAATAAAATTCTTTTTTTCAAATAAAAAAATGATTCAATTATCGTGTAGCTTTTTTTTGTTGAATAGAAATTAAATTATAATTTTGCAAAAAGATTGGTTTCCATTCTTGATTTCTTTGTTGACTTGTATATTGTTGTTATTGGCTACAATAATGATACATTAATTGATTATAATCGACTTGAATAATTACGATCATTTAATGGTTTAAGATCGAATTCACCATGATCACCATGTAGTTTACCATTTTCGAGATCAGTCATTGAAAATCGTTTAACAGCTGTTTGTTGTTCATTATTAACATCTAAATCTTTTTCAATGTTGATTATGATTTTAATCCAATAATAAAATGGACGTTCAATTAATATATAAAATATATAGGCAACGGTAAATGCAATGACAATATCGGATATATCATTCGTCAACTAAAAGAAAACAATCCGAAATAAATATTAATGAATCAAAAACAAATTCGTTGAAAACTGGGTTTACTTACGATTTCAACATTAGTCAATGGTGATGTTTGTTTTTTAGTCAGTTGTCTAAAACTTAATATTGTTATATGATTTAGATAGGCACCAAATGCTAATTTTCCAATTGGTCGTATCAATGATATTGTTATTGCTTGATTGAATGCCTCTGTTACAAAAAAAAAAAAATGGATTTATAATTTACATTGAAACATTAAAAATAAACATTGAACATACTTGCTCTTCCGGTACTACAGGAATAAATGATCCAACCGAATCCAAAACACCACATAATTTTACTCAACAAAAACCATGAGATAAAACTAAATTGTGAAAAATTTCCTTTTAACGGTTTAAATGAATCATTCCATTGTGAAGAAATTACGGGCAATGCTAACATGCCAATCCATAAGGCAATATTGGCTGCTCGTTTTCCCAGATCAATTTTTGGTTTACAACGAATTAGATAGCCAATAAACAAACCAATAACAAATACAACAATCAATTGATCTGTTGCCGCATAGTAATGGATGAATGATAATTTTGCTTCACTCACTGAAGTAATTGTTGATATTTCATATGGTGTAACGGGTAAATTGTAAACAATTTTCGGTAATATACTAATTATTGTTCCCAGGATGATTAACGTAATGAAAACGATGTAGCCAAAATATTTATGATTTAATGTATATAATATGAATGGAGCTGTAAGGCTCATATAGAAAATTGCGCTGAATATAATGCTTGGACTTAGACACTGAAAAAAATAAAGTGAAAACATAAATAAATTAGTTCAAGTGATTATCATCTATCAATGATTATTATCATAATGTAATTAATCAAAATCTTAAAATATACAACATAGAAATTATAATTATGCATACCACTTTTTCAAATGAAGATTCATAATTATTAATCAATAATAATGTTTTCCATAGATTATTTTGACATGGTTCAACATAAAGTGGTGTAAAATAATGCCAAATTGGTCCATCACCCAACAATGGCATTAAATATATTAACAATATTGGTCCAATTAATTTACGAATTATGCTTAGATATCGATTTAATACAAATTTTACATAATTTATAAACGATGGTTTGATTTGTGATTTTTGTCCACAGATATTGAATGCCAATATGATTGCACTATATTTAATTTTCAATAACAAAAAAAAAACAGTTTAATAAATAATTAATGAAACAATTTTCTACTAATGATAAATACCTTGCCAACACATATGTACTGACAGCAAATGAACTACCACGAATAAAGAAAAATTTTTTAGCTGTAAAATATTGATCAGTCAAACCGTTCAATGCACGTTTAATATTGATTAATCCATAAAATATTGGTAATACATATGAACGGCCAATGAATTCCATTATAACAAAAAACAATGTAATTGTATCGATTGAACATAAACGTTTTTCATCATCCTCAGAAGCCATATCCGAATATCCAAGTAAATATCTTGTATTTGATAATGCCGAAAATGTTAACAAATATGAATTATATTGATTTTTTTTAATTTCATTTTGATCACGAAAATTATGAATATAATATTCAAATCCAGTACAAGCACCGACCAATAGACAAAGACTAACCAAAATGAATCTAAATTCAAGAAAAACAAAAAAAAATTAATATCCAAAAGTTTTTTTGATAAACAATTTGTTTTCACTTTCACCGCAAAGATTCAAGCAAACAAACAAATAATGACAGTTTTATTTTCCCAAATTATTCAATTATTATTTGGAATTCAGAAAAAAAATTGAACATCAAATAATCATTTTGTTCACATGATTTGATCATGGTCAAAATATAATTTGAGGAAAAAAAATTGAATGGTCAAGATCAAATGGGAAAAAATACATATAATACTTACATTGAAAAACGTTGATGATTATTCAATTCAATTTCCTGGCTTTTATATGAACATTCTTCTTCGATTTCGATACGTATTGGATTGTTTATCGGTTGTAAAACTATTCATTTTTTTTTGGGATATTGATAAATAATTGATTTTATTGATTTATTTTAATCGAAAAAATGTTTCAGAATTGAATACCAAAAATAAATAATAATGTCTCTCGTAAACAATCAATAATAATCGTATTGGCCATGATCATCATCATCATTCAATGATAACTATATGATTTCCAACAAAAAATCACATATATTTGATGATGATAATTGGTCATTTTTATTGATTCTATCCATATAATTGTTTCCCTAGAAACTAACACGTATTCAAATTTTGAATGCATATATCACCGTTTTGGGGAATTTTGAAAATTTGTTTAATCCAACGGTATTGGATCGATGATCGTAAATAGTCGATCCATTTCATGGTCATATGAAATGTTTTGTGTTTGTGCGTGTGTGAATTTTTTTTTTTTGTTCACTTTCTTTCATTATCATCTTTTAGGACAGAATAATTTATGACCTTTATCAGAAAATAATGATGATGATGATGATGATGATAATGGTCATTTGATTGAACCAAAGTTAAAAATGACCATGTCTTGTTTAGAAAGAAACACACCTGCACACAAACATTTCAAAACTTTTCATTTTTCTATCAATGGCGAATCTACCTGTCCAAAATACCTAACCATAATATCATTGATGATGATGATTATGGTGACCTTTATTGTCATTGATAATGGGTTTGCAATAAATAACAATCATTTTTTTTTGAACAAAATTTCAATTTTTTCTCAATGACTTGAATGACTGATTCCTATCTGTTCTAACAATTCTATCTCTATTTATTTTCTAAATACTGATGATCTAAAGATCAATGATTTAAAAGTTCAAAGTTCATAAGTTATTCTTTAAATATGAATAATGGAACATTGCTTACATTTATTTATGGCACGTTCCAATTCGAATGAGCTACAGGTAGATGGAAAACATAAACCAATTCGTAGATTAGAACCATTAAACATATTGAGCATTTGTAATAGTTTGAATTTATTATTTGAATAATCAAAATCACGATTTATACGAGCATATAATGATTTTCGACCATTATATGTGAAAAGATCATCAATGCTTTTTAGTTGATAATTTTGGCTAAATTCATCATTTAATGTTGGAAATAATGGACTTAAAAATGGTAAACGAATTTTAGCTAGACAATATTTGCCACGTATATCATTCCATTTAACCATTGGTGATTCAATGTTAATACATTCTTCATATACACCGAACATTGACATTACACCTTCCAGTAGACCGGATGGTAAAAATTCCATTGAATCGATAACTATTTAACAAATAAATAATGTTAATAATTAAAAAAAAATCAAATTTCATTTTTGTTTTAGTACATACATTTTAATGGCCATAATCGTCGTTCTTTTAGCTCTAAAAATAGATGATTAAATGATGCTAAACAATATGGTGAAATTTCAAGATCTTCAATAAATTTCAAAAATGTTTCATTCATTTTTGCTTGAAGTTCAGGTCCAAATTGTGCTTGATCACGAATTGATTTTATTCCATTTATAAATTCTTTTAATTGTTCTTGTAGACTAGTACGTACACGTGATAATTGTGTTTTATAATAATTTACAGATTTATTAATCACTTTTACTTGTAATAATTCTTTTGGATCAATTTTCGGTAATCCAGGATTGAATTCAAGTGATGGTGATTCAATATCATTTCGAATTCTTCTATGAATTTCATCATCATCATTTATTGATTGACAATGACTTAGCAATAATGTTGATAAAAGTATTAAAAAAATTAAAAGAAAATTTTGATTTAATGTTGATGATGAAATTAAAGATGAAAATTTTTTGAGATTCATTTTCGTTTCACAGACGAAATTCTTCAATAATATTATGAATGAGTTGAATCGTGGATGAATTTGGAAGAAGAATAAAATGAATGAAAGAAAAATCACATCGAAAATTTTTTTGATGATACGTTTTATGTCTATTGTTCAAGCTAACTATGGGAAAAGACAAGAATAAAATTTTAAGTGAGTAAAAAATTTTGAATAAATTCAAAAAATCATTTGATTGATACAATGCTAAATACATTAATCGAATGGCTTTTTTCAATGAGTTCAAGTTTGGGTAAGATATGGGATAGTCGTTTTTTTCATTTGTTCACTACCATTGAATTTCAAACAAAATCGATTTATAGATTTCGATAATCGTTGGTTGGTTGTATTCGTCAAAATTTCTAAGAATACACGTTGGCAACATAAACATTTCAAATATTATCACATCAAAATTGAAAGGAAATTTTTTTGTATTGATTGTCCTTAATCGTTTGTAAATCAATATCGTAAAAATATCACAAATATGAGATAAGAATAAAAATCACTCGAACTTTCTTATATATGATAACACTGAAGAAACCATCATCGGCCAAATTGATTGTTATCATCATAATTAAGCAAAATTAATCAATCAACAAAGATGATAACGAACTTAATCTTCATAAATCAATTAACAAAGATAATTTTGCGTATGTAAGCGTTTGATGGTGACACAATAAAAATCAATTTTAGACCAATAAAACAAAAAAAATGTAATTGAAACCCGAATAAATGGCAAAAAAAAAAGATGAATCAATATTTAGTTTTGAAAGAAAAGATTTTCGAAATATAAACTATCACTATTTTTCGATGTTGAATGAATTGGGATTCATATCAAATAATCATCGAATAACGACCAATATAACCATGATGAATGAGATGATCATCATTTTGTTTTTCCTCTTTTTTCTTATCATTGATTATTTATTTATGATTAATAATATATATAGAAATACAATGAATGATTTCGACGACAATTTGTTTGATGTGTGGTGATCATCATCATCATCATCATCATCATCAACAACATCTTTATTGTTTGTGTCATTGTTGAGAGAGAAGATAGAGAGAGAAATAAAAAAATTGAAATTGAATTCAAATTCAATTTCATTCATGGATATTTCATACTGATCATCAAATACTATTATTATTGTCTCATTTTGGCATGAATCTATATATAAACATTCACACCATCCATTCATTCATTCATCCACGGTCACCACCCCTGTGATCATAGCAGTGAAAAAAAAGATGATGATAATTTCAAATTTATTTCCCTTATTTTCATTGTCAATCCATTGGGTTTTTTTCTCTTTCTTTTTCACGAAAATCAACAAACAAATTATTTAACAAAACATTTCATTTGAATCGATTCAATGATATAGATTCTTTCATTGGAATATAAATGATTGGGATTTTTTTTTTGAAAAAGGAAAACAAAACAAAAAAAGTTTCAATCGATTTTTGATGTGATGATGACCGAAGTTTTAAAGAATCGATCGATGATTGTTGTTTGTTGATAATTTTATTTTTTTTTAAATTAAAAATTTTTGGTTGGGAAAATTGTTGAATTTTGTTATTATTATTAAACATTTAAATGTTTATAATCGAAACTTTGTTCCTTCCTTTATTCGTGTTCCTGTTGTTGTTGTTGTTCCTACTCTATTACATTTGCATCATCATCATTATGATAACATACATAATGATTTGATGAGGACAACAAACAAAAAATTTTTTATTTGTTTGTTTCGTTCACAAACAATGATAACAACAACAACAAAAAATTGTCAATTGTTGTGTTAAGATAATCATGATGATGATTATGATCAAAATTGTCCAATGTCATCATCAAATTTGATCATCATTAAATTTTACTTGATAATTTTCATTCGATGATGATGATGAAATTAGCCAATTCCTTGACAATACTATGAAGAAAAACAAACAAACAAACAAATTTTCATTTGATGGTCAAATGTCCAGATCATAATCATCATCAGCAACAGAACAAACAAACAAAAAATGAAAAACGATTTTCCGTTTTGTTTTCAGATTTGAATAAATGAAAATTATCAATTTTTTTGTTTTGGAAATTGATTTCAAATTTCAATTTAAATTTTCATTCACATTGGACAAAAACCAAATCGATCAAATGGATAAAACTGTAATGACCACTGTAATTATGAATGGATCGAAAAGAAAAACATTTGTTTTGTCTTCATCTTTTTTTTTTTTGTTTCATCATTTAGTCTGAAGGATTTACAAATCATCATTCATTATTTTTGCATCATATCTTATATTGAATAATTGTAATCATTAGGCATTTAAGATTTTCATTATTTTTCAGCCTCTCTTTTATTGATTGGAAATTTGTCCAGTTCAAAGAACTAAGCGATAGAATGGGAAATTCTATAGAAAACTTTCTTCAATGTACCGATGATGAACAAATGAAATGTAAAAAATTCTATTCAAATCAAAAAAAGAATAACTCAAGTTCAACAACATTTTTGTTTGTTTTTTGAATAAAGATTTTAAAATTTCAGACAAAAATAAAATTAATGTTAAATCTGATATCGGTTGAATCGTAGATAATTGGCTAGGTGCCCTGATCAATGATCGATAAATGGAAATTTTTTTATTCAAATAATAGAATAACGTCCTTTGACATTATCATTATCGATAATAATAATGTTATCCAGTTGCTATTTTTTGACAATTGTTATTTGATTTTCTATTACTATCAACAACAAAATAGATCCATTATAAAATGGTCATTTAGATTTAAATTTCTTCAAATAAATATAGTAGGGAATATAGACAAGTGCAAATCTGAAATTGATCATTATGGGTTGCAATGATGGCTTTTTATATATATTTTTTTATTCATCATCATCATTATCATTACTAATAATCGATAAAAACTTTATTTATATATTTCACCCTTGCTAAAACGGTTATTAACCTTGTAAAATCACCAATATGAACAATGATTATCATTATCGGTAAGTAAACATTTTTATTCGATTGTTATTCAGTTCATTTACAAAAATGAAATTTTTTTTTGGCTGAAAAATTTATTCAAAATCAACAAATTTCAATTGTGAACACACACAAACAAATGCACATACTAATGACAGTAACAGGACATGATCATTATGATAAATTTCCTAAACAGATCTTTTTTGTAAATCCTTTTTATTTTATTTTTTTTCTTCTAAATTCATTTGTTACATTTATCATAAATGATGTACGTCAATGGACAAAGAGAGGAAAAATGACCAATAAATTTCCGGATTTAGGATAGGAAAAACATTTTACTTTTAATGAAATTAATATGAAATCAAATCGAATGTTATTTGTCACCAATATACACATAATCGATTGTATCATATCCGGCAAATAGAAAGTAGAAGAAAGTGAAATAATCAATCAAATTTTTGTTTCTCTTGTTTTATTTCCTATGTAAAAATTAATTAACAAAATTGATAAATGATTTTGTTGTTGTTTTTGTTTTTGTTATTGAAATAAAATACAAAAATTCATTCATAGAATTGATTCAAGGATGGATCATGAGTTTATTGCAGCCGTGATTTAAGTATTGATGGAATTTGTAATAATAAGTTTCGATTCAAAACATCCATTTTTTTTGATGGTCAAGGATTTTCTCTTCAGGTGCAATAATAAATTGCTTAGTGAATGTGGTAAACAAATTGGCAATTTTTACATACATCATGTACATTGGTGCAAGTGCAACGTGGAAAGATTGCTTTTTTTTCAATTTGTTTCATTTGAATTCATTTTTTATTATTATTAACGAATTCTATTAACTGAGTAGTAGAAGAAAAAAAACTAATAATTTTCATCAATATTCTTTCAATAGAAAAACAGTAAAATTGGTTAATGTACATTCAATATTATTACTTCTTTTTTTTCCAATAATTATTGGAAAAATTCACCAGTTATATGTGGGTACTGTTATCATAAAAAACAAAAATTAATGACAATGGATGGTCATTTTTTCACTAATTGAAAGAGATAAAATTTGATGTTGAATTTAAACAAAGAAAATGAAAATTTTCGATATGAAATCGTTTTGTTTTCTTCGATATGATTTGAATATCAACCATCAAGATGATGTTGTTGTTGTTGGCGGCATTGGACATTTTTGTCATATATACGAATTACATTATTGACACATTGAAAGAAAAATTATGAAACAAAACGATCATTTAGTGTAGCTAAAATAAAATGTTGGCTAACTTTGTTGTTTTGTTTAAATTACAATTGACAAAAATTAAAAATTGAAAAAAAATAAATGTACGAATCGTGACAAAATTCAAAATTTTTAATTGAAAATTTTTCCCAAGAAATAAAAAGGATATAATTTATTTCAGTTTTCAGTCAAACTTACCTATTTAACAAAAAAATTTAAAGTAAATTTTTTCAAACTATAAATAAAAACAAAAACAACGATGATATGCTGTTCCAGGATTATGATGACAATAATGATGATGATGTAACAGGTTGAATTGAAATTAGTTTATCATAGTTGACGCATTCATCAATGAAGATTTTCAACAACAACAAAAAAGAATTTAAATTCAAGTTCAATTCGGAAACTTTTGTTGCTGTTAATGATGATGATGAAATATGATCAGCGATGCTAGATTGTTGTTTGAGGATTTTTTTTCTTGAAAAACCAGACCAAAGATCAAGGTTTATTGGGGATACACTTTCGTTTTCGCACACTGAAAACATTGATTTTCTTTAAAATTCCATTATAATGTAATGGTAGTAGCATTCAGAATAAATGATAAATTTTTGAAGATCCTAGAGATTAAACTATCTTTTTCACATGACAAGTAAAATAACTTGTGGTTTTTTCGGTTCTATAATTTTGTTATTTAAAAACCTTCAAATATCACATCAACCAGTACATCATCAAACAACTTATCTTCATCATCGTCATCTTCTTAGTTTCGATGATCATCGATGAAAATGCCCAGAAAATAAAGTAAAAACAATTTAAATGGAAAAAAATTTCATTTCAATCCACTAGACGAATGAATTTTTAAAAAAATGTAAATCTTATCGCGTTAAGAATTGAATAAGTATTAAATGTATGTGTGTATATGTTTGATTGATCATAATAAATAATGGTGATGATCATTGGTATTCTGTCGAAGTCTTCGCCGCCGTCGTCGTCGTCGTTGTCATCGTAGTAGTAGTAGTTGTTGTTGTTGTTATTGATGTTATTACATTTGCCGGAGGTAATGAATTCATGATCATTGAATATATGGTGTTTGTCGATTGAAAATTTGAGCATTATTATCATCATCGATAAAATAAATGACGATTGACGATTTTCATTGCAACGATGCAATTGCAACGTCAAAATTCTTTTGTTTATTTTGTTTCAATTTTTTTATTGGTTAATGATCGTCAATCATTCATATTTCATATTTAAATAGCCCACTTTTTCACTAGAAATTAAAAAAAAATTCTTTAGAATCGATTGGATTGAATGGTCATTTGAAAATTGAAAAAACAAAAATTTGCCATTCATAAGTTTCGATTGGTGATGATGACCTAATCGATCAATTGAATAATTGATTGATCATCAATTATTTTTACACCATCATCTCATTATGTTATTTGATTTTAATTGAATAAAAAAATTTCGATTTGATTGATTGATTGATCGATTGATCATTGGGAAAAACCATTATTATGATGGTGGTTGAATTCGTCGCTTTGATGACATATTTTAGTCATCCGTTTTTACCGGAAATTCAAGCTAACAGACACACATACTCACACTCAAAACATATAAATGATAATAGGTAAAATTTTTACAGATGAAAACAAAATTAATCACAAAAAAAATAATAATCAATGAAGAAATGGACGAAAATCAAGTTGAATTGTCATCTTTTTTCTTTGGTGTTTAAAGCGTGGTTCCCACAATTATTATTTTTTTTTTTTTTGAATTTCGTCTTCGAATCGTACATGGTATTTGTTAATTGCAATTAATGATGTAGAAACAGAAGACAACAACTGATTATAATGAAATTATTCACATAGATATAATGATGATTATAAGTGAGAAGAGACAGATGTAATGTAACATCATCATTTTGTGATGATGTCTAAAGCGTATTTTACATTTCTCATGCTATTGTTTCGTCTAAAACACACATTTATTTAAAAAAAAATTTCATGAATCTTTTTTCCAAAACTATGAAGAAAGCTATTTTGGAACATTGACAACAACAACAACAACAACAGCAACAAAAACTTTCTGTTTACGAATCCAAAACACACATAGGCAAACATATAAACGATTGTTTTTATTCTCTATTAAATACGTTTATTTATCAAATCATAAGAGTTTGATTATAATGATGATCATGATGATGCTAAAAAAAATATTTCTTGTTTCTCAAAATAAATTTGTGGTCAAGGTGGGGAGACCAAAGAAAAGAAATATTATGAAAAAATAATGATAATTTATAAAAAAAAAAGTTTAATTTTGGAACAATTCTTTAATTGTTAGCATCATCATAATATCTCAATCATGAATGATGACCATATTATGATGATGATGATGATAATAATGATCAATAATGTTCGGATATATTTCAATTCAAATTTTGTTTTATCATTGAGTAAAAATTTCATTCATTCAATTTATGAATTGAAAATTATGATGAAATTGAATTTTTCTTTCCATTCATTCATTCAATCAATCAATCGATCATCATCATCATTTTTGTTTTGTTTTGTTTTTATCCATGTCATTTTTTCATCACCAAAAAGTTTTTCAAAGATTTATAATGTAAATTTTATTATTTTCAATACATAATCTCAAACGATGTTTGATGATTCTAACACTAGATAAAATCAATCGATTAGATACCAAAAAAATAAATTAAATTATTTGTCAACTGTTTATCCATCACACTTGTTGAATATGATAAACAAATTCTTGGCATAATGTTGTTGTTGTTGATGATGATTATGATAATAAACTTAACCGAACAAAAAACATCATCAACAACAACAACAAAAACATTAGCTAGAAAACAGACAGGCATGAATATTTTTATCTTCTTCTTTTTCTTCAATTGCAACAAGCATAAAGAATAACAAAAATGAATGATGCTTATGAACGGAAAAACTAATAAAATATAAAATAAAAGAATCCAATAAACATCAAGGTCGATGATCACATGAAAACAAATGTTGATGTTGAATTTTTGCAATATTTTATCCAGATGATTTTTTCGCTTTCTTCAATGACGTAAATTCAACTATCAGATTGAAACGCCACTCTCTCATATCTATATCATTTCTTTTATTTATTATCGAGGGTCAAATAATTGAAAACAAAACAAAAAATTCATATGATTGATGATCAATCAAATTTTCACTTTATATCATTCATATAATCAAATTGTGATAATGTAATTCTTTTTTTGTCAGAAAAAAAACTACATTATACAATCGAATACAGTAATAATTTGATTCCTGACCAACAACAAAAAAAAACTTGTGTTGATCAATTTTCAATTATTGACAGAAAAATATGAATGATTACAATAAAAAAATCCGGGAAAATTGGGGAAAAAAACATCCAATCATCGAACCTGACATAATACTGATTTTAAAGAAAATTTTAAAGAAAAAATTCAATTCAAAAAATGAAAATCAAAATAATCAATTAATCTATTCAATTGATGATTGCTTATTCTATCCATTTTTTTTTGGCGATTGCACTATGCAATCTGTTGTTATTGATGTTTTCCAAATTTTTCCATTTTTATTATCATTCACATTCAATTGATTATTTCGTTTGTTTAATCATGGCCAATTGTATATTTATATGTTTTTCACTTTGAAATCTAAAATCTTTTCTTTTTTTTGTAATTCAATGTTTTGACATTGATCAACAAGTTGATATGAAAATTTAGAATTTCAATAATGTACCCACATATTTTTTCCACATTCAAATCCATTCAGTGTATATTTTTTAATCCGATAAATTTTGTTCCAATTAAAAAAATAAAATAACATTGATTTTGCTAATCAGATAATTACCTGCATAATTCATAATGATGGATTATATAAATATCCTGGATAAAACGAAATGGTATTTCCAAATTTAAATTGTTTAACATGGATGATGTTAATAATAATCATCCTCATCCTCATCATGGCAATAATAATGATTTTATTTTGCCAATAAATGTTGGCCATGAATGTCAAATTCTTATGAACAATAATGATGAATTACGACGATGTCAACATGATGCATATATTGCATGGATTCGACCATGGCAATTGGAACTACAAAATAATTATCATCATTTTAATCATCATCATCATCATTATTATTATCAACAACAGAAACAACAATCTAATAAATTTGAAAGTCCGGAACAATTAAATGGTAAACATCCTTGCTGTTACCGATGGGCATTGTTAGATTGTCTAACCGATTCGGTACAAAAATATTGCCCAATGGCCAATACTTTTGATTCAAGGTAAATATTTTCATCATTATGATTATTTTGTGTGTGAATAAAGATAGAAAGAAAGTTGGTTTGTTTTTTGTCTTAAAAAGAAGAAGAAAAACAATTATTAATTTAGATAAGAATTATGCATGATGGTGGTGGTGGTGGTGGTGGTCATCATAATCAAAGCTAAATTGTCCTTGGTAATATCCATAATTGTGTGTTTTGTGTGTGTGTTTATTAATTAGTGTAGAAATCATTTTGTTGTTTTCATCTAAAAATATTTTATTTTTATTCATTATAAATGATGTGAGATTTTTGTATGCAAGTGTGTGTGGAAAACAAAACAAAAATTTCAATATATATTTTTTTTGTTTCCAAAAATTACATGCATGGTTATAATAAGAAAAATAAAATTTGACTATTTTGAAGCTTCATTTTATTCAAATATAATCAAATGATTATAATGATAATTATGATAATCTTATTCGATGATGAATAGGATGGTCAATTTTGATTGGTCAATTTCATGATTTTTTTATTATTATTATTGAATTTAATTTAATATTTTCAATATATACAGATGTAGATGTTGAATTTATAAGAAATCAATCAAAATATAAATTTAGATTTTATAAATTGAAATTTACACTTTTTTTGTTCATAAATGAAGCCATTTTACTTTCACTAAAAAAAAGTTAATGGTGCATTTGAAATTGTACGGCTATGCATGTTTGAGTTTGATCTAAACGCACACAAACAAAAACCTCAAACTTAGTGAAGGATAATAATAATAGTTTCTATTGGATATTTGTTTATATCATCTGTTATTTGTCAATCAATATGATGATTATGATAAACATATTATTTGTACCTAGAATGATGCTCAATTTATAAATTGTATTTTGTTTTAAAAAAGAGCCATTGTATACATCTAAATCAAAATTGATCCAGGAAAAAAGTACGATGGCAATGAATCTTGTAAGAAATGTATGGCCAACAAATCTGATTAAATCATCATCAGCAATTATTAATACATCAGTAAATCGATTCTTTAGTGATATTCAATCAACAAGCAAAATATGTTTCGAATTAAATGATGAACAAACAAGTATGATTGAAATGGTGGAAAAATTTACTCGAGAAGAAATTATACCGAATGCAAATAAATATGATAAAAGTGGTGAATTTCCCTGGGATATAGTGAAAAAAGCTCATAAATTAGGTTTGATGACACATGGAATACCGGTAGAATATGGTGGTCTTGGTCAATCATTATTAACTCATTGTATTGTTGGAGAAAAATTGGCTTATGGATGTACTGGTATTTCAAGTGCTGTTGGAAATAATATTTTACCACAAGCACCTATTATTTTGTTCGGTAATGATGAACAGAAAAAAGAATATCTTGGCCGATGTGTTGCCGAACCAATTGTTTGTGCATATGCAGTGACAGAACCAGGTGCCGGTTCTGATGTTGCTGCAATTCAAACACAATCGGTTAAAAATGCTGATGGTGATTGGGTTATTAATGGTCAAAAAATGTGGATAACAAATTCTGGTCATGCTAATTGGTTTTTCGTATTAACACGTTCGAATCCAGATCCAAAAGCCAAAGCATCGGAAGCATTTACCGGTTTTATTGTTGATGCTGATACACCTGGTCTAACAGTTGGCCGTAAAGAATGGAATATGGGTCAACGTTGTTCCGATACACGTGGTGTTACGTTTGAAAATGTTGTTGTGCCTAAAAAGAATCTTGTCGGAGCTGAAGGTAAAGGATTTCTTTTAGCTATGAAAGCATTCGATTTGACAAGACCACCAGTTGCATGTGCTGCTGTTGGTTTGGCACAACGTGCATTAGATGAAGCAACACAATATTCATTACAACGATCATCATTTGGTAAGCCGATTGCTCGACATCAGGCGATTCAATTTATGTTGTCCGATATGATTATGGGCATAAATACCTCAAGATTAGCCTATATGAGAGCTGCATATGAATTCGATCAAGGACGCCCTAATACATATTTCGCTTCCATTGCTAAATGTTTAGCAGGTGATGTAGCGAATAAATGTGCAACGGATGCTGTACAAATATTTGGTGGTGCCGGTTTCAATACTGAATATCCGGTAGAGAAATTAATGAGAGATGCAAAAATATTTCAAATCTATGAAGGTACTGCTCAAATTCAACGAATGATTATTGCACGCGAACATTTTCGTCAAGCTATGGGATAATGTTTTGGTTCGATGAGTTTTTATTTCGTTTTGATTTCCTAATTTTTCTTTAATTTGTGGTTGTTATATGATTAAATCTAATTATTTTGAAATTTTTCTTCTGAGATTAAAAATATTTTTTTGTAAAAACAATTTTTCCTAACTATATTGCCATCTAGTGATCGAAATTTTAGTTGAAAGTTTAAATTTTTTTTTCATTTTATCAATTAGAACTTTTCAAATGAAACGTGAAGAAGTAATCTTCTACTATGAATCATTTCAATGTCAAGATTATCCATTTGATGGCTATCATTGTCATCTTTCAACATGGATGATTATTTTGTCAATATTTTTGGCCATCGGTACGATTGCTATTATCATCATAATTGCCATTTATATTTACCGTTATGTTTGGCATGAACGAGGAAAATTAACGATACCACCACAAGAACCACCACCATTAATCATAAGAACACGACGAAATAATAATGAAAAAAGATTCCATCCAGTAACAGATTTATAATAATAAATTTTAATTGAAATAAAAATTCATTTTATTATGTGAAACATTTAACAAAATTTAAAATATAAAAAACTTTTTTTATTGCAAAATAAAACGACAAAAATCAGCCTTTTGTAACTACAGTGAAAGCAAATTTCCTTAAATCTTCGGCCAATAATTTTGGTTCTTCAAATGCACCAAAATGTCCACCACTTGGTAATTCCGTATAATGAACAAGATTTTCGAATGCCATACGAACAATGAATTCAGGTACACGAACCATTTCTTTAGGAAAAACAGCATAACCAGCCGGAACTGTTGGTGAAACTTTTGCTGCACCAATACGATATTTATTGTATACACCAATGATTGGACAGCCATTTTCTTTGTAGAAACGCATACTTGAAGTAATGTTCTTGGAGAACCAATATATCATTACATTGGTCAACAGTTCATCCATGGTAAATTTTTCAGTTAGGCCACCATCTGGTTTAAAAACATTTGTTGGATCGGTCCAAGCAGAAAATTTTTCCAAAAGATATGCAGCTAATCCAACTGGACTATCAGTTAATGCAGGTCCGATTGTTTCAGGTTTTGTTGATTGTAGATGAAAATATCCAGATTCATAAAACCATTTTGATTTATAATGTAATAAATCATTAAACATTGTTCGTTGTGATTCACGATTATTAAACATAATGATGGGTAAATATTTTGCCATTAAATATTTTAAATTATCAGCACCTTGTGGTTGTGAACTTGTATAGAATGTTGTATGTATACCACGAACATTTTCTGGATACATTAATGCAATAGTTTTACTGATCATTGATCCCCAATCACCACCATGAACAAGAAAACGATTCAATCCAAGTCGTTTCATTAGTTTTACAAATACACGTGCAGCCGATATGAAACTAAATCCTTCTTTATGCGGTGCTTCGGAAAAACCATAACCAGGTATAGATGGTATGACAACTTCAAATGATAAACCTTCTAATGATGAATCAGTAAGTATTGGAATCGTTTTATAATATTCAAAAAATGAACCCGGCCATCCATGTATGGCTAATAAAGGAATGACAACTCCATCGGGATTTTTTGGCCGAATATGTACGTAATGAACATCCAATCCTTCGATTTGTGTTTTAAATTGATCATATTTATTAAGCTCTTGTTCCCAACGACGCCAATCATATTTATTTAACCAATAATCAACAACCTGTGTTAATGTTTCGGCACTAAAACCATAACGAAAATTTGTTCCTTCGATTGCTTCGAAATATCGAGGTGATTTTAATCTCTTTTTCAGATCATCCAATTCTTCATCCGAAATATTGATACGAAATGGATTAATGGTCGTATCATCTAACGGTGGTTGTTCACCTTTGGCCAATGATGCACGACCATACCAACCATCTGTACGAGGTGGTAGCTGAACTTTATGTGGTAAAAATAAACGACGCAATGATGATTTAGACATGTTTTTTAAGAAAAAAAAGTTTCAATTAAAAAAAACAATAACAAAAAATACAATGAATTTGAAAATTTCATAAAAACAAAACAATTTTTTAATGTGTTATCATCAATTCATTCAAATATAAACAAAACAAACAAACAAATTTACGAGTACAACATCATCATGGATATGGCGATAAATCATTCACCAGGTACAATATTCAATCAATAAATGACAAGAAAAAAAAATCAAGTACATGAATGTATATGAATAATAAATCAAATAGAAATTGATTATTTTTTTTTTGTTTGTTTTCAAACAATCTTCTGTTTTTAGCTCATTTTTCATATATTTCGAAATGTATACATGAATGATAAAATTGGCCACAAACAAACAAAATGATAAAATTCGATTAACGCAACACAAATATAATTATTATCTGTTGTTTCAAAAATTAAATGCATGAAATGTGGGTGTGTGTATGCGTTTGTCTTTTGATGCTAATTGTTTTTGATCGATGGCAAAAAAAAAGCATCATAAATGATCAACAAATTGTTTATCAACGCACGAAATGATTAAATGGTTGAATGGTAAATATATTTATTATTATTCGCCAAACTAAATATACAAACAAATATTGCACAACAATGATGATAAACTTTTTCAGTATAAATTGTTCATCATATAAACTTGTCTATTTTCATTGATTTTTTTTATTGTTTTGAAAAAATAACTTTGGTTCAAAAAAAAAAAAGATTTGAATTCAATTTGAATGGATTTGATGATAATTATAATCATGAACAAACAAACATGGATAAATTTGGAAAAATTATTTTAACCACTTTTTTTCCATCATGATCAATTTGAAGAGAGACGAATAATAAATGAAAAAAAAGAGAGATGCATAGTAATCAAATGACTTTTCTACATTGGTTGATGAATGATTAAAAATGAGAAATGGGCCAACTATTACATGTTGTTATCTATAAGAACTGAATAAATTTAAAGAAGTAAAAAAAAATCTAGATAAATTTCTCTTCATACGATGTTGATGATGAAGATGATGATGGATATATTTAGCAAATGATCAACAAGTTAAATCTTATGTTCAGGATTCGAATCTGTAGAGTAAACCACAAGTAATGTTTGTTTCATCGTACTCCATAATCGACTTGTCCAAAATAAAGTTTTTTTCTTTAAGTCAAAATTAGCTTTATAATAATATTTAAAATCAAGGTAAGGTATTGAAAACAACAACTACCAACGTAAACGTAGAAAAAAACGATGCAAAAATTCTAAAAAATAGCTTGACTTGTTTTGGAATTATTTTTTCTTTCTTCGTTTTGAAAATCTTTTGTTTGAGAAACAAACTAAAAGATTCATTACCTATTGGATGTAATAAAAAGGGATAAACATACACACCTATGAATATTTTATGTTTTTATTTTACCACCTACGTCATTATATAATTAAATTTCAATATAATAAATTTTAACATTATCATCATTAGATCATCATTGCTCAATGATAATGTTTTTCAAATGAAAATCTGATATAATTTTCCCGAAAAAAAACTTGATTTCAATATTCAATTTGAAAAAAAGGGATTTTCCTACATAGATAAATTGATAAATCTTTTTTCCAAGACAAAAAACGGATAGAATTTATTTCAATATTTAGCTAAATACAGCAACAAAAATTAAAATCTAGGCCAATGTATGTATGTGTGTGAATATGAAAATGTGAAAAAAAAACAGAAGTCAAATCAACATTTACCTGAAATGACAAAAAAAATAAATATTTTCTCTCTTTTTTTGGTATTTGATCTTTTGAAGATTAACATTGATAATGATTAATTTTGTTAATTAATTTCTTTTGATTATTATAATACTTTGAACCTATTGATTTTTTATTTGTTTGACAAAAATCATATATAATCGATCAATCTATCGATGCTCGTGATCAATAAAATTGAAATTAAGATAATGATGAGCCAGATTTTTTTCCATCATCATTGCTTAATTTTTTTAAAAATCCTTATAGCTGATCTAAATCTTATCTTGCATTCCTTCATAGTTTTTTTAAATTTGATAATAAAATTATATGATGTTAAAAAATTATAACTTTTATCGTCTCTTTTTGTAATTTCTGGTTGAATTAAAAACATTTTATTTTAATAAATTTAACAATGGAAGCAATGTTGATCAATGTGAAAAAATCACCAAATGGACGTTTCATTCAACGTTTCATACCGGCACGTTTTATTTTCATTTTTCTAAGTTCATTCGGTTTTTTTCTAGTTTATGCATATAAAGTTGTACTTAGTATGGCCATCATTGCGATGGTTAAAACATCAAATGTAAATAAAAATGTAACAAAAATTTCATTAATTTTGAATGATAAATGTCCTGGAACCGAAGAGATTAATAATATTGTTGGTGAATTTGATTGGTCCGAATCGATAAAAAATTATGTTCTAGCTTCATTTTTTTATGGCTATGTACTTACACAGATTCCGGCAGGAATTTTATCGAATAAAATTGGTGGAAAATGGATTTTCTGTATCAGCCTATTGATTGCTGCCATTTGTTCATTATTAAGTCCAATTGCTGCACGTCAAAGTTATATTTGGCTTATTATATTAAGATTTATTCAGGGTTTATCCGAAGGTGTTGTTTTTCCTTGTATGAATATGATGATAGCACAATGGATGCCCAAAATGGAACGTAGTCGTGGAACAACATTGATTTTTACTGGTTCACAATTCGGCACCGTATTTACATTACCAATAGCAGCACAATTAAATGAAAGTAATTTAGGTTGGACAGCTTCATTCTATTTACTTGGCATAATAGGTATAGTTTGGTTCATTTTATATGCATTACTTGTATTTGAATCACCGGAAAAGCATCCATTCATTTCACAAAATGAATTCGATTATATTGTACATAATGGTGGTGGTAAACAAATTGATTTTAAATTCTCCATACCTTATCGAAAAATATTTCGTTCAATTCCTGTTTATGGTCTTATATTAACAAATTTTGGACAGAATTGGACTTTTCTTACTATTTTAACTTATATGCCAACGTATATGAAAAATGTACTACATACAAACAATACTCAGGTATGTTTTTTAAATCATTATCATTGTGAATAATAATAAAAAATGATTAAAAAATAATTTCATAGAATACAATCATCTCAGGCCTTCCCTATCTAGGTCAAGCATTGTTCGGTTGGATTTGTTCATTTATTTCGGATAAATTACGTTCAAGTGGACGATTACAGATAACAACCATTCGAAAGATAAACAATTTTATCGGTAATTTTATCATATTAGATTTTGATTGATAAGAAAAAAAAATCAATTGAATTCTCTTAGCTTTCATACCACCAGCTTTATGTATCGCTTTGATTCCGATTGTTGGATGTAATCAAAATGTTAGCTGTATTCTACTCATATTGGCTGTTACAATTAATGGCGCAACTTTTAGTGGCTATAATTCTACACATGTTGATATGGCACCTGATTTTGCTGGCATTTTAATGGGATTAACAAATAGTTTTGGTAATATGCCTGGATTTATCGTACCAACTGTAGTGAATTTATTCACAGAAAAAGAGGTAATTATTATTGCATGAAAATAATTACATTTTGATTCATTTGCATAATGTTTTTTTTTCTTCAAAAAAATAGAGTACAATAAAAAGCTGGTCATATGTTTTCTATGTTGCCGTTGTTGTCAACATATTGACCACATTGATTTATACAATTATGTGTACAGCTAAAGAACAGATATGGGGTCGTATAAAACATTGAATTGTTATTGATTTGATGGAAAAATTTGATAGAAATTTTTCTTTTTTTTCTGTTTTTTTTAAATTGTTTTTTGATTAGAAATTTATAAACGGAAAGAAAAAAACATCTAAGATATTTATTTTTTTGCACTCATTATGAGCTAATATTTTTTACAAGGATAATCTTATTTACCATAAATCCTGATGTGAAATTTACCATTTGTTTTGTATGGGTTAATTGATTATCTGATACTTGATAATAAATTATGGAATGTTAATTATGATAAGTATCATCTGTTTAGCAACATAAAAAGGCAATAAATCGATTGGATTAAGATTAATGGGTTTTTGTTGTTGTCATATGAATCCAAAATTACCATTGTCATCAATGAAAACATTTTTATTTCGAGTTCGATGTTCTTTGGTTAATTATGAAATGAAAATATTTCCAATCATTTAGTATTTCAAATTAAAATTGTTATTTTTTTCATATTAAATTCTAACTGATTTATTCAGTATTTTCTTCAAAACAAAAACAAAAATTGTCCAATCAATATCGTATCCGGATGAATCAAAAGAAAAATTTGCACGATGGACGTTTTCTTCAGCGTTACATTGCTGCTCGTATCGTATTTGTTGCGTTGGGATTTTTCGGTATGTTTTTGGTCTATGCATTCAAAGTGGTTGTAAACATGTCTATTGTGGCTATGGTCAAAAATAAACCGGATGATCTACCAATAAATGCTGTTGTAAATTTTTCTACAATTTCACCTGTGTCTGCTGATACATGTCCCGGTGGACAATACTCATCTGATCAAAATAAAGGAGAATTTGATTGGCCTAAAGATGTTAAAAATTATGTATTAGCATCATTTTTCTATGGTTATGTACTTACACAGATACCGGCCGGTATTTTAGCCAATAAATTTGGTGGAAAATGGATTTTTGGTTCAAGTATTTTGATTGCTTCGATAGCATCCTTAATGTGTCCATTTGCAGCACGAATCAATTATATGTGGTTCATTATATTACGAGTTATTCAAGGTTTAGCTGAAGGCGTTGTATTTCCTTGTATGAATACAATGATTGCACAATGGATGCCAACCATGGAAAGAACACGTGGAACAACAATTACATTTACAGGCGCTATGATTGGTACTGTTATAACGATGCCAATGGCATCACTATTCAATGAAAGTTCATGGGGTTGGGCTGCTTCATACTATCTGTTAGGTATCATTGGAATTATTTGGTTTATTCTTTATGCTTTTCTTGTTTATGAATCACCTGAATCACATCCATTCATATCTCGAAAAGAATTAAAATATATTGTTGAAAATGGTGGTGGCAAACAAATGGAAAAGAAAGTTATTATACCATATGGTGAGATATTTACATCGTATCGTGTATATGGTATTATTTTGACTGCTATCGGACAGAATTGGGCTTTCCTTACTATTCTCACCTATTTACCAACCTACATGAAAGATGTATTGCATACCGATAATAAAATGGTAATATTGCATTGTAAAATTTGGGTTCTTTCATTTGAAATAAATGATTTGTTTTTTTTTGCATCTATTCAGACAACAATCATTTCGGGTCTTCCATCACTTGGTCAAGCTGTTTTCGGATGGATATGTTCTTATTATACTGATCGTATGCGACAAAAAGGTTCTTTATCCATTACGACAATCAGAAAAATTAATGCTTTCATCAGTAAGTTTAAATGAGTTTTATTCAAACAAAATTACTAAATTCATTTTAAATTTAGCCTATATACCGCCAGCTATATTTATGGCAATCATACCTATGGTCGGTTGTAATCAAATTGCAAGTTCAACATTATTAATATTGGCTGTAACATTAAGTGGTGCTTGTTTTAGTGGTTTTAATTCAACACATGTTGATATGGCACCAGATTTTGCTGGAACATTAATGGGTTTAACAAACAGTATTGGTAATATACCGGGATTTATTGTTCCAAAATTGATTGATGCATTCACTAAAAATCAGGTAAATATTATTTCTTTAGAATAAAAATTTTGAAAATTTTAATTCAATTATTCATTTATTTTTTAAAAAAAGAGTACAATTAAAACATGGTCATATGTATGGTATATAGCAGCAGCGGTAAATGTTTTAACCACAATTATCTATACATTTATGTGTACAGCTGAAGAACAAACATGGGGAAGGATTCATCGGTTAACGGAAAAAGTTTAAATCTAAATAATAATAATAATAATAATAATAATAATAATGATAAAACTAAAGAAAAACATTCTTCTCATCATAAAACATTGATTGTATTGGCTCGAAATTGAATGAATAATCATGAATCTGTTTATCTATTTATCATTATTTGTAAAACATTTTTCATTTTAAATAATTATAAATTCAAATAATGTTAAATAATAACAATTTTATTCAATGTTAATATCAAAAACATGAATAATAATAATAATGATAAAATCAAATGATGATGATGATAATAATAATAAATTCCAATCGATGATTCACATATCTAGGACACATATTCGTTAAAATTATTATTATTATTGCAATCATTTGATGATGATCAAACTTTGTTTTTATGAAAAAAAAAGTTTTTTTTCCTTTTTCGATGTAGAAAATGTTCATTTGATGATGGGTAAACGAAACATGCAAATAATAATAATAATAAAACGACAAAGCCAATCGGTAACCACAAACAATCATCGACGATCACATATTTATACAACGTCCGATTTAAATTCGAAAAACTTCCTTTCATAGCCACAAATTTTATGATGATGATGATGATGATGAAAAATTCGTTATTACCAATTATAGATATCTATTCTTTTTGGTTGTTATTATCAATTGATTTTGTTTGTAAATGTCGAGGTAACAATAATAAACAAAACAAAAAAAAATCATTATGTTTTTAAATCATGAGAAAAAACAGATCCATTTTGATATTCATGTTATTGCGATCATTTTTACATTGATCATCATTTGTGAACAATACTAACAAAAAAAGTAAAAAACAACGGCAAATATTTTAAAAAGTTATAAGAATTCAAACGAAACAAAAATGAATTCACTTACTTTTCAACAATTATTATCATTATTATTGTTATTATTGATTCAATTTGATTTGATAATTGCACAGAAAAAATCTAATCGTCAATCACAATCATTAGATTTTAAAATAATTTATCCAAAAAATCTTATCGATGGTCGTCATAATGATTCATTTTGTAATGATGATGGTTCAATAATTTTTCTTGATTATAGTCTAACATGGAATGCATATGTTACTGTTTGTCAGAATAATCTAATCGATGTTGAACCAATTAATTATAGGTAAACGTAATTTGTTATAATTCATTCATTTATTGTTTTTTTTGAAATTAATATTTATTTCTTTGTTGTTGTTTTGTTTCGAAATAGCCAAACAACTCGATTGAATGTTTTACAATTTCAAGTAAAAAAATTAGAACATTTTGCATTCGATTGGCTACATGGATTATTATATTATTCAACAGTAATGGATGGTATCAATGTGATTGATTTGAAAAAGAATGAATTAGCTACATTTCCGATATATCGTGCAACCGGTTCGAACACTGTAAACGGTTTAATTGTTCGTCCAGATTTAACAAAATTAATGTGGCTTGAAACATATGGAACCGATACAATTATGATGGAATCAGATCAGGTTTATAATTTTGTTTTTGTTTTTTTTTGTTCATATTTATTTTTCTTAATTAACAAAACAGAATGGTAAACGATCATCACCATTATTCAATATAAGTCGAACAATTTATACGGATCTTTATTATGATCCTTATGGTAATCGATATCTACTTGTTATGCCACAAACACAAGCGACAAAAATTTCCGGAATGATTATCATTGATTTTAATGAAAAAACTATTTTAAAATCAATTAATTTTGAAATAAATTTTTCAAGACAAAAAAATTGGCAAACAAAAAATGTTCGAATTCGCGATGATTGGCTTTATTTTTTCGTAAAACAATCCCAATATATTGGTCATATTTATCGTTGTTCAATTTCATCACAGAATTATACACATGGAATGAATGATTCAATTTCAATAATAATCGATAATATTCATTTAACATCATGTATAGTGGTTACAGGTGATAATTCACGATCACCATTTATATTATATGATCCAATGATTAGAAAAGAAACAAATTGGAAAAAACATTGTAATGAAAATGTTTGCGTTCGTCAGGATATCGATTTTTGTATTCCAATCAATCAAACACATTCACAATGTACAAATGTAAGTTTTTTTAAAACAATTTCTTGAAATAATTAATTACTAAATCAATTTAAATCTGATCTAGGGTGAAGTATTCGAAATCAACAAAAATCATAATGAAATGTTAATCTATAAGATTATTATTTCGGTTTTAGCATCGATCATCATTCTTATTCTAATAATTTATTTTCTATTCTTTTCCAAACAACGTGCACGATTCTATCAGATACGATTGAAAAAATTAAACCGTGTTGAATCATCAAAATTACAGATGAAAACGCCGGCAACCAATGAAATTGCTGAATGAAATTATAACCAAAAAGAAAAAATCCAATTATTTACCATTGCATCATTTTCATAAGCAAAAAAAATTCATTAAATTCATTAAAATTCCATTGATTTTATTATTTACAATAAAAAAAGGAATAGGGCCACATTCGCACATTGATTTATCGACGAAAAGCCGAAACAATTGTGTTTAATTGCTCAATACGCAACAAGTGGCGTTTTTATGCGCGTAGCCCTATCCCCGAATTAGCATAGTGTGTTGAAATCCGTATTTATAGTTGGTAAAATTGTGATGAAAAAATTATTACAGTTTTTAAAAATTGACATTCGAATGAGAAATCTGTTCAAAACAGTGTCAAAAGATGGCGACAAAATGATCGAAATTTAATTAATTATGTCAAAAATATAATTAACATTTCGAAATTCTCTTGGGCCTAAATTGTTTAAAGCAAAAAACAAAAAATTCTTTTCCCTGTTATTGTTGTTGTTGCATATAAATTATTTGATCCATCCATTAAATTGGTTTCGGTGCTTTTCTGTTTAAAACAATCTTGTTATTTAAAAAAAATAAGTTAATTTCCACAAACACACATACAAGATGTATATTCCAAGCAATTTATCAATAGCTTTATCGATTTGGCCACATAGATCATCATTGAATAGAAAAAGATCTGTTCATATCATTCGATTGACAACATCATCATTTGATCAATTATTCACAGAGGAATCAGCATCATCAGTTTCATGGATATTTAGTGGTGGAATGTTGGCATTTTTTATACTAATTCTAATGATATTTATTATATTTTGTTTGATGACACGTAAGTTGAAAAATCTTATTATCATATTTGTTTTTTTTGAAACAAAGAAGATTTTGTATAATTATGGATTTTTATCTATATCAAAATCTTTGATCTATTTGTTCATTTAGAATAATTGTTTTCAATGATTGAGAGAAAGAAAGTTGGAGTTGGATTCTTTTTGACATTTCCAAGTCAAAACAATTGTCGAAACAACAAATCTTGACAATGACATTTTTGATTTAAAGAAAAGGATAATTTTTTTTCAAAAACAATTTAATTCATTTGACTTTGACTTTGAAATCTATTCCAGAAAAAACAAAACAAAACAAAAAAAGTTTCATTTTGACATTCCGCATTTGTTTTGTTGAATTGATTTATACCAAGCAAACAAATCATTCATTTTTCTGTTTTCAGTCAACTTTACCATACAACCACCAATTATTTTAATCAATTTTATTCAAGTAGGAAATCCTATCACACATATATTCATTGTTTGTCCATTGAATGAATGAATGAATGCAATCTGTTGTTGTTGTGACTCGAATCCTGAATGATCATTGTGTTGAAAATATTTCCAGAAAAAAAAATTTAACAAAAACATATCACCGATTTATATACAGTTGTTCCGTTTTGACACTTTGCTACACTTGAAAACACATATATCGCATCTCATCTGTTTGTGATTATCCTTGAATGATTATGATGATGATGATCACAAAATGTCTTGAACATAATGTTGTTGATGTTTCAAAAATCATTATAAATGATGATATTTTTTTTAATATTTTTCTTGATCTAAATGATCCATTGTGTATGATGATGATGATGATGATGATTTTGAATAATTTTTTTTTTCAATCCTTATTTGAATAATCATTTGTTTTGTATAATATGAAATTATTATTTTACATGTTTGAATGTAAGCCGCAATATTATGATTATTACTGAATCTGTTTTTTTTTCATAATCCAGAAACTATCGAATAAAAATTTCAATGCTTGAAATTTTCATTTTAAATCCGATCAACAACAAAAAAAATATATAGTGAAATGAATATTGAACTAAAATCGATTTGATCTAGATTTTTTTATCGATTTTTTTCCTGCTATTTATCGATCAAAATACAATAATTACAAATAATAAATGAGAATTGAAAAGATATTTGGTTTTTGTTATCCGATGATTAGATGATACGATTTTTTTCGGCCAAAAATTTGTTTTTGCTTTTCCTATACTTTCCATACAATCATCATCATCATCATCAATCCAAGAAAAAACGATGTAATTACATTATTTTTTTTACAAATACAATAAAAAAAACACATTACTATAATGGCATAATAATTCTAATAAATAAAAAAGAAAGAAATGTATAAAATATTATATCCATAATTATTATTATTATTATATTTATCATTAAATCTCTTACACACATTGATGTTGTTGTTGTTGATTATGATGTTATACAACAACAAAAACAACATCGAATTTAGGATTACGACATTTTATTGTGTCATCAAATAGTATGGATGATGATGATGATGATCCAAATAATGATCCAAAAATAATAATAACATTGAAAAATTTTTTTACATAAAAGGCATTCAATGATGGTATTTATCCTGTAAACAAAAACTAACAATTTTTTTCTACTACTGTTTTCAATGTCATCAATTAATGTTATGACATTTTTTAACAAAGTTTTACTAAATTCTTTTCTTTTCTTTGAAAATTATAAAATTATTGAATCCATTGATATTTGATGAAATTATTTCAATCAATATACACAACAACAAAAATCAAAAGGAATATGATCACTCTATTCATTCATTCATTTTAAATATCACTGACCATTGTCCTATCATCAATCATCATTCATCATTCATTCAGACATAGAAAACCTTTCAGTGTTGTGTGTGTGTGTGATACTTCTGTTTTGAAATTGAGTTCAAAATTAATTCATTTTTTTAAGAATTGTTACAACAATGTATTATTGTATCGAATTTGTTCAATCAACAACTGAAGAAGAGAGAGAGAGAGAGATGACATTCGAAATTCATTATCACATCGTTATTTGAACTATTTTTCCTTATATTTACACACAGTAGACATTTATCACCTGTTTGATTTTTTTTGTTGAAAATAGTACATGTCAATCAATCATTTGTTTTGAACAAGAAAAGAAATCATCAAATCAAACCATTGTTAATGAATATTTTTTTACTTTTCCGTTTTGTTAAATTTCATAAGGTGTGACAAAATATGTGTAATAGGGAGCAAAAATTATTGATTTTTTCAAAAAATAATTGATTGATTGAATGGTTAAGAGCACACATACACACATAGAAAATATTTATTAATAATCGCATATATCTAATATATTCATTTTTTCTTTCTTTCTTTTTTCATAATTTATCAACAAAAGATCCAAAGATCCGTAAAAGGAGAACAACAATCCATTCTAATGATAGCAGTCCAGAATCGTGTATCATACCATTCGATGATGAACAACAGAAAAATACTAACAAAATGATGATGATGAAACAGAATCCACCTCGTGTTGATTCTTCTAATCTTCAATCATTATCATTAACAAATCTGGATAGTTTAGAACGAATAGATTTATTAAGAAGCTCGACAAAATCATCATTAAAAGTTATTGATAAACGGAGACAACCGTAATAAACAAATGAATAGCTGCTGAAATTTATGAAATTTGAAAGCAAAATTGAATAAAATTTTTTAAAAATAAAAAATTCAAATTTGGTTCCGGTATTTTTTCAAGTGTTCGAATTTTGTGGATGCGCACTTATGTGTTTGTGTGAAAAAAGAAAATCATTTGTTATCGTTCAACAACAAAACGAACAGAAAAAAAAGTTTACTTTGTTTCAGAAGTTGAAATTTTTTTTTCGGCATTCATAATGCATTTTGTATCCAAGATATGGACACACAATGGAACAAACATAATAACATATTTAACCTAGCCTATAGGGACCATGACCATTCATTCATCCATCAATCTAACAACGAAAAAAAATCCATTGCCATCCATGTTTTTTTTTTGCTTCATTAGCGTAAAAAAGATAACAATTTTTGAAAACACGCGCACACAAATACAGTGTGTACGTATTGTTCGCGATATTTGTCTCTTTTTTTACAGAAAAAAATTGAGAATAGATTAAAAAGAATGGATGCACCGAATAAATGAATGATTATGATGGATGTATCACATACACACATACACATTACTGTTTTGTTTACAGTAAACACAATCATGATGAATCCATTTTATAATATTTAGTGTAGGCGGTTATAGGTAGGTGTGTAGGTGTGTATAACATTCATAAATAAAAATGTTTAAATGATTATGAATGATGATTATAATAATCTTAAAGTAGAAACAAAACAAAAAAACGTTTTTGATATGATAATAATGATGGTGTGTATAACAATGTCATATTTAAATGATAATCATTTTAGCAAAAAAAAAATTGTTTTAAAATCATTGTAAAAAAATTGAAAAAGATAAAAATTCAGTTGAATGATGATCATCATCATATTTTTTCATCAACTCATAATAATCTTCATCATAATCTTTGTTATGACCAAATAAAAAAATGAGAAAAAGTTTTTTTAAAAATTATTATTTAAAGGTCAAGAGACCTATGATAATGATAGTTTTTTCATTTTTCTAAAATTATTATTTTGGCTAATTGTATCAATCAAAAGAATGATGATAATTAAATTATCGATGATGATTGGTGATTTTGCCGATTTATAGCATCCAGAAAAGTGTTAATCATTATGTTCAACGTTTAGCAATTCGTATCATTACTTGTTTTGGTGATAGTATAACATTGCCCTTGAAATAATCAAGTTTTAGATCATGATCAGGTATTAGACGATAATGAAGAATTAATTGTGCAACAGCAGCACGAAGTTCATTCTGTGCAAAACGCATCCCAACACAAAGACGATTACCAGTACCAAATGGCATATAAGCAATAGATGATTCCATTGAATTTTCGCCTATAAAACGTTCCGGTTTAAAGGATTCAGGATCAGGAAAATATTCAGGCATTCGATGCATAATATATGGATGGAATATTATCGATACTTCAGCCGGAATTTTGATACCTGTATTCAACAATGTTGTATCTCTGGCCGCTGTTCGTTGAACACTGACTAATGGTGGTTTGAGTCTTAATGTTTCGCAAATTATACCATTCAAAATAGGTAAATTTCGCAATGATTCATAATCTAATGATGAATCGGTTATACTCAATTCTTCATACAGTTTATCTTGCCATTCAGGATGTTTAATCAGATAGTAGATTATATGACATAAAGTAACATTTGTTGTATCATAACCAGCAAGAAAGAAAATAATACCTTGTCCAGCTATTTCTTCACGGCTTATACCTTTTAATTTCTGTTCATTTTTATCAATCCCATTTGATTCAGACTGATCATTCACAGTTTGTTCCACCATTAAACCGATAAGATCTTTGCTTTCTATTAAAAAGAAAAATTTCCCAAGTAAGAATAAAGAATTTTAAAATATATTTGAATTCCTTACGTTTATTTTTGGTTTTTAAACGTTCTTCAATTATTTTGAATGTTAAGTCATCAAAATATTTGGCAGATTCTCGATCAAAAGGGTCTAAATTCAAGAATTTTCCCAAAAATGGAAAAACAAAACAAATAGCTTGATTTAATGAAACATCCAAGCTCAAAATTCGTTGAGCATGTTTGACCAATGGATGATTAGATTCACTAATCGAATCTACTTCTATTCCATAAGCACATGAAGCAATGACATCCATGGTCAATGCACTCGTATAGATTTTCGCATCAAACATTTCACCACTTTCAGCATGCCTTTCCAAATTACGAACAAAATTATTCAAAATCGTGTTAATAGGAGTAATCATCGCTTTTAATTTTCCTGAAGTAAATGCAGGACTGACAATTGTTCGAATACGTTTCCAATCATCATTAGCTGGCATCATAAATAACGAATGAATCATTGAGGTTTTGCCCATATAGCCACCAAAACGAATTGGAAATTTATGCAATTCTTTGATTGATAATTCACGAACCATTTTAGGGTCATTAAATATCAATGCACGTTGTCCTATGCCATAAACTCCGAAAATATAGCCATATTTTTTTACTTGTTCATGAACAAATTCATGTAATGGTTTTCTCATCCATCCAAAATCGGGTCCAGAACGTGCTATTATTCCTTGCCTTTGCCAGAATGTATAATATCTAAAATATTTACTGATTTATGTATCATCAATTAATTCAATGATTTTGAAATACATTTACAAAGGCTTACTAGATAACACCGATAACAACTATAACTAAACCAGCTGTCAAAATAGTTGTCGAAAACATTTTTTATGAAGAATTTTATTGAATTACTTAATTAAATGAATGAAATTCATTGAAAAAAATGCTTGACTTTTATAAACACTGAAAAAATCACTCATAACAAAATGTTATTTGTTTTAATGTCTTTTAGGGTACTCACAAGTACAAAAAAAATATATGAAATCTGATGCCGTTTATAAATATAACACTGTTATGGCAACAATTTTTTGTTTCGATTAATGCAGAAACAATGATTATCAATTGTTATCAATTTGAACCGATAATAATGTTGATAACGAACAATTAATTGATATCATTATTATTATTATTTTTTGCATAAAGGATGATGATAATATCATATTACTGTGAAGATATGATGAAAATGTGGAAAATCTTCTAAAATCCATGCTAAATTTGATGGATGAATATATCTAATATTAGTTGGGTTAAAATTATTGAATCTCTAAATGTGAACTGTGTAAATGTAAGTGTATGAAATTATATCAAAAAGATATTTAAAAAATTAACAAGCAAAGATTGAAGGTTATCATATATTTTATGAAGAGAAAGAGAGAAAAAAAAGATCTTTTTCCATTTTAATTTTGTTAATTTGATAACATCCAAATCAATTATATGGATGACTAGAAAAGAATAAACGGAAAATTAATTAAATTTAAAAAAAATTCAATTTTTTCGAAAAGTGAAATAATCCAATTATAGCATAAATGTCAAATGTTTGAAAATTTCTTTCGTTATCCTTGAAATCCATTATGAAAAAAGTAATTTTTCTTTCTTTCTTTCTCTATCTCTTTTGCTTTTTTTGTTATCCATTGATAATTCATTATATCGTATCATCAGTGTGGTAGATAAATAATTGAATATCATTCAATGAGCAATAAATATTAAATTTTCAAGATTGTTCCAGGTAAAAAACTGATATTATATTTCCGTATCCGTATCATTATCAATCAATCTTTATTTTTCTACATAGCATCGTGAATCATGATGATGCTGATGATAAGAAGAAAAAATCATTTCATTTTTCCCGAAAAATTTAAATTTTTTTATTTTGTTCGTGCCGTTGTTTCTTTTGTTGTTGTTGTTGTTGTTGACGATATTCACAACAACAAATAATATCTTTCGCTTTTATATGACGACATATTGACCTATTCAATTTCTCATTATTATTAAAGAAAATTTAATTGGTTAATTATTTTTTGAAAAAAATGATAACAAATTTGATGATCGTGATTGGTATCATCATCATATAAAGGCATCCATAAAGTTCTTATAGATAAATTACCCAATGAATGAATGAATGAATGGATGAGAAAAAAAAACGTATCAGTTTTGTGAATATGAATAGGTAATGATCATGAAACTTGATTCATTCAATCAACAAATGATGATGATGATGATGATTTTTAATTATGTCGAAAAAAATGTAATTAATTTTTGTTTTGTTTTTGGCAAGTCTGGATTTATTCATATTCATTTGTTTTTTTCAGCTATACTTTTACGTTAAATATAAAATTTGAAAAAGGCAAATAAATTACCTGTTTGTGACAGAAACAAAAACAAAAAAATCACATTGAAAATGGAAACGTCGTTGACAATTTTTTTTTTTGTTATTGAAATTCATATTATCCTCCATTGATGATATTATCATGCACACACACAAGAAAAACAATGGAAAATTAACAGTTGTCTATCCGATGATTGTTGAAATGAAAAAAAACTGAAATTCGACATGTGTGTGTGTGTGTGTGAATGTTGACAATAATGATGTTATATTCCGCAAAACAAAGAAGGTAACTAAATAATCTAAGACATTGGAAAAAATGTGTTTGATGTCAATTAGAAGGCACATTGAAAAGCAAATTTTCAACTTTTGTCCGTTCAACGTTTAGCGATTTGTATCATTACTTGTTTTGGTGATAGTATGAAATTCCCCTTTAAATATTCAAGTTTTAGATTAGTGTTTGGTATTAGACGATAATTAAGAATTAATTGTGCAATAGCAGCACGAAGTTCATTCAGTGCAAAACGATTACCGACGCAAAGACGACTACCAGTACCGAATGGCATATAAGCAATAGATGATTCCATTGAATTTTCACCTATGAAACGTTCCGGTTTAAATGATTCGGGATCAGGAAAATATTCTGGAATTCGATGCATGATATATGGACTAAATAATATTAACGTTTTAGCCGGAATTTCAATACCTGTATTCAACAATGTTGCAGATTTCGCCGGAGCTCGTGGAACTAAAATCACTGCTGGCTTAAGTCTTAATGTTTCGCAAATTACACCATTCAAAATAGGTAAACTTCGCAATGATTCATAATTTAAAGGTGAATCGTGAGTGATTAGTTCGTTATATAGTTTATCTTGCCATTCAGGATGTTTAACCAGGTAGTAAATTACATGACATAACGTAGCATTTGTTGTATCATAACCAGCAAGTAAAAAGACGATACCTTGTCCAGCTATTTCTTCACGGCTTATACCTTTTAATTTCTGTTCATTTTTATCAATCCCATTTGATTCAGACTGATCATTCAGAGTTTGTTCTACCATTAAACCAATAAGATCCTTTTTTTCTATTTGAAAAAAATACCCAAATAAGAATAAAAAATGATAGAGAATTTTTTAATTGAAATTCTTACGCTGATTTTTTGTTTTTAAACGTTCTTCGATTATCTTGAATGTCAAATCATCAAAATATTTGGCCGATTCGCGATCAATAGGATCTAAATCCAAGAATTTTCCCAAAAATGGAATAGCCACGCAAATAGCAAAGCTCCATGAAGAATCCCAGTTCATAATACGTTGAGCATGTTTTACCAATGGATGATTGGACTCACTAATTGAATCTACTTCAATTCCATATGCACATGCACCAATGATATCCATGGTTAATGCGCCAGTGTAAATTTTTACATTAAAAATTTCACCACTTTTACTATGTCTTTCCAAATTGCGAACAAAATTGTTCAAAATCGTATGAATAGGAGTGATCATCGCTTTTAATTTACCAGAAGTAAATGCCGGAGTGACAATTGTTCGAATACGTTTCCAATCATCATTTGCAGGCATGAGTAACACTGAATAAATCACTGATGTTTTGCCAAAATACCCCCACCAACGATTAGGAAATTTGTGCAATTCTTTGATCGACATTTCACGGACTATTTTCGGGTCATTCAATACTAATACACGATTTCCTATGCCATACATCCCGAAAATATAGCCATATTTTTTTACTTCTTCATGGAAATATTCATGTAATGGCTTTCTCATCCAGCGAAAATGTGGTCCTGGACAGGCTTTTATTCCTTGCCGTTGCCAAAATGTATAATATCTATAATATTTGCTGAATCATACAATATAAATCAATTCAATTATACTCACAAAAACATCATAAATTAAATCAATGGCTTACTAGATTGCACTGATGACAACTATAGCTGTGACAGCGGTCACAATCATTGACGAAAACATTTTTCATATAAAATTATTTTGAATTACTTCATTAGATGAATGAAATTGATTATAAAAATTGTTTGACTTTTATAAGCACTTGGAAAATTTATTATGCAGTTTTTATATCAAAAAAATATTTTTTGATGCCGTCCACGAATTTAACACTATCTTGATTACACTGTTTTATTCTAATAAATGCGAAAGCAGGATGATAATTATCAATTGTAATCGATGAACATTGATGACAGTAATGTTGTTTCAAATTAATCAAGCTAAATGACCTTTTGGAGGGGCTCAAGAGAACGGAAAAACTTGAACTTCTTCAATTTACAAATATGTTCAATGTCGTTGCCACCATAATTATCATTTCGTTGGTTACAAACAAATAACTAACAGTGTTATTATTTCTAACGAAAGTGATGATTATCTTTGACCAGATAATGAACGAGGATATGCGAAAGGATATTTTTTAGTGTTTCTAACCAAGTTTAGTTTTATTTTATTAAATAGATATATAGATGAATATACGTTCAATATATTTAATTTATTGCAATTATGATTCGATTTTTTTTCTCTGTATTGTAAATCGTTTCTCGAAATAATTACATTCATAATAATATGAAAATATGATGTGAATTTGTACGTTTTGTTCGAGAATATCTGTTTAAAATGATTCTCACAATTCATTTGATCAACGTTTAGTGATTCGTATCATTACTTGTTTTGGTGATAGTATGAGATTTCCCTTTAAATAATCAAGTTTTAGATCTTTGTCCGGTATTAGACGATAGTTGAGAATTAATTGTGCAACAGCAGCACGAAGTTCATTCTGTGCGAAACGCATACCAACACAAAGACGATTACCTATACCGTATGGCATATAAGCAATAGATGATTCCATTGAATTTTCACCAATGAAACGTTCCGGTTTAAATGATTCGGGATCAGGAAAATATTCAGGAATTCGATGCATGATATATGGACTAAATATTATTGCTGTTTTAGCAGGAATTTTAATACCTGTGTTCAACAACATGGTATCTTTATCTGCGACTCGTGGAACTAAATTCACTGCTGGCTTGAGTCTTAATGTTTCGCAAATTATACCATTTAAAATAGGTAAATTTCGCAATGCTTCATAATCTAATGCTGAATCGTGTGTGATTAATTCTTCATAAAGTTTATCTTGCCATTCAAGATGTTTAACCAGATAGTAGATTACATGACATAAGGTAACATTTGTTGTATCATAACCGGCAAGTAAAAAGACGATACCTTGTCCAGCAATTTCTTCTTGGCTTATACCTTTCAATTTTCGTCCATTTGTATCAATCCCATTCGATTCAGACTGGTCATTAAGAGTTTGTTCCACCATTAAACCAATAAGATCTTTTTTCCCTATTTGAAAAAATGAGAATCATAATACTTGAGAATTTTCACATTTGTAATCCTTACCTTGATTTTTCGTTTTCAAACGTTCTTTGATTATTTTGAATGTTAAATTATCAAAATATTTGGCTGATTCAAAATCAATAGGCTCTAAATTCAAGAATCTACCCAAAAAAGGAATAATCACACAAATTCCTAGGCTCCATGAAGAATCCCAATCCATAATACGTTTCGCATGTTTCACCAATGGATGATTGGATTCACTAATTGAATCAACTTCAATTCCATATGCACATAAAGCTATGACATCCATGGTTAATGCGCCAGTGTAAATACTCACATCAAAAATTTCACCACTTTCACTGTGTTTTTTTAAATTTCTGACAAAATTTTTCAAAATCTTGTTGATAGGAGTGATCATAGCTTTTAATTTACCCGAAGTAAATGCCGGAGTAACAATTGCTCGAATACGTTTCCAATCATCATTAGCTGGCATTAGTAACAATGAATGAATCACTGATGTACTGCCCAAATAACCCCACCAACGGATGGAAAATTTATGCGATTCTTTGATCGATATTTCACGAGCTATTTTCGGGTCATTTACTATTAAAACACGATTTCCTATGCCATAGATCCCGAAAATATAGCCATATTTTTTCACTTTTTCGAAGAAAAATTCATGTAATGGCTTTCTCATCAAACGAAACGCTGGTCCAGGGTGGGCTTTTATTCCTTGCCGTTGCCAGAATGTATAATATCTATAATAATTGCTGAGATATTTTTTAATCAATGAATTGTTTCGATTTCAAAACATGCTAATACATCATAAATTAAGATCAAAGACTTACTAGATTGCAATGATAACAATTATAGCTGTAATAACGGTCACAATAATTGAAGAAAACATTTTTCATAAACAATTATTTTGAATTTGATTTCTTCAGTGAAATTCATTAGAAAAATGGCTAGACTTTTATAAAAGCTAAAAAAAATTTCCGATGTTATTTTTCTATCATTAGATGTTATTCGATGCATGTTACATATCTGGAAGCTCATCCTGATAAACTATTTGTTTTTTTGATGAAGTTTATTCATAGTGTTTTTATCTTTTATATTCACGCGACTGTTGATTATTTTGTACATTTTATTTTTTGATAATTTAATTTACAAATATTGTCATTTTAATCAATTCGTCAATTCTTTGATGATAAATTAATTATTTTATTCATTTATCAATGGATTATTTGGCCATTTTTTTTTGGTAAAGATTTTCAAAGCCAATACTGTCAAAAAAACAATTATTATCACATGATGATAATAATCATGAACAAAATATTATTGGATAATGTCTAACGAATATTATTTTGTTTTTTTTTCATTTACTAAATGTCATTTCAATGTCGATAATTAATAATAATAAAACATAAGACACTCTGACATTGATTGATAATAATTTCAATTTTTTTTCATGAATGTTGTTCAGTTTGATTGATTTGTTGTTCCATCATATATCGAATTTTAAAGATTTGGAAGCTCATCGTTTTTTTCCACACTGTTTATTTTGTACTTCGCCTCTCATCGAGTGTGATTACACGACATAAAAATTCAAATTGATTTTTTTTCTTTTATGAATAAGTTGTCAATCAAATAATAACTTAATCAATCGATCATTAATAATCATAGATGTTGGTCGTGGTCATCGGTTTAATCATAATTTCGAAACTAGATCGAATGCTTGATTCACAATTCGCTGTTCGAATCGTTGATTATTTGTAAAAAAAATTTGAATGTAAAAAACAGACAAAAATTTTTTTTAAAATTATCTTTTTTAATGAAATAATTATCATGTACAATATTATTTGTCATTACATAAGACAAAGCCAAAAAACATATTAAGGAAATTTCTTTCTTTTTTTCTCACAATTTTCCGGAAAATTATCACCATTTCCAGATAAAAAGATAATGGATAAACATAGAAAATTCCCTTGATCCAATTAAATTTATCTTTTTCATCTTTTTTTTATAAAAAAAATCAATGTTACAATTAATAATACTGTGAACATAATTTTCTTGTTCCGATATCAGGATAAAGAAAGACAAATTTATCATAAAAGCATCATTTGAACAAACAATCACTTTGGAACATTGTAACACACACAAACATACAATAAAATTTAAATCATAAAAACAAGGATATAGTCTTATGGGGATTCCAAAAATAAATATTTTACTTATTATGATTATTTATTTTAGGATTTTATTTTTTGCATCAATATCTAATCACTATGACAATATTGAATGTTTTTTTTGTATGTGTAATTTTTGATTATTCAAAAAGAAAAAAAAAGTGTTACATAATTTTTTTTATTAATTTTCTTTTTAAATTAATTTTTTAATTTTAAAAATATTTCTTAATGAAAAATTAATTACATTTAATGATCATTAGAGTTTTCAGTAAGTGTGTGACAATCATCAAGGATATTTTACAGTTTTTCTATTCATTTTTTTTGCTCACTATTTTTCAATTTATTATTAACATTTCATGATCATTATCGATTGATTGATTGATTGATTGATTGATTGATTGATTGATTGATTGATTGATTGATTGACAAAACAATCAAGCGACAAACAAAAATCATGTTCCAGATCTTTTTTGTAGATAAAAATTTGGCCATTCGGAAATTATCATTATTTGATGATTATGATGATGGTAAAATGAAAAGAAAAACAATTCAACAACGACCTTTAATTCAATTATTTTGAATCTCTTTTACATTCTTTTGTTTTAAATTCTCAAACATTTCAGCGAATTCAAACACACACATGTACAATGTATGTACCATTGGATTCGATGACAAAAATTAAGAAAAAAAAAAGAAAAAAGAATGAAATTAGACAAAATTAAAGGAAAAAACATTCTCTTCGATATCACAAAAAATATGAAGAGAAAATAAATAAGGAAAAAAACATATTTTCAATCTTGAAATGAATTTTTCTCTCCCTGTCTCAAATGGCTGTATCATGTTGAACAACACTTTCTCTTTTCATCATTTATCATCATATGAACAACAACAAAAAATTTTCATTCCCAAACGATAGAAGAAAAAACCCAAATGAATAAATGAATCCATCATCCATTCATTAGCGAATCAAAACATTATGTTCAGTTTTCCATTCATTTTCATATATGATTCATTAAATATAACTTGTTAACTAAAAAATATTTTTGTGATAATTTTTATTTATAGTAATACTGATCATGATCATGGAATTTCATACAACAACATCGTGATCATCGATTATTCTAATTGATTAAAAATAAATGTGAAATTTCAATGTTTATTTGGATAAAAAAAAAATACATGTTTCGATAATTTATGTGTGTTTCCATTCAAAGTGCTGTATCAAATTCATTGATTTTTTTCGCACATCATTTTTTGTTTGTCTTTAATTTGCCCTAGTAAAAAAATTATCAATTTTATCCATTGATTTGCTGATGCTAAACTAATTATTTCCTTAATTTATTGTTGTTGTTAAAATATTTTTGTTACTTTTTTAAAGTTTTTGGCATATATACAATCATTATCACAATTTATGACAATTATCATCAACAATCGAGCCTTCCCACAAAAAAAAATCCATAAAATATATCAACATTTGATGATCGGTAAGTGTCAACAAACAACAAAAATTCATTCGAATGATTATTATCATGTTTTCATTCAATTCAATTCAAAATCATTCATTCGTCCATAACACATGACATTTTTGATGATTCTGATGATCGAATTTTTTTTCCTACTGATACGACCTTTCTCTTTCTTTTCATTTTTCATTTGTTGATTCTGTTTTCAAAGAAAATAATCAATTGAATTTTAAAAAATTTCGAAGAAAAAATTTCAAATTTTTTTTCTTCAAAGTTGATGATAATTATGCTTCATCAAATCTATGGTGTTCATAACAACAACAACAACAACGAAAAAAATGTCAATCAATTTACACGATCATTTTTTCACACAAACATTAAAGATTGACAACGATTAACCTTAATAACTTATTAATTATTATACCAAAAATTGTTGTTGTTGTTGTTTAGTTTTTTTTCGGTCAAACAACTTTATGATAATAACCTCGAAAAAAACAACAAAATATATAGTTTTTTTTGGAAAATTGGATAAAATAAATTGGACAAACCAAATATCAAACATTTTCACCAATTCAATAATAATCAATTTTCGAATGAAATCTAATCAATAAGATTTTATTAATTAATTTCATTTGTTTTTGGAATCAAATTTGTGATGGTTATTGCGAAATGTTGGAAATTGTTTTTTTTGTTATTTTTGTCGAAATAAAACAATCCCATATTTGAAATAATCATTTATATATTCATCACATCATATAATGTGTATGATTTACAATTAATTAATTTTTGTTGTTGTTGTTGTTGTTGTTTTGGGCCATATTTTGATGTACTAATCCAAAATTGGGCTTGAATTGATGAGTTTATCATAATAAATTTTTGTTTTTTTTTTCACTACTTTAAACATCATCATTATCATTATCGTTTATTTTTTTATTTCTGTCAAATTTTTTGTTTTGTTTTCAACCATTCATATTTATGATTGAATCCATGGTTTTTTTAATAAATATCATTTTTCCTTCGTATCCTTCTATTTGATATGGAAAAAAATTGACAAAAATGATTAATAAAACATTATATTTCTGATACGAATTGTTGTTTTGGTTTTTTTATGGAAAATTTAATTTGAAAAAAGGCATACCGGTAACATTTTTTCAAAAACTATAGTCATTCAAACCAACAATGAGGATCATTTGTTTGCGCGTGTTTTTTTAAGTATTCAAATTTATTCTTTATTTCTTAATTCATTTTTATCTTTTCATCATCATTTTTTCATATCAATCAATATGAATTGAATCATAATCTAAAACATCTGCGATTAGATCAATGATAACATTAACAACAACAACAACAACAACAACAACAACAATGAAATTACTCTATAAATCTTTAATGATGATAATCGTTCGTGATTTAACAAATTTTTCATCTGTAATAATAATAATAATAATAATAATGTACTGATGATTGTTGTTGTTGAAATATTCTTACATAATAAATAAAAAAGATTGTAGTAGAACAGAAAAAAAATTAGTCGAACGTGATCCGTTTTAGATGAATTCATTTGAGTTATATTTATAAAAAAAAAGATTTCACTGTTTATTCGAATCTGTTTAGCTGAAGCTATTGTCATTCGTGGTGAATATTTATTTTTTCGAAATTCAATATGTCGAATCACGTATGTCGATGATGATGAAATGGTGCGAAAAAAAAACAAAATCCTTTTCGTTGTTGATCGGTCATAACATCCATATGTGATGATCATTATTAAAGATTTGAAAATAGTATTCTGTATAATGAATCATATTGAATTCGGAAAAATTCTTAGCAGGAATCATTTGTTCTATTACAAATTAAATTAAAGGAATTATCATTTATTTTATCCCCTTTTTTTCATTCATACATATCCATTTTGTTTTTTTTATTGAAAGAAAAAAAAATCACTGATTGTAGTTGTATTTTTTCGTATCCATCCATCCATCCATGTATGAGTGTAAATTGTTTTAATAATAACATCATCGCCATTGACCAATAAAATGTTGAATAATGATGAGGAAATGGAATGAATGTTGATGATAATGATGATGATAATGATGATAGAACTAGAAAATGAAAAAACAAAAAATGAAAATGAAAATCTTTTAACAGCATTCAACACACACACATTCATTACTTTGAATCTAATCATCTAAAAACTTTGATGGTCATTGAATGGCTTATTTTAACTCGTAAATTTTTTTTTTAATATTACTGCTATACTATCGAACTATATAAATAGGATGATGATATTTTTTTTGTGATGAAAAAAGATGTTGCCATTTGCCAATTTTTTTTATTTTCGTTATCAAAAAAAAATGAATTCAAATTGAAAAGCAAAGGATGTCGATAGGAAAAAAAATCCTTTCATTGATAATTTAACAATAACAATAAGATTGAAGGTTGAATGTTTGTTAATGATAATAAAAAGTTTTTTTCAAGTTTTCATTTTTTTTTTGACAAAAAATAAAATAAAAATATCGGAATATGATAATGATGATTCGAATTTTTTTTTCTGAATACAGGATTCGACAATCGTAATGTATGCTATCGATAGATTTCGCCCTTCCCTAGGTGATTTTGATTTTTTTTTTGTTGCATCGTTTTTTTTGGCTGAAAATTTATATTTTTGTGTTTCTTGTTCTTCAATTTGAATGTTCGTGATTGAGAATGATCGATCATATTAGGATATCATGATGATCGTGGATTGATTTTTTGTTTTTGTTATTTTATTTTAAAATTTAATTTCAATTAACTAATTCTTTTTTTGAATTTTTTTTCCTTTGTAGGACAAAGACTTGTCAACGATCCGATTCGATTAATTAGTTAGTTTGTTGATCATCATCACATTTGTTGGAAATTTTTTTTTATTGGTTGCAATCATGAAAACTATTTTAATGATGATGATTATAAAATGTGCCAAGATTTTTTCATTAATAATGATGTTAATGTTGATGGCCATTTTTATGGTCCATGTAACTTCATCATCATCAGTTGTTGCTCAATCATCTAAAAATCCATGGATACCTAAACAACCTTTACCATTGACATGGATTGATAATCAAAATAAGCGATCATCACGTGTGGTTAGAGCAACGATTTCAGCATCACCTATTCCTGTTGCACCAAAACCCACTGCAGCTTTGATGGCTTCTACGAAACCAGTTACCGCTGCTGCTATTGTTCCAATAGTGCCAGCTACTATCGTTCCAGTTGTACAAACATTCCAGCCACAGTTTTTGGCAGCAGTTCCCATAGTACAACCGATTGCAATGGCTAGTAATAATAATCAAAATTTCTTTACATTATCTTCCGTTCAACGTCGACGACATACCATTCGATATCAAGCACCAAAAGGATCATCAAAAAATTCAACATTAAATTCACCATCAGAAGCACCGGAAGAAATTGCTAAACCACAAACAATCAATGTACCGATCGGTGTTTCTCATTATAAACCGATACAATTTGTCGATTCATTACAAGCATTTCAACAGCCAACTGATTACAAAGCTTTTATCGAAAGTTTTAATGAAGTAAATAAAAATACCACTAGTAATAATAATAAGAATAATAATAAATCGAAATCAGATAAAGATAAAGGACAAACAAATACTGCTAAACGACAAACTAATAAACAATCGACGACATCATCTAGTGAACCAGAATCGAAAAATATTTCGAATGAAATCAAATTGGTTGAAACAGCCAGTGGTGGTTTTGTTCCCGGTGGTAGTAATCCTGGTTTTATTCATAAACCACGAATGATCGAATTAGAATCCAGTTATATACCATTGACGCTTCGTTTTTCATCACGACCACGACGTTTGAATATTATTTCGAATGAAGATCTTATTGGACAGGATTCAAATCGTCATGATAGAATTAATGGAAAATCTGAACCAATTGATTTGATTGATAAAAATTCTGGTTTTTTCAATCTAGATACAAGATCAATATTTGGACCAGTTAAACGTGAAGAACCATTAGTACTTAAAGCAGGTGCAAATAATGTACCATCCAATATGCAACATATAATCAAATGTATATTTCCGGATTTTCGTTTTGATGGTTCGGAAAAGATTCGCAGTGCTTGTTGAAAAACAGTTTGGAACAAACATCTATTACATTAACGTCTTCGCAATACACAACCCTTTCACCCTTAAAAAATATGGTTTTTCGGATAATATTACTGGGAATTTGTTTTTGTTTTTTTTTCACTTTCATTGTTTTTTTTCTATTTTTGGTTTTTATATAATCTGTATAATTTATTCAATGTCATAAAAGAAAAATTTTTCTAAAAAAAAAATGAAACAAAATTTCGATCAATGATTAAACCTTTCCTCTTTTGTTCTCAAATGATGTACAAATTACACACCAAAGAAAAAACGTTTTATTTTGATTTTATTTTCTTGAATTTGACGATCTTAAGCCCGCATTCATGTACAGCACAAAAAAAACTTAAATGGTTCAATTGACGATCTAAAGAAGAAGAAGAAAAAATCATTAAATCGATGATGATGATAATAAATCATAAATGATTGATTTTGTTGTTAAATGTTCAATTTCGAAATTTTTATTGTTTTATTTCAACATTATATCAATATATACTGGTTTTATTCAACCATTTTTAGCTTGTCAAATTAATCGATGTTTTTGTTGTTGTTGTTGTTGTTGTTCAATGACATCTTAGGAAATTCACATCTTGGTCCGAAAATTGAAAATGTTTCAAAATGTTTCATTTTGATTTTCGTAATATATCTATTTTCTTCGTTGTCATTATGTATTTTAATAAATGGCAAAGGATGGAAAAAATTAATACGTTGTCAGTTGTATAAATTGATGATTAGTATACGAACAACATATAAAATGACTATCGAACGTTATTTGATGGAAACTTTTTTCATTTTAGATTTTCTTCAAAATTTCATCTTTGATTTTTAAAACAATTCAAATAAATCATTAAGATTTTTGAATCTAAATGAATTTTTCGTCTTCATTCGTAAAAACAAGTTAGTTCTTGTATCAAAAAAAAAAAACAAAAAAACAAAAAAATGGACATTCCGGGCTGCCGGACTTGAACCAGCGACCTATGGATATCTAAAGTTTGCAACAAACACTGAAATGTGATTGGCAATCTTTTTCGACTACAGTCCACCGCTACTACCAACTGAGCTAAGCCCGGATATTCCATAACTTCGGGATCAAACAACGTTAATCCGGTTCCGAAGCGATTTGACCATTCCGGAACACATGTTCAAATATAGCTTTTTTTCTATTTATAAATAAACTATAACAATGATCGATGAAGCTTAAATCGATACAATTATAGATTGAAGCAGACAAAAAAAACCTGTCTTTAAGAAAACACAAATAATAAATGCAGAGCAACAGAGGATCATTGATGCTGTCATCTATTGAAGATTATTCTCAAACAAACATGATGAATTCAATTTGTTTTTTTTGATGATCATAATTATGATTTTAAATCATCAACAAAACAAACCTTGAAAGATTGATTCATCATTCATTTCCATAAAAACACGGCATAAACATGAAATGGAATTTAAAAAAAAAATTCCAATGTGTTTATATGTTAAATGCAAAAATATATTTGTGTGGGCGTTCATAGTGATGATGGTTTTTTCTTCTTGTGACTTCTTGGTTAATTATCATCATTATCGATACACACAAACACTTTATGTAGGAATGTCACGTATATAATATCATGCTTAATCGATTGTTGAGCAATTGTAGATGTTTTGTTGGTTGTTTTTCGTTGTCATGATGATACAAATGTTTAAACATTTCATGGTCAATAAAATAGAGATTTTTTTAAAAAAGAAAAGAAAATTCGCTATAAATCAGAAAATTATTCAAACACGTAACATATCAAAATGATTTTAGAATCAATAATTCTTTTCAAGATTAAATCTTTTATTTATTCATTTTTTTCAAATTAAATCATCATAATATTGAATCATTGAAAACATAAAATAAAAATTATTATTCATTTCATACATTTATTAAAGTAATCGATAAAATTTTCGATTCATACAAGAAATATTACTTTATAACAATAATAATATAAAGCTTTTGCTTATCTCTATTGCAAAACAATTTAAGAAATGATAATCTACACTTCAGTTTCACGGCCAATCTTTTGACCACTGTTATCATTAATGGTATTGTTGGCACTTTGGTCTGAATCATTTGTTTTTAAATCATTATTATTTGAATCAGTATCCTTTGAATTAGTTGATGCAGAAGATGGTTTGTTAGATTTTCGTGAAAATATCTTGAATGTTCGTTTACCATCTTTCTTTTTATCAATTTTCTCAACAGAATTATCTTTATTCATTCCGTCATCATTATCTTCAATCTTAATATGTTCAACATTAGTCGAATTAGATTTTTTTTCTGAATGTAATTTTGATTCCAATAAAGCAACGACACGATTCACTTCATTGATAGCTTGTTTCCGATATTTACGTAATTCATCATCGCCATCAATATTGATACAATCAAGACGAAGTACACATAATGTAAGCATTTCATCTAACCATTTATATCCTTTGTCATCGGCAGTTGTCGCTTGACATTCATGTACTTGTTGTTCCCAATTTTTTAGATCATCTAATATTTCATCAATATAATCGAATGGTGTCTCTTCTTTTTTCTCTGTTTGTTGATTTGGGCTAATTGATGGTTCATTTGATTGTTTTTCATGTTGAACGTCATCATTTGATGAGAATGATGGAGGGGGTGGAAGAGCTGTTGGTGGGGCATTCTGTTGATTGATTTGGGCAGCTTGTTTACTTTCAATTACCGATTCATAAGCTAATGGCACAACCTTGGGTATTTCTTTATCCGAAAATGCTATAGATTCCGGTGTCGATTCATTCTTTTTGATTGGTTCATAACTCATTGCATAAACTTTATTTGGATCGGCTATTGTTGGATCGGATAATGATTCATTTACTGGAATATTCTGCTGATGTTGTTGTGGTGGTCGTTCATTTGTTGCAGATGGTGATGAATTAGATTTACTAATCTGTATTGGAACTGAACGAACCATACGTGGACTAGCCGATGATCGTGTAAATGATTGTTCATTCTTCATTGGTAATTGTTGTGGTTGCTGAAAATGTGTAGGTGGTGGAACAGGAGGAGCGTAATGCGAAGAATTTAAATGTTGAGCTGGTTGTTGTTGATGATAGTCAGCATTTGATGGTGATGATACTGGCATTGGGGATTGCTCACGAGATCCTATATTTGATTGCGATCTTAATGCATTGGCTGAATTAGCCATTTCACTAGCAGTACGTGATTCAATCTGAATCGGGATATGATGCACTTTAGGCTGCTGTTGTTTTTGATCATCACTATTGATTGTATCACTTGGATCATTGAAAAATGTATCATGATGATGAAATCTTGTTTCAGGAAAACGTGAACGGAAAAATGATGATGGTTCCATATTATTAAACATTGATTGAGGATGATGATGTGGATGATGAAAGCGTGAATCTTTCATAAAATCAGCAATAGGATCGTTATAATACGATTGCTGTGTAGAATCAGTATTTGGAACATTGGCATTATCCTATGCAATAAATTGTTAAACCTCAAAAATAAAATAATAGATAACAATACTCACCTGTGACGGTGACTGTTGATTTTGTTGATAATGATTATGTTGCTGAGCAGCCGTTGGTTCAAACATTTTTGATCGCAATGATGTTGATGTCAATTCCGGATATTTTAATTTAAGCTCATTAAAACGACGATCAAATTCATCTAATGCACGTGAACGTGTATTTGAATTCCAATGATTATCATTACTAGTCGAAGTGTTGTTTGTAAATGAATCTCTATCGATATTCATTCGGTTGTTGTTGTTATTAGAATTGTTCATTTTTTTAGCTTTTTAATCAAACAACAAAAACAAAACAGAAAAAAAACTATAAACAGCAACAAGAACGTAGAAACTTTTGATCTGCCTACACTTAGATGTTCAAGACAGAAAAAAGAGCCGAAATAAATTCTTTGTGTAATAAATCCGCTACCTCTCTTGAGATCATAAAAATAACGAAATTATGATTGACGTTGGTGTTACATGAAAAAATTTTTAGATCGGCGATCGATTAAAATAAACGTTGGCATCGTCGAGTATCGTAGAGTATTGGCATTCTTTTAACAAATTTAGCAAACAAACAAAAAAAAATTCTTTATATTTTACAAAACAAGACAAAAAACAAAATGCAACAAATGATGAGTTTGTTTTTTTTTCTGTTCACCACTACTACTTTATGAATATTAATTTTTTTCTTCGAGTATTTAAAACTTCTGGAAAAAATGATGAAAAAATCAGACGAACCAGATAAAATCTGCTTGGAAAAAAACACAAATGAATAATTATTCTAAAGGTTATAATGATGAAATGAATAGGCAATCAAATTAACCAAAAAAAATAATAATAATTGAAAACAAGGTCGTCAACCATTCATTTATTTTCAAAATGATAAATGTATTGATTAATGAATTTTCTTATGGCTCATTTCTAATTTTTAAAGAAAGTTAATTTTGGCTATTATAATATGTAAACACAATGAATGTCTTGTTGTTGTTGTTGTTGTACCCTGAATATTCGAATCGAAAGTTTTGATTAGAATTTGGTTATACAAAGTAGTGGCACCAACAAATGTAGGTCATAAATGTAGATGTAGTATGTAGTATGAATGGAAGTAGCATTATGAAAATATATCTATGAATTTGTGTATCCAACTTTTTTTTTCTGAATTATTAATCACAAGAAGACGAAAGAATAATCGAGAACATGATGATAATGATAATGATCAAGATGATGACGCCATTTTTCGTCGTAATAAAATTCATTCACAAAATATTGAATTAATGATAAATAATTGATAAAAATCCAAAATAGACGATGAATCAATAGATAATAATATTTTTGATTATTATGAATGGAATTGTTTCGATGATAACAAAAAAAATTTTTTAGAGAAAATAATATTCAAATCATTTTTGTTTTCTTTTTTATTTTGATGCAATACGTCGCAATGAAAATGATCTTGAACAAACGACAACGACGACAACAAGTTTCGATGATCATAATAATTTGTATATATGAAATGTGTGTGTGTGTGTGTGTGGGATAGAATACAATGTCATACATAGGTAGTAAAATTCCAATTTGAAAAAATAAGCAAAAACAACAACTACCCTCTTATATATAGACTGAACAATTAAATTGAATTCTATTCAACAATAAATACGCGATCGAGGGGAAAAAACATGTTAAAATTGTGAATTTTTCTACAAAATCAATGAAATGATAGTTATATTGAACAATCTTTCTTTGAGTGGAACAATCCTCTTCTCGTTTTTTATTTTGTTTTGTTTCGAAGGTTAAACATTATCATCATCACCATCGACGGAGTTTATCGATACAAAGAAAAAAAAGAAGAATTTTTCAATTGTTTTCAATTGATTCATATTGCCCATTTAACACACACACATACCAATCATTTACAACAATTACATATTGAAGTGAAGGAAGTGAAGGAATACTTGTATATTGCATCTTTAAAAGGAAAAGTGTCGTTGTCATCGTCATTATCGTCATCGTTGTCGTCGACGTCATTCACACATACAAACAATGTTTGCATCCGAATTATTCGAATGTAGAAAATTCTTTTCAAATTCTAATAATTTCCTATTTATGATGCAACCAAACAATTTCAATGACAAAAATATTCTTTCAAGAATAAAAATAATGGGTTAGATTTTATTCGTTTTTAAATGTCTCGATTGTATGACGATTTCATGAAATTTGTATTTTATTAAAACAAAGAATATTCTGGAATAACTCGAAGGAAATACAGAAAGTGACAACAGGTGTCATCACAGAAAGACAACTTACCTATCGACAAGAAAAAAATTCTTTACAATATTGAATTTATAAATATTTATTTTTAAAAAAATAAATATTTTTGGTGTTTTTATTTTAATTTAAAAAAGAAAGAATAATACATTATTTACACTTGAGACGATTATTACGATAATTTGATATTGATTGGAATAGAAAATCTTGCTGCTGCTGTTGTTGTTGTTGTTTTTGTCGATTACGATACGATTGATGATGATGATTATGATGATGTTGGAAAGATTGTTGAAAAAATGTTTTCAAATAATTCATTACAAATCGAATGATTATCTTAATATGTTCAACAATAACATGATTCATGTAAAAAATATTGATACAAATATTGTAGAACAACATCGTCAATGAAATTGATAAAATGGGATAATAATAATAATAATAATGATTAAAATAAATGAACATTAATTATTTGAATCGAATAAAATAATAATTTTTTTTTTCTTTTTTGGTCTCAATATTAATTCAAATTATTCGAAACGTTCTACAAGTGGTTACAATGATGAATTGTTTTAAATAAATCATTTGATTGATTGATGTCATCATCACTAATTAATTATCAATAATCATCATTATTATTGTCGACGTCAACAATGTTATTAGTTGATTGATTTAAATCAATCAATTTCAGAATGATCAAATTCATCACCGATACTAAAATTAATAATTAAATCCAAATAATCATAATTGAGATGCAAACGTGGACATGATCGTAAGTAACGTTGTATACGAACAACATGAATGAGCAAAAACAAAAAATTGTTATTGAATTTCATCTGTGTTTTTGTGTTGATTTCTAAAACAAATCTTATTTGATTAAATTAATTTTTCAACCAATTCCTATCATATCGATTATACTAGGATATAATATTTTATCTATTTATCTTTGTTCATTTTTCTGCATGTTGAATTTAGTTTCAAAAAATTTTCTACATCACTTTTCAAAGGTAATTTAATTTAAAAAATTCTAAAATTTCTTATTCGTTTATTTTCCATAGATTTATGTATTGTGTTTATTCAATTGTATTCTATTGTTCAACCATTAATCGCATGTTGATTTATTCGTTTGTTTACATCAAAATTATTTTATCATTAATGAAAGCAACCACGTAAAGTATTTTATCCCTCCTGAAACATTTGTTTATTATTATCGAATCGAATTCGAATTTATTGCTTCATACACACACACACACACAATTTCACCTATACACTCATAGCACACCCATTCAAATATAAATAAAGACAAACACACACAAGACACAATGGAACCCGAAGCTTGGGCTAAGGCTCGAGAATCTTTAGCCAAAGTAAATGGCGTAGCTACTATTGCTTCACAATCACCTGCTTATCAACAGCTCCAACAAGCTTATTATGGTTGGTCGAATGTTTACAAGTAAGTGGAATAATCTATTACAAAACTTAATTAATTTCTGAATATTTTGATCCGTTTTTTCCTAGTACTCCCCCTTATTGGAATCAACAGGGATCTTATCAGCCGCAGCAATCATCAACTATTTATCCACAACAGCAATCATGGCCAAATTATTCATATGGAATGGCTAATCAAGCTGGAGCTACACATGTTAATACAATGATGAGTCATCAGCCAATGATGACGCCTCAAGCACCTATGCCACCACCACAACCAACACTTTCTACACCAACTTTACATGCCACGCCATTAGTAAATAATAATAATAATATTAATAATTGTCCTTATTCATCACCATCAAGGCCGCCATCATCAACGCCATCGATTAGTAACACTAATATGAGTAATAGTAACAATAATAATTTCATCAGGTTTAAATTACAAAATCCAACAAATCAACAACAGCAGCAACAACAAAAACAAATTCATCATTCAACATCATCAGGGTTTAGTTTTGGTGCGAAAAATCAGATTCAGCATAACAATATGATATCAGATAATGATAATCAGAATAATAATGAAGGAGATAAGTCGCGAAATTTAGGTTTATTAGGATCATCATCAAAATCATCACAAAAATCAACGGAAATGAAGTCATCAAGCAATGATTTTCCACCAGATCTACAGGATTATGTTAATAGAGCATTCGCTTTATCGAACAATGACCTGGATAAAGATCGTATTGAAATTATTTTGAAAGGCAAATTGACATTGGCATTAAAGAATGGCACTCTTTATTCGAAAGATTGGAAAAAGGAACCATTACCATTGTTGAATCAATCGGGTGATGGTAACAAAAATAAATCATCGGCTAATACGAAAAATCTATCGAAACCGTTATCAGGGGATTCGTATAAATATAAAGGATATTTTTCCAGTCCGGAAAAAAGCCCAACATTATCATCATCATCGAGTAGCAGTAACAATGAGGATGATAGATTTCATAATGGTTCGGGAGGTAGGCATCATTCTTCATTCGAAGACAATCGTAATAATTCGACGAAATCAATTGGTAATAAAAAATTGACAAAAAATGATAAAAAGAACAAGAATAAAAAGTAAGTGGTATTTCTTAAATTTGAAAATATATTTTCTCTGAAAATTAATTTTTCATTTTCATTAGTAATGAGGATTTCATTCCACTTATTGAATCAATTAACAACAATGGTAGTGGCAAGAAGAATAGGCGGGGAAAAAAACGAAAAAATCGACAACAAATGAATAAAAAAGGAAAAAAGAGTAATAAGAAATCACCATTCTGGAATGATTTTGTTGATGATGATGATGGTAGTGATGATGATCGTGATAATGACTTTGATGATGATGATGAAAATTCAATTACTAAACCAACATCGTCAGATATATTTAGCAAGGAAAATGTTGCAAAACGAAAAGCTAGATTTGAAGATTCAATCAATATTCAATCATCAATCAAAACAAATTCGTTTAAAAAGTCAAATACTCGTGAAGTTGTTAGGTTTAAAAGTAATCCACGTTCGTCATCAGCATCTTTTTCATTTGATTGTGAAGGTTTTGGAGAATTTGATCTTTCGACAATCGAACCGATTGTCGGTACAAATGATAATCTGGAGAAACAATATCTAAGGTTAACACAAGCACCTGATCCATCGACCGTAAGGCCATTAGAAGTGTTACGTAAGTCATTAAAAATGGTCAAAGATAAATGGCGTACCGGTCAGGATTATAATTATGTTTGTAATCAACTGAAATCTATTCGCCAAGATATAACGGTACAATGTATTAGGAATAATTTCACTGTTGAAGTATATGAAACACATGCACGTATTGCATTAGAAAAGGTTAGTTTGATTTAATCACTGATAAAAAAATTTTAATAATTTTTTCATATCTTAAAAGGGAGATCACGGAGAATTTAATCAATGTCAAAGCCAATTAAAAGTACTGTATAAAGAAAAAGAAAATGTTGGTGATTGTCCTAATCGTTGTGAATTCCTTGGCTATTTAATTCTCTATTATATTTATTCGAAAAACGAAAGTGGTTAGTGTTTGCTTTATTTTTTTTTAAATTAATATTTTGAAATCAATCAATTTATAATTATTTGTACTTGATAGATCTTCAAAATATTTTGCATGAACTTGATCGACATGATAAACAAGACGAGGTAATATCTCATGCATTACGTGTACGTAATGCATGGTCACTTAAATTTTATCATCAATTATTTCGATTATATGATCGAGCACCAAAAATGTCTGGCTATCTGATGGATTGGTTCATTGAAAGAGAGCGTAAATTAGCATTAATGACTATCATCAAGTCGTATGTATTTTTTGTTATTCTCCAAATCTTTTATATTTCTTTTTTATAATTTTATTTTGTTTTACAAATAATCACTCAATTCATAATTTTTTCTTTTTCACAGATATCGTCCTACAATTCCATTATCATTTTTGCGTAAAGAATTATCGTTCAATAATGATACCGATTTTTCAGAATTTATATCCCAATTTGATGTTAAATATCTTGAACATCAACCGAAAAATGCAATGACTAAAAAAGTAGCTGATATTGATGATAGGATAATTGATTGCAAAGCATCACAAACTTCATTGCTACAGCAACAGCGTCAATGATTTGCTTGCGAAAAGATGAATGAGGAAAAAATGAATTTTAAGAAACATGGTGAAGGATGAAAAAGAAAAGGGAAATCAAAGAAACCGGTTGTCTAAAAAAATGTTATTTTCCAAAATTCAGGAATTTTCCAGTTTTCTCGATGAATTTTTCGTTTTTTTTGTGGAAATTTCTATCGAAGAAGATCATCTTATCATTTTCTATTTTATGATTGGTAATCAAAATTTTTTTTATGGAAACCGATTGCTGAAACAGCTGGTTGAACACTTCTCTTGGTCATTTGGTCTTCTTTTTCGGGGACATCTTGTCTCTTAATTGTTGCTGCTTTGTGTTGGTTTGTGTTCCGTATGTAGATAGATTCTCTCTCGATTGATTTTCTAGCATTTTTTATTGGTTGAAAAAATCAACTATTCAGGCAAGATTATTTGAAAAAAATGGAAAAAAAAGTAAAAGGAATTGTCATGAAAAATTTACGCTCTCTTTCAATGAATCAAACCATAAATCAGAATAATAATGGTCAGATTTTGGTAATAAAGTCGTCGGTGTGTAATATAGAAAAATTTATTTCATCATCAAAAAAACTCATCCCATACCTAAAAAAATATCATCTTTATCTTTTCTTTGTTGACCTTCCATCAATAATCAACCCAAAAAATGAAATTGTTGATTTATATTTTTCTTTTTATTCAATTTTTTTTTTCAATTTCATTTAATTACCAATTATTGATTTGTTGTAGTTTGTAATTATTTTTCACTACTTTCATACATTCACACGCAACACCTCAATGCCAAAAAATTGAACGCTTCTTTTTTTTGTTTAAAATTTCTATTAATAATATTACTATGCCAGTTTGATTAACATTTTATTTCTTATCAATAAAATTTTTGATGATGATTAAATTTGAATTTGTCTAATTGTAAATTCATGATGACAACTAAGTCCAGGTATAGCGACATTAATTCGTTCAAGTTTTTGATGATGTTCAAGAATTTTTTCTGCGCGATGTCGACGTCGATTAAATGGATTCGATTTGATCAATAAAACTGTCAATGCTAATGAATGATAGAATATAACATTCATAATGATCATTATGATGCAATGATAAAAATATTCATCATTATCAATACGTAATTTATATAATAATGCTGATGTTTGTCGAGGTAGACAACGGCCAAAACCATATAAACGTACCAGAATTGCTTCGATTGCGAATCGTAATGGTGAAATGTTTGATAAAAATTGATAAAAATAATGTAATTGTTTTATGGGTGTACCGCCATTAGACAATAGTGCATTCAATATTCCCAAACCGACCAATAAAATAGCCAATGTATTGAAATCACCTTCATCATTTGTCATTATAGCAAATAGATATCCGGCACCTTGCATAGAAATGGCTGCCATAAAATGAAAAAACCATTGCCAAAAATACATTCCTGATTGAATTGGTTCATAAATATCAATTATATAATCGAATATGACTAATACTGCCATTATCTGTATCCATTCGATTATGATTCGTGTTAAATAGAATACACCGGCACTGTACCAACCTTTTGATGGTAAATTAATTTATATTAAACTATAACAATAATAACAAAAGCATACCATTACGATGTTCGTTCCAGAAAAATGGAATATCTTTATTAAAAATAAATGATGTTTGCAACAATAGGAATAAAGTTTCAGTAAATAGTATTGCATAATTGCGAACAAAATTAAGTTTAAGATTAAATAATTCGTCATTTTTCTCATTATCATTACAAGTATTATTATAATCATCATCCCAATCGATACATCCATTTGGCTCAGCAATCTTTGCATTGAACATTGATCGAAGATTGTTACCTTGCCAAATTAACAAAAATGTGAAAATTGAAAATGGAAGCCATTGATAACCTTTGAAAAAGGTAAAATATCGGCGAATCAAAATCAACGAATGTCGTAATGAAAAACGATTCATATTCGTTTGTATACCATCTTTGACCAATATAGTATCCTCATTTAGATTTTCTTGTAAAATTATTTCATCAGCTTTTGTGGCTAATTTCTGAATTAAAGGATTCGAATGATTCAAACAAGAATATTTAATCAATTTTTCTACGGGAAATGCATCATTTTTTATCATTTCATCTTTGAATATTTCTGAAAGATATTGTTTAATGTTTGTTGGATTTCCTGAATACACACATACACCTCCTTTAGCCAATACGTATAGATGATCAAACATCATCAAAATTTCGAAATTTGGTTGATGAACGCTTGCAATTATGGTAAGATTATGCTGCTGTGCTACTCGATGTAAACAAGCGATTACAACTTCAGCCGAATTACTGTCCAATCCACTGGTTGGTTCATCAATACAGATAAGATTCGGCATTCGAAGACTGGTCAATTCTAATCCAAGAGCTAATCTTTTTCGTTCTCCACCGGAACATTTCTGAACAAAAGTGTCAGCAGAATCAGCCATGCCCAGTTCATTCAATAAATTTCTGGCTATTTTTTCGTGATTGACTAAAGATGATTCAAAAGCATTTTTCAATCTAGATGCATAGATCAAACTTTGTAATGCGGTGAGACCTGGCATCAAATGGCCAGACACTTCTTGCGTTATATAACATACTCGAGTTGGACAATATTTGGTTATAAAGAATTCACTTTCTACGCTTAATCTTGTTTTCATTTGACCATTCAATACTTTCAATAATGATGTTTTGCCTGCACCTGAAGGTCCCATCAATGCATTCAAAGTTCCGAATCTAAACTGACCATTTAAATTTCTTAATATTAGCTTAGAATCAGGTTTAATTTCTTTAGCAGAACGTATTTCATATATTGATGTTGTGGCAAACAATGTAACATAACGCCATGCGATCATAATTTTACCTCGTGTAAATTTTTCAAAATCAAGTTCTTCAATTCCTTTGCTTCGAGTTACATCTGATTTATCGATATTAACATTCTCAGAACCGGAATCGATTGCTGTATTAAAACTTATTGGTTTTAATTTATCGATATTTGATTGTAAAAATCTTTTTGTCGATAAGTCAGCTGAGAATCGAAAAAACATTATGATAACTGTTATTATTCGAAGCAATACAATATTAGTCAAGATTTTTAGTACATCACTATAGATTTTAGTCGTATCGATACCATAATCGAGCATTATATAAGAAATTTCTTTCTCCGAATCACAACGATCCAAAACATAAAATGAATATAGCCAACCATTGACGGGTACTTTTGAATTTAGAATATTAGCTAATATTTTCATTGCGGGATTTTCTATTTGTTCCAGATTATAAAGTGAACCGCTAAAAACATGAAGTGCTTGTGCAGTAAATGCCCCAGCAATTAATGCTACGTTAAAATTTTCTGAAAATATTATGCTCATTAATAAGGCAAAACTTTGCAGGTAAAGATCATACATCCATCGAAAATAGATCATGTTGCCTAAACGACGCCAATTGATTTGATGTCCATCAACATATGAATGATCGATTAGAAAATATAATAGCACGACAATATATGATGAAATAAAACAAAATTCGATGAAACAAACGATTGAAAAGGGGATGTAAAATGCTCCCAAACTGTACCATTCTTCAGGTAAAAAAAAACATTCAGAAAGATTTTCAAATAAAACTGATCAAAAGTTACTTACGATTACGATGTTCATTACGAAAAACTTTGAAAATTTGCAGAAATGATATGATGTTCATGATAATTAAAATTAAAGAAAAATCCAAAGTACAATGCCCCAGAAATGCTTTATACTGTGTATTGTAATCTTCATCATTTAATTTATCTAAACATCTGGAATAGGATCCATTTTCATATTCATAGATCGGTACACAAGTTTCCGGTTGAACCATTCGTGGATTGAATGCAGATTTTAGTATTATCGATAATACTGTTAGCAGAACAATCCGTATGATAAATTTTTCATATTCAGTGATCAACAAAATATCAAACATTCTATATAATTGAAGAAATAAATCGCCCATGCTTAAAGATTTGCGATTTCTTCGAATTCCTCGATCCAAAAATTTCAATCGTTCACGGATTTGAGATAATGGTTCTGTTATTTGTTCATCATTAACTGTTGTATCTGCCAGTTGGCGAACAAGTTCGTTGTCAATTCCTAGAATGTTGTCACAAATTAGGATTGGAATAGATTTACATATTATACAACTAACCATAGCATGCAATTTTTAGATATTCTTCTATTGCAGGTTTTTCTTCATTCACTTCACGATGACAATTTGATTCCAATTTGAATCGCAAATTTTTTGGTTCACCTGAATATATACAGACGCCACCTTTCGAGAGAATATAAAGTTTGTCGAATAGATTTAAAATATCCGAACTTGGTGCATGAATTGACACTAGAATGGTCAGACGATTGTTATGGTCAGCTAATCTTCGTAGACATTGTGTGACCAATAAGGCCGAATTACTGTCCAAACCCGTAGTCGGTTCGTCTACAAACAAAAAGCTTGGTTGTTGCAATGACATAAGTTCTTGAGCTATGGCTACTCTTTTTTGTTCACCACCCGAACACAATTTGAATTTGTTGTCCAAAATACTTTCGTCCAGCAAAAGTTCACTTAATACTTTAGTAATGTGTCGATCCATCTCGAACCAATGTCGACGATCATTTTTGAACCGGAAAGCATAGTAGAGCACTTGACGAATAGTCATTTGGTTCAGGATAGTTTCATGAACATGTTGTTCAATCATGCGAATCACAGGTGTCTGTTGCTCTTGCAGACTTAGGTAAATTTCTGAATTCGAAGACATACCAGATCGTAACGTACCATTTAGGCAATTCAATAAGGTTGTTTTACCTGCACCACTTGGGCCGAGAAATCCATTTAAACTTTGGTATTCGAGATGGCCATTCAATTGTCGAAGAATTAATTTTCGATTAAAAAATAAATCTTTAGCTTCATAGCTAAGATTACGCCAAGCAATTGATATATTCAGTTGTTGATAATCACGAGAGATCATTTTCTTTCAATTACTAACCTGAAATGATTTAATGATTAATTTATATTGAATCATAATCATAAGATAACTTGTACGAAAAATTATCAATTCTTGCTTCGAAGTTACCAGTTTTTGACATTTTTCTTTCTCATCTTTATTTGAAATAATTCATGAAATAAAATGTTTTTTAATCAACAAAATACTTGTTTATAATATTAATTTTAGCTATGATGTCATTAAATCCTAACATTGAACGTCAGCCTTATCATAAAATCAAGGACGATTCAACACTTTTGGTGGTTATTTGAATCACCGTCACTATAGTATATGTATTACTATACTATAGTGACGGTATCACATATATGTATCACTATGTATACATATTTTTAAAATATGTAATAGCATAATGAAGTTGAAAAAAACTGAATCAATTATTTTGATTCATAAATTCAGAATCAAACTTAATAAACAAATTTATTGATATTATAAATATGAATCAAATAACTCTAAAATTTCTACGATTGTTGCTTCTTTTCTTTTTCTAAACGTTTTAATTCATTTAATTTTTGTTTCAAATCATCCACATTGACTCTTTGTTGTTCCAATCGTTTTATATCTGCTTCCAGCATCGGTATTTCTAATTCGGGAACAATTTCAAACAAATCTCTTGATAATAAATCATCAATATCGTTAGGTTCACGTAGCAGAATGAAATAGATAAAAAATATAGCGAAAGATAGTCGAATAGCTAAGCTATTATAAGACGGTACTGTTGGTTCTTCTTCAATTTCTATCATATGGATTAACAAGAATAATTATTGAATACTTTTCTAAAATTCAATGATTTAATTGTTTTACCTCTGAAATTTTCATATGCTTTGTAACGAAAAGCTTTACTTTTTGTATATTGGATCGGCTTACTATTATCTTCAACATTATTACGATCAGTTTCATTAGATTGCAATCTTTTATGATGACTATTTAATATCCATAGATTAGCCAAAACTGTTCGTTGTCGCATCAGATGTGACGGATATAAAGATGCAGATATTATCCGCTTTAAGAAAATCATTTTAAATATAATTTAAAACATGAAAACAAGTTTCAAATTTTTCAATAAACATGTGTATTTTGCGCAATTCAAAGATGTAGTATTGCATTTTTTTTAAATTATAAAATTCTTTATTATCCTTAGATTTTCATATATATTTACATGATGAACAATTTTTCATCAGAAAGTTATATGTGTTTATGAAAATTGATAAATGTCAAATTTCGATTAATCCATCAAAAGTTTTATCAATGCACAACAGGATTCAATGGTTCAGCTCGTATAATTGAATAGTTTACTTTTTTGTCCAATTCTTCATCGATTTCGCCAACGACAGCCCTAAATCATATCATAATCATGAATAAAAACATAATTAGGATTTTTTCTTTAAGAAAGGAATAAAGTTTAGATTAATTGTCACATACACATTATCACCACGAATGATGTAAAGTCCAAGAAAAACTTGTTCAACACCAGCTGAAACACTATATACTCGTTCATGACATTCCTCCATTATTATATTAATTGTTTGATCAAATCCTTTCAATGTACCCTAAATAAATTGAAAATATAAAAAAATGGTAAATTACTAAGGTTACAAATAGAATGATACATACGACAATTTGACGACCATCTACTGTGATAACCGACACTGTTCCTATTGAGAGAATATTCATGTGAAACAAATAAAAACTGCATTAAATTTATCATTAATTAAATGACTTACTTCCCACATAACTTTCCAGATTGTTTGCCATTTTTGATTTTTAATAGAAAAAATTCAGGAAAATTAAACGGTCAAAGCCAGACACGATCGATTCAAAACATGAATGAGTTTTTTCATTCCGTACTGTATGAACGGTTCGTGGGGAGCTTGAGGGGTGAAAGTATGCGCGTGTGTTGTTTTGCGTGCTTGTTTGCAGGTTTCCGTTTCTCTCCTTTCGACGTGTGTTGTGTGTTGAAAGAATTTGATTTTTTTTATAAAGTTTTATTTTTTTCAGGTAAAAATGGGCCGCCGACCAGCTCGTTGGTAAGTTTTAACTGGACAATTTTAAAAGAATTAATTATAATAAAATTTGATGATGATAGTTATCGGTATTGTAAGAATAAACCGTATCCAAAATCACGTTTCTGTCGTGGTGTCCCAGATGCAAAGATTCGTATCTTTGATTTGGGCCGTAAAAAAGCACGTGTTGATGAATTCCCGTTATGCGTTCATCTGATTTCAAATGTATGTTTAAAAATTTCTGAATAATCTTCACAACTATTGATTAAATTATTTCTTTGAATGAAGGAATTTGAACAAATTTCAAGCGAAGCAATGGAAGCTGCTCGTATTTGCGCCAACAAATACCTGGTAAGTTAATGACGATCAATTTAAGCATTCAGATTATTGAGTTCTAGAATGGACAAAGCTTTTGTGCTTGATTTCATTCTGGAAATTAAATCTGATAGATTATCATAGTGATCATACTCTCATCTTGGAATAAGAATTTATTCATAAAATTATTCTCAGATGCAATTGGTTACTAACAAATTTTTTTCTTTTCTTTGATTAGGTAAAAACGTGCGGTAAAGATGCTTTTCATGTTCGTATGCGTGCTCATCCGTTTCATGTATTACGGATTAATAAAATGTTATCATGTGCCGGTGCTGATCGACTTCAGACCGGTATGCGTGGTGCATTTGGCAAACCATTAGGAACGGTCGCTCGTGTACACATTGGCCAAGTGATCATATCGGTTCGAGCCAAAGAACAGCATAAAGAGAATGTTATCGAAGCACTTCGTCGTGCCAAATTCAAGTTCCCTGGTCGACAAAAGATTGCCATCTCACGAAAATGGGGATTCACCAAATGGGACCTGAAAGATTATGAACAGATGCGTTCCGATGGCCGATTGATTCCGAATGGTGTTACATGTTATTACAAACCGAATCATGGCCCATTTTCTGAATGGGTTAAAGTTCAGGAACAATTACACGGAGTGAATTGATTTTTTTAAATTAAAAAGCAAATAAATGAATGATTTTTTAAAATTTAATTTTGTTTTGATTTTTTCATTACATCAGTATCTCGATGATTTTCAAAATTTTCCATTCCGTATTGGTAAATGATATATAAACTTTTGATTATTAAAAATGTCCAATAAATATTGACCAGGTAGATGAAATACAGGAAGCTGTAAAGGATAATAAGTATGGACATTGCTTCTAGTTGACAATAATTACGTGTTGTATGGCCTACTTTTGGTAACAGATTGAACGGATATTCATATAATCTATTCGGTGTCCATACGATTAACAATATCAAAAATAATAGCACCCGCCACATTCTCAAGTAATTTCGTATCCAACCGAATTGTAATTTTAAAATACAACGTGAATATACAAAAATCGAGCTAGATTCTAGAATGTATATGGTTAGTACGCCAATTAAATGTTGTCGTGTCATATAAGACAATGTTATCAAACCAATGGTGATCATATGATGTGAAATGAATACCCATTTATCTTTATATTTTTTGACACCAACTACTAATTCGATTGTTGCACGAATATACTCACAAATGTCAAACAAGAAAAATAATTTGACTTGTGTCGAAACGTTTATATTATGATTTCCGATGTTGATGTAATCATTTGTTTCTGATACGATTTTCAATGCAAATAGGAATAGTATTATGCGATGTATAGAAACCCAGAAATTTTCATCAAATTTATATCGATGTTCCACGAACAGAATTTTATTTGCAATCAAATTATCAATAAATTTTTCAAACCATAAACGACGTAAGTTCCAAAAGATCCAGGTTCCCAATAAAATACATAAAATTTCCGTAAAAAAATAGTTGTTCAATGGTATTAGATGAAATATTGTTTGCCGAAGATCCGACCAAAATGATCGACAAGATTGATTGTGATATGACATCATCATAATATGATAAGAATCATTCAATAAGTTTAAATTTTCATTGATATAATTAACCATCATTTTTGATGAGTGCGTATTAAGTTCAATTTATTAAAATATTAAATGATATTATGCTTGATTTTGAGAGTTAACAAATCAAAAATTAAACGAATGCAATCTTTATATAAGTTGATTCTATGGATGGCAGGCTATTTATTTTCTATTACGAATAAATACGTCAATCGCAATGATATCCATGACACTTTTTTCAGCATTGAATATGATTTGAAGTGTTATTAATGATCAACATCATGAAGGATGAATATATCATGGACAGGTTTGGCTCGTACTTTATCATTTATTAAATTCATCAAAATTTTTTAAAAAATACCATATTTGAATTAATTTATTCTATTTATAGTTTTTTATTTACAAATAACATTGATTGATTATGTTTGAAATGTACCCTTAGTATCAATAATAAATAAATCAGATTTTAAACGTTTTTTACGTGAATCATCATCCTCATCATCGTCACTATCATCGAGATTAATTTCATCTGGATTTTTTACATCAATAGCTTTGTGTTCTATAAACATCTGGTTGGGATCCCAAATTCCTAGCTTATTACAAAAGATAGATGTCTGTGGATTTAAATAGTTTATTTGCCGTGATGGATCACAATCATTAGTACGATCCATTACAGGTTTACAGGGTTCAAAATTATTTGGTATGGAAAAATCACCATCTAAAAATAGCTTAGTAATTTCATCAAGATCATTCTGAGTGATTTGGATTTCATTCGCACATTTAAAAATATTGATTCCATTTATCTGTTCACGTGATCCTTTCCAAAGGTGATCGGTTTTTTTCAATACGGCTAACCATTCTAGATCATATTCTAACTTGAATGAGTCATTGATAGCATTATTTTCTTGGTCAATTTTGATATCTTCAACATGTAAGAAATATCTTTTAGGCAAGACTTTATCTAAAGCTTGAAATTGGGTTTTAATTTCGGAAATCGATTTATTAGAATCTTGATCTTGTGAATTCGAATGTGATACAGTAACATTGAATCCAACATGTAAATGTGCAGCGAACCAATATTTCGGTTTTAGATGATGAACTAATGGTTGAAGCAACGGATTACCGAGACGACATTGCTCAATCTCTTGACGAAAGAATGGCTTGCGATTTAATAAATTATTTAGATTACGTTCTGTTGCGCATTGATGAATGTTGATAGGCCAATCATGCGACAAGAACACATCGAGCAATTGTTTTTTATTGCTATCTGTTCGAGGTAATTGAAGTAATTTATAGATTTCCATTTCTCGCATATGATATATTGATCGCATTGTTCCTTGATCATATGGCAAACATTCGAAATGTCCTAATTTAGCATCATGTTGTTTGAATATACCAGAAATTCCGCCGATTCGTAGCGGTCCAAATCGAATGACCGAACAATAGCCAAGATAATACATGTTTGGAGCCACCCAACCACCATAAGGTAGTGTTTGAAGATAATTCGAAGCCTCGTGATTACCACCAATAAACAATGTTAATTTTGGAATAGATTTTTCTCCAAAATAGTAATGATGAAAATCGCCAAGCCGACGATATTTTGGCGGTACGGCCAAACATTTGAAATCATTTTCATTACGAATAGTTTGAACATCACCACATATAAGCACTAAATCAATACTGGTGTTATTATTTTTTTCATATGATTCAATTTGCTGATAAACAATATCCAATTCTCCATGAAGACATCCGACAACGGCAATCTTCATCTTTTAAATTTAAATTTAAAAATTTTCTTTGCTAAAAATGTATATCGCAAAAATGTGCATGGATGTCGCTCATTGTATACAATCACGAGGCAATAATCGATTGTATCGAAATTTGAATTGCCTTGATACCGCCAATCATGACATTAAAGTTTGTTCACATTAATAAACATTTATTTTTTTAAAGTATGGATAAATAATTTTTAAAAATAATCATAAGGATAAGAAAATAACATTGAATTATTGGAAAAACAAAGTTTTTAGAATTTAATCTCTAAATTATGAATTATTTAGCAATACTTTTTGACATTAATATGATATAAGCAAGTACACGTAATATAATTGTATATCCGATGATAAAACCAAAATTAATAAACAAATCAATATTATCCAAATCAAAACGGCTCAATATAATTGATTGATTGATTGTTTTAATTTCACTATTAAAGCCATCAATTATGTATTGAACTGGTGGTAATGATGTTAATTCCTCCATACAGGATGTTATATTCATAATTGAAGGGCCAAAATATGCGGTAAAATCGGATAATTTTAATGCTGTATGATCGGGATTACATCGACCGAATCCATAGAATATAATCAAAACGGCTTCGATCGAAAGTTTATAAACAGATAGATAAGTGAATGGCCGCACGTAATATGGTAATTTGTTGACCGGTATGACAAAACCACTAAATATGAAAAACGGTACGAATAACATTGCACCACAGATTAATGAAGCAATCGTATTGTTAATAAAATGTATCGATATGACCATAGCAAAACTATGAGATAGTAAACTGGTAGAAACGATAAGTGCAATGTAAACGAAAAAACGCCAGATACCAGGTGGTGATTCAACCAGAAACCATGTGAATACTGCATATATTAATGGAAATAACAATGTTGCTGGTATATCCGAACATGATTTTGCAATATAATATGACCATCGTGTGTACCATTTGTTTGAATGTTCCTTTGAAAATACCAATGAATAAATCAAATCGATTATGAATGAAAAAAAGAAACACAAAATAAATCTTACTTTGATAAATACTGATAGTTCAAGAGGAAACAGCATAAGTGATGGTACCAAACTGATGATAACAGTGAACATTACGGAAGTGATCAACAATATAATGTCACGGCTAAGAAATGCTGTTATTTTATAGTTTTCCGGATTAGATCCCATTTCGATGAATTTCTTAGCAAAACGAGTCGAATTAAAACATTCATTATCGATCAATGTTGTTTGACGATTTTTCAATATAAGTCGTACAGCCATCAACATTAATAGGCCAAATGATCGTAAGGCATAGTTGAAGGGTTCACGATATGATATCAATGAGGAACGTTTAAACAATGCCCATGATGATTGAATCTGATCAAATGCCATTTCTTTTGAAAGAGCTCGATCAACATTGACATTTACTCGATATTTATTCTGATCAATTAGTTCTTTAGATGCTTCAGCATCTGTTAGTTTATAGATAATCTATCGAATATAAAATTAAATCAATTGACAAGATCGTAAACATGAAACATACCTCATCACCATGAAGACCACTAGCGATTTCAAGAACGAAATCTGAAATATTATGAAAAACTGGACAATTAAGTCCAAAACTTTGAAAATGATCCAAAACCTGGCTACCAGGACCACGATAGATACATGTACCAAAAGTTGATATAACATATAAATCATCGAAATAAGAAAATAATTTAGCCGATGGTTGATGAATTGTAGCACAAATAATGATTGGATTATTTTTGACCATCGTTTTCAATAGCTGTACAAGCTGTAATGATGATACTGAATCTAATCCAGTTGTCGGTTCATCCAATAACAATACATTGGGTGAAAATATCAATTCTAATGCTATCGATAGACGTTTCTTCTGGCCACCACTGCAATTTCTCACACGTACATCGGCACATTGTGTAAGGCCTAATTGGTCAATAATTTCTTCCACTTTATGGTAATCATATTTTGATGCATCCAATAATTTAACATCACCATGCATTGTATTATCATTAAGTATATCGATATTACGACCACAATATCGTTGTAATTGACAAGCATAGTTAAGATTTTCACGTATCGATAATACAGAGAATAGAAAATCTTTTTGAGGATTATAGATGATACGAACCTCTTTGAAATCACTAAATAATAAAAAATATTTATCAGGAAAAAATCAAATCGAATAGACAAAATTAAAACGAAAATTATATACCTGATCGAACTGGATACCCATGTTTGTCCGGTCATACCTTTAATACGACGTTTGGCTAAACATTCAAACAATGTTGTTTTTCCGGATCCACTTGGACCAAGAATTGCGGTCAAATAGCCACTTTGAAGATGACCACTTAGATTATTGACAAGAATTTTATTCTTAACCGTTTTATATGAAAGATTTTTCCAATAAAAATGTATTGCTTCATTATCAATTTTTTTATTTTCAATCTTATCAATATTCATTTGATTCATTTTTAATGATTGTATTTCGTTTTGATCTTTTTTCATTGATGATGATGATGATGATTGTGGATCGATCAATATGTGTTCCATAGCGCCGGTTGTTTTATTGATTAATTCATTCAAAATAAAACAAATAAAAAACTGAAATAAACGAACGAATAAAAAGAAGAAAATTTAAACAATAAAAAAACAACCGTCTTTATAATATGAAAATGAAAATACAATACAAGGAAACAAAGTGAATGATTCTCTACAATGCCATGACCATTATCATTCATTCATCCGAAGCATATGTATAGAAATGACAATTTTCAGAAAATTATTATCAACGTCGATGCAATACGTCGTCCTACGGATGATGAATCATTGTAGTTGCACAAAAAAAAATAAGAAAGGAAATTTCATTTTCTTTTCTTTTTTCTCTATTAAGATTTGTTCAAGACAATAAATTTTCCATTTGGTCTTGTGTTCATATAATTATGAAGATGATCATCATTATCATTATTGTATTCTTATTGTTATCATCAAAATTTGAAAAATTGTTTATGTGCGTGATTAGGATGATGAAAAAAGATGAAAAAGCAGCAGCAACAGCAACAACAGAAAAAAGTAAATGGAAAACGTAAACTTACCTTTCATGAACCTCGGTGACAGTTCGTAACGATGATTATTACTATGAAATGGATGAGAAAAAAATAAATCCAAATTTTTATCCGAAAAAAAGTCCACAACAACAACAAGATCGGATGATGTTACAAAAAATCTAAAAATGAAACAAGGAAGATCATAATCCAAAATACCGGATCAATTCGATATAATTAGAAAATGTTAAAAGAGAAAACTTTGACAGAAATCTTTGACACACGTTTGTTTGTTTGAATTCAGCCAAAAAAAAGGAAAAAATATGTCGTCAAAAGAAAATTGAACAACTTTTTTTTTTGGAAAATTGACAGACAAATTTTTTTCCTGGACAGGTGGTGATCAATATCGTTTTCGATACAAAATATGATTCAATGATTCGTTGTCAATCATGTTTTATACACTTTAGCTGATAATTTGATCTATCAGGCCACACACACACACACACACACATACACTCGAACCGAGAAAATAACAAATCAAACACTTGAATACGTTGACTACCTTTTATTGTTTAATTGTTGGCTAAACCTGTATTGTCAAATCAACAATGATGATAATAAAAAAAACAAATCAAAAGTTGGAAATTCTTTTTTCGTGATTTATACAAAGCAAACGTAGGGACAATTATCATTATCGTATATCTGGTGTTTGTGTGAGATTTTATTCGTTGTTCGAAGGGAAAATAATGACAAGGAATAATTTTTTTTTCAACACAAACACAAAACACAAAAGCCAATGGCCAAATAATTATTTAACAAATCAACCCTGGTCTACCTATAAAAAAAATTTCATTTCAAACATACAACAAACGGTGTATGGCTCAATTTTCAAGTTTTGTTTTTGTTTTGTTTAGTTATTTTGTTGTTGGCCAATTTGGATCAAAATATAAAATAACTATGACAAACAAATGAACAAACAACGTTCCTTTTCATAAAAGAGAATAGCAGAATGACATTCTATATAATATCAATTTTTTTGGTATTTTTGGCATTCGAAATGCGCATTTATAGATGTGAAGAAGAAAAAAATTATTTCCACTTTTGTTCTTGGTGTAGCAACAATTTGTTTATACAAACTATCACTATAACAAAACGAATTGTTCATCATGATGTTGGCAGAAATCATTTCTATTAATGATCTATCATTCAATAACATTTTTGAAATTCAAACAATTTTTACACACCGGTTAATAATAATGATAAACAATCATTTTGATCAAATACAATAGATACTTGAAAAATTTGAGAACTAACTTTACAAAAGGAAAATTGATCAATTTATGATTCGTATTGACATTCGACAACAAGGACAATTGTTTAGACAAATTGATCATTATGATCATCTTTATGGAGTTAGATGGATATGGTAAAAATTTTATGTAAAATTTTACCTGATAACAATTGAAAACGATGATTATCATCCTGGACGATAATTTATTCACATCAACATCATTAACATGATAATAAAAAAAAAGAAAAGAAAATAAATAACCATTAAAATAATGGTCAAACAAGAAATAAAAAATCGAAGGTCAATAATATATGGCCATATCTAATTACCGCTGAAGACAAATCCATAGATGAGATGATCGAATATATTCGATTAATAAATATCGTGTTCTTTAGCTAACTCATCATTCAAAATTGAATATAACATCATCAATCATTGTCTGTGGCAATCAATCAAAAATTATAAAATTATAATTGAATTTTCAGTTTTAATTTGAAAAAATAAAAATGAATATTCTACAAAAATTTACTGAGACATCATTGATACACAGCAAACGTCAATCATCAGATTCAAATAATCATCATTACCATCAGGATGTATTATTTGGCAGATACTTATTCGATTCATTTTTATTGGGTAAGTAAATTATAAAAGTTTTTTTTTAAATTCAATTAGTAGAAATTTTCATGATAATCAAAAAGCAGAAAATTTTATTTTAATTACATAACATTATGAAAAAAAATCATATTTTCATTAGAAAAGAATTCTATCTTATTTAAGCCATTCAAAAAAAAGAATACTAATATCATTCTCTATAAAATATATCATTATTATAATAGGCAAAATAACTGCATTCGATTTGGCTATAATCATCATAACAATTATGGCCATTAGCTATATGATCATTATTGTCATTTATAATTACATATACAAATATGATCATTATCGTATATTAATGCGTACAAAACGTCAACATCATTTGGATCGTAAATATCGTCGTGGTTGTCGTCGACAAAACGATTTGATTGAATTACATTCATTGAAAATGTTTTCTACTGATTGATGATTTATATTATATAAAATGGAAATGTTGATGAAAGAAAAAATGATCAAGGTGTAATAAAAAATTTCAATTTTCATGCTCTTTTTTTTCATTTTTTATTATTACCAGCATTTAAAAACGTCTGAAGCCACCGCCTCTTCCGCCACGATTACCAAAACCACCACGACGTTGATTAAATCGTTGATTATTGGCATTGTAATTTCGACTAAACGATGATCGTGGCCGAAATGACCCGGGTGTTGTTTTATTAAATTTACCAACTGGTGGCTGGTAAAATTTTCGTTCACGTTTTGCTGGTGTTGTTGAGGTCTTTTCGGAACCTTCTGGTGCAGTAATCAGCGGGCGTTTTTTGGCAACCGTAGCAGTAGCTGCAGTAGATGAATCGCCACTATCTTCAATTTTATCCGATGCTAAAGTTGGCAAGGAAGCAGGAGCAGGTAATGTTGTGGTCGTTGATTTTGAACTCTTGAATGATAATTGTATAGATGTTTTATATGATGGTGGAATTTTGAAAAAGTCTTTGGTCAATGAATTGATATTCGATGTAGCTTTTAATGCAATCATTTTGATTTTGTTTTCCGGTGTTTTTAATTCAGATGGTTTCAAGCCAGAGATTACCTTTTTCAATTTGTTCACATAGCTTTGTACGCCTATGAATATTTAATTAAATTGAAAAGAATCATATTTTTTCATCATGAAGCACTTACCCCTAGCCAAATACTGAAGTCGTAGTTTGAAATCCTTGAATTCATTTGCTTTACTTTCAGCTTCAAAATATTTAGGATTCAATTTACATAGCTGATGTAATGAATAAAGTAAACATTCAACATGTGAAAATTGAGTACTAGGCAAATCATCTGTCGATGAAAGATCGGTAGCTGATGTATTTAAATCTTCTGGTGGTTTTGGTATGTAACCAAGTAAACACTGAAAAACGGCATTCTGACATTGTTCAAATTGATTCGTTTCAAGCGACGGTGAAACAAATGAAATAATTTCAGATAGAGCTTGAAGAACTTCAAGTTCCGAACCGGATTGTTGTTGTTCGATTTGTGCCAAATGTGGAAGAATCTTTAAACAAATGTATTGAACAAATTCAGTTGATGGTGAAAATTGCTATATCAGAAAAAAATATCAATATCATTTTGGTGACAAATAATTAAAGACAAATTACCGAAAAATATGGAATTCCATGACGAATACACATGAGAAATTTATCTAAAGAGTCCGGTTCAGAAGGCTAAACAAAAATTTCAAAATGTCAAACTTGTTAATTTGAATTGATAGCATCTACTCACAATAAAATCATTATTCAATTCAGATTGATCTTTGATAATGGCCAACAAATTATTATGACCATGAACTGTTTTAGAAATTTTCAGACCAGCCAACAATGTCATCAATGTAATAAATTCATCTTTGGTCACATCGATTAAAATTTTTTTACAATTATCCAGAATAAATTCTTCAATTTCTTTGGTCAATAAGTCCGATTTGATTGTTCGGAATTTCGTACCAAAAAATTTAATGACTCGATCACGTGTTTCGTCTTCACCATCAAGAATCTGGCCAAATAATGCGAGTAAAAAGCTTTTAATATCATAGTTGGCCAATGTTATAAGTGCCTGATTGACAATATTTAATTCGATTTGATCTTCTGACAACAATAATTGTGCAAGAACATCAGCAATTTTCGTAACGAATTCTTTTCGATCGCGACAAATATTCGGCAATTCTTTGATAGCACGTCGTCGAATCTAAATGAAAAATCAATATAATCGCAACCTATTCAACATTCTATTATTCTTACATTAGGGTCATCATCTTCACAAAGATCAAGTAATGAATCAATTGCCGATTCATAATGATCAGGAAAATGAACGAAAAATTTCGATATAAATTGTGAACAAAGTTGTTTTTCCTGCGGAGTACCATGTACAGCATTCAATATGGCCAAGTAATTGGATTCATACTTTTAAACAAAGAAATTTTTTTTTTCAATATCAAAATGAAATTCAATCATCTCATCATACCTGTTTAATGTTTTCTTTTGCAGAATCAAGCTTATTATAATGTTCATAAAGTTGATCAAGTGGATCAACTGTAGTAACAACAACAGCAGCAGCAGTATTAGCCATTTTTCAGCAACAAAAACAAAAGAAAAATTGGACAAAAATCAAAGAATTTGTAGTTTTTTTCGGTGATAATGATTTGGAACAATAATGAGAACTCAATTTTCAATTTGGAATATTCGGTTCGCTAATGAGCAGTTAGACCGGCGTGTATGCAAACAAAAAAAAATTCCTGAAGCTAGCAGCATGTCGAATGAAGTAAATGGATAAATTTCGGAAATATAAATCCATTTATCACCGATAGATGGTAATGTTTGCGATTACAATCTTTATGAATGGTCAAATGGAATAACAATTAAATTTTTTTTATGTTCCATGCATTTTATTTTCACACACACAAACTCGACATCGCAGTGTGAGAATGTGATATTTCAGTCTGTTCATCGATCTTTGTATTTCGGCGAATTTTCTCGAACAAAGACAGCAAATAAAAGAAGAAAAACTTAAAATATATTGATTAATTCTAAATAGAAAAAATTAATTTAATTTAAAATCTAAACGATATTATTTATTTAAAAATTTTAACATCGCGTCATTCAGCTTCTTTTTTTCTTTGTTGTATTTTCCTGGTTAATTTTTTTCTTTCACATAGCGACCAAATTATATAAATCGAAAAGAATGAGTAACATAGAAAATTCCCAATCATCATTTGATGATTCAATTGGTTCGAATGATTCGGAACTTTTACAAGTCGAAACTGATATTTCCCCACAAAAAGATGGAAAACTTATGAAGACAATCATTACTAAAGGAAATGGTAATATTTTCGTTTAAATTGAATTGTACAGAATTTTATTTTGTTTCTTTTGTCTTTGTATTTAGGATGGGAAAAACCCGGTAATGGTGATAAAGTTTCGGTCCATTATGTTGGTAAATTATTGGACGGCACACAATTCGATAGTTCACGTGATCGTAATGAAAAATTTGTGTTTACATTGGGAGCCAAAGAAGTGATTGAAGGATGGGATATTGCTATTAAAACAATGAAACGAGGTGAAGTTGCATCTTTCAAGATTGATCCATCATTGGCTTATGGTGAACGTGGTTCGCCACCAACTATTCCACCAAATTCTACGTTAATTTTTGAAATTGAATTGTTCGATTGGAAATTAGAAGATATAACGAAAAAAGGCGATGGAGGCGTTTTACGACGTATCATTAAGGATGGAAGTGGTTGGTCGACACCGAATGAAGGATCTACTTGTAACATTGAATACATTGGCAAATATGAGAATCGTGTATTTGAAACACGTCAAGTGACATTCTATCTTGGTGAAGGTTCCGAAGAGAATCTTGTTCCGGCTATTGAAATTGCCGTTAGAAAAATGAAAAAAGATGAACGTTGCGAGATAATTGTCAAACCAAAATATGTATGGGGTGATGGCCAAGGCAATGAAGAATATGGCATTCCAAACGATTATCAACAATTGAAATATGAATTAAATCTGAAAAATTTTGAAAATCTTAAAGAAATTGACGATATGGAAAATAGTGAACGAATCGAACAGGCATTGTTGGTCAAAACAAAGGGAACGAAATATTTTAAAGAATCTAAATATAAATTGGCTATCAAACAGTATAAACGTGTCCTACAATTGATCGGTACTGAATCGGAGAATTTCGAGCCAGAACTAAAAGAAAAAGCACGTGAAATTTTATTGGCGGGTAATTTAAATCTTGCCATGTGTTATTTGAAAGTGGAAAATTTCATTGAAGCACAAAAAAATTGTGACCGTGCACTCGAGATTGATCCAGAAAATGAAAAAGGTCTATTTCGTCGTGGACAAGCTTTTTATGGCCAAAAAGAATATGAATTGGCTAAAAAAGATTTTGGAAAATTATTGGAAATTGATCCAAAAAATTCGGCAGCAAAAAGCCAGATGATCAATTGCATTAATCGTATTAAAGAACATATGGAAAAAGAAAAAATGAAATACAAAAATATGTTTGAAATATTTGCCAAAAGAGATAGCGAGGTAAATGAATAATTTTAATTTTTTTTTAATTTTCTTTGAATTTTATTTTCTTTGTTGTAAACACAGAAAGAGGCAAAGAAAAAAGCCGCACAAACAACAAATGCATCAAATGATGCAAAAATCTTCAACAATGAAGGTGACTCTGAAACAATGGCTAAAGATTCGGAACAACAACAACCAGAGCCGACAACCGCAAACGCCTAATTTTATGCCGAAAAATGTCATTATTATATTACACGTAAATACAAAAGAAAAACTTTTTAAATCCATTTGTTTGTTTGTTTTGCACTCATACAGCCACACATGCATTCGCAAAAAAAAGTCAAAGAATTAAAATTCATTTTATGATTCATTATTATTATTATTATTCATTTTAATATTTTTAAAATGTTCAAAAAAAATTCAATGATTTTTTAAATAAATGAATAAATGATACCAATCGAATACAATGTTTTAATAGTAATATTTTTATCAAAAATTGAAAAAATTCTTATTTGATGATGACGATGATAATGAATCTCTGTGTGTGTGTGTGTTTTTAAGGAGGAGGATGTGGTTGTCGAATTTACCACATAATCCATATCAACCCAAATATTTAATTAATGTTACGGCCATTTAGGTAGTTTGTTAATCAACGCTTTTTCCTGTTCCGATTCTTCACGTGCCATAAATAGAGTATGACCATAACCAGTTGAAACACGATGAATATGAATGCCTTCTAATGGTTTTACTTCTTGTGGTATTGTTGATGATTTGGATTTTGTATCACCATAAGCTAGTTCACCATATGTAGGACTTGGACCCCAACTAATAACACTTTCATCGGCGGTTAATACAATCGAACGATTAGCACAGGCAACTGATCGAATATTCCAGCCATTGAGATCTTGTACATTTTTCGGATACATTGTCGCTTCGCCGGATGTTTTTGATTGGCCCCAAAAATACAGTAGACTATGTTGATCTAATGCAAGGGAAAATGTACCACCACACCATATACCTTTTACACCACGACTCATATTTTCGAATGTTTTTATTAAACGTGGCATCATTTCATCTTTTGTTTCGGTATGTCCTAGCCGGCCATAGCCACCGAAACCCCATGAAAAGCAACGTAGTTTATCATCCACTGCTAGTGAATGATTAATTCCACATGCAACATCAGTAATTCGTACATCTTGAACTGGAGTAACATGACCATCGCGACTTTTTTCAATAAATAGCAAAACTTTTCGAGGTTTATATTCGCATTTATATGCTAATTTGTTACCGGATGCAAAATATTTTGCTTCAGTATTATGGCCCAGTTGACCATATTGTGGAAATCCAAATGAAAAAAGATTGCCATTACAATCGACAATCAAAGAAAATTCGGCACCGCATGCTACCTTGACAATCGGATTGCCACGATGTGCAATCTATTGGAATTGAAATTGATCAGATAAATCATTTATATTCATTAAAATTATCAAACAAACCCGTGTTGGAGCCGATATGGTTTGAATCTGATTGCCAATACCAAGTTGACCACTTTTATTATCGCCACAAGCAAAAACTTGGCCTTTGGATGTAAGAAACAATGTATGTCCGCGACCAACTGCACCGCCAACTATTTGATAATCTTTAAGCGCTTCCACTTCGGTAGGAACATCACGACGGATGATATCACCATGGCCCAATTGACCACGATCATTACGGCCCCATGTAAGTACTTTACCATCTTCAGTGACAATTATGGAATGACATGCTGTACAACCGCTAACAGCTAATCGAACACGATATTCAGTCTGATGAGGTCCCCATAGGTTACGACCTTTAATAAATTAGATTTGAATTTTTCCTATTAAAATTAATCATCAAAAATGCTAACCATTCGAAGCAGTACCAGCAGCAGCTGCATTTTTCGGTACTTCTTTTCGACCAATAAGGTCCCAATTGGTACCACCGCTCACAATAAGACGACCAACAAGATCATCCGGTTTAATACACCAATCGCTTGATACTGTTGAAGTTTCTTCAACTGTCGTATCATTATTACCATTGTTATTGAAATTTTCATTATCTGAACCTAGATCTGAATCGGATGATAGATTCGATGATTGTTTTTGTTTACGACTTTTTTTCGTTGATTTTATCGAATCATTAGCCGATTTGGCTGAACGTTTCTTCGGCGCCATTCACATAAGAAAAAAATTGTTTTTTCTCTTGGGTTTTTTTTTCACAGTATGTCAAATTTCCCAAATATTTTGATTATTACTGCACACAAGTTTGTTTTTTTTTTCTGTTACTCTTATCAAATCTAATGCCGATGTGAAACAAACTAAAAGAATGATAATGATGATGATGATGAAAACTTTTAATTCCTCCACACAACAAATAAATTATTCTTTCAAATATTTCACAGAATAGAATTTAATAAACTGAATAATTAAGAAAAAGAAAATTTCCAAATTGTGGAATGAATGATAGACAGTTGTGGTGGTAGTATTCATTTGTGATTGCTATTCGCAGATAGACAAACAAAGAAAAACACACACACACACACATCGACAAACAAAGAATGAACAATAGCAGAAGAATTATATGCTACTACAACAATGGGGTGGCCCCCATTTTATTTCAAACAAAATAGAGGAAGAGAGGGAGAGAGAGAATGAAGAAAAACATTTGTGTTTAGTCAGAAACCGCCATTGATGAGTGTGTCTGGTGTGATTTTATTTGATTTAAAAAAAAATGTAAACACCTCCTTTTTCCCCCTTTCCCTCCTCGATAAACAACTATTACCATTGTATGATTGGTGAGGTATGTATTCGAGGGTTGTTGATGGTGGTTCAATCAACCGTCATTTTTCATATTGAAAGATCATTGTCATTTTGTAATCAAAATATTTGATTTTTTCTATTAAATTGGCTCGATTGTATACATGCATCGATGGAATGATTTATATCAATCCATATCTTATTCTGATGACCGTGAATTCGAAGCTAAAAGAATAATAACTATTTCACAATCGAGAACGCATGCTCGATTTTCTTTCAAATTCTTTAGGAACTTTAAAAAAAATTATCATCAAAAAACTCAAAATGGAATAAAATTAATTTTTTTTTCAAATTTTCAAATTTATTTTAGAATATAAAGGTGCGTGCGTGTTTGTGTGTGGTGGGGAGAGAATTGATTCGTTTTGAAAATTTTAAAACAAGAATAACAAACAATTATTTTGTGTGTGTGTGTGTATGTGAAATATTATGGATACAAAATTTTTTTTTTGTTGTTGAAAAAATAACTAAAATTTTGACTAATTCATAATGAGATTTATAAATCAATGAATAGAAATAGAAATTTTCCGATTCACATTTCAAACTTGTTGCTCGATGATGATGATGATGATGATGATTATCGAATGTTGCACCTATCCCAAATGAATGAAACAGAAAAAAAAACCTAATGTGAATGCAAATATAGTGGGTAAATCGGTGTTTATACAAAGAATTTTACCAGAATTTTGTTTTGTTTTGTTTTGTTTCGATAAAGAATACAGATGCTGTACATTTTTTTTAAAATACATTTCGAATGTACAACAAATGATTATTTTACATGGAAATTATGTGTTTTTGTGTTTGTGTGTTTGTAAATTTCAAATGAAAAAGAAAATAAAATAAAATCACAATTCGAATGAATTTAGAGATTAAAAATGTTGAAAAATTTCAATTTTTATCTGTGTGTGTGTGTGTGTTTGTCTTTCTTTTTATCGGTAGAAAAAAAAGGCAACTTATAACAATGAATCAAAATTCGGATTCTTTTTAGATGATTGTGTGATTAGATGATTCTTCTGGTTAATTATTCTGATGATGACGACATTCATGATATAATGACTATTTTATTTTAAAATTATAAATAATTTTCCTTTGTTTTCGGTAAAATATATAGATTTTCTTTTTTTTTCAATAAATATAATTTATAAATAATGATGACTGATTTTTTTTTATTCAAAAAAATTACTTTGATAAAATGAAATTTCAATAGGCGAAAAAAAAACTTAGCTCATTTTTTTCTCTTAATTTTTTTTTATTATACAAATCAAAACGAAAGACTATAATTCTGTTTTAAATAACAAAACAACAACAACAAAAAAAGGTAATTAAGCTGAAATTGATTTCTTTTCAAACACTCAGTTAGTGATTGAAAATAGTAAAAGATGTGTTTAGTTTATTAAGCACTGGATTTATATCTAGATTCATAGCTCGGATTTTTAAGTATTCGTTTCTGTCGAAAATCATAGACTTTACGACAACAGAAAACAAGCTCTGGTAATGTATTCAATGGTGGTAAATGATTATTATCACCTACTCGTTGTGAACGTTTTATTTGTTGCTGTTGATATTGATCATTTGTTGGTTGATTTTCATCACCAGACCATGGTTCACCATTTGGTACAATCATAGCAGTCAAATCTGGTTGTAAAAATGCCAATGATTGTAATTGTCGACATTTTTGTCGTTTATAGCGACAATATTCATTATATGTAAGTACAAAACATTTATCATCAATACAGGCAACACTATTTGCATCACGATGTCTTGAGGCATAAATTTCACCCGATATAAATTGAATATCCTGAATTTCTGTATGTTCAGGTCGATAATACCAAAGTAAGCTCATCATCATTTCTTCTGTTATTTTTTTTTAAAACAAAATAATCAAAATATAATTGAAAAAAATCATCAACATTTATAAACATACTATATCACAACAATAAAAAATGGACTTACTTTCGGGTGATTCCCATAATGATGTTATTTTAGCAACAAATGGTAGATCCGTTTTTCTTGGACCACTTTTAAGTAATACACAATCACCAGGTCGTATAGTTTCACCTTCATTATGCTTGATTGCTGGATAACATTTACGTCGATATGATTGTTCATCATTCTAATTTATAATAAATAATTTAATAAAAATGAAATTTTTTAAAAAAAACCGTTATAATTGAATTATATAATTATTGTCATTTTTATAATGATTACTTACATTGATAAAAATATACTTTTCTATTGGTTCACCTTCCCATGACCAACCATGTATGATTGGTCGCCGATTTGTTCGTTTGTTCATTACGCAACGAAATTCACAATTATTTGTCGTTGTTGATGGTGATACGTTTTCATTGGATTCATCAATTACTTTATCATTATTGTTATTGTTTTTCGAATTATTTGCTAAAACCGATGTCGTTAATAAAAGATTATTGCGTTTTTTTGAATATGATGCTACGGTAGTATTGGTGGTTGTACCAATCCCATTTTCTAGCAATAAATTTTTGCCATTCGATTCATTTGTAAGATGTGATTTCGATTTTTTTCCACCAGCAGCAGCTACCAACGTTTCATTGAAACCATTCGGTAAAGTATGATCGGAATTTGCAATAGTATTCGTTTTTCGTTTTGATTTACCGTTGTTTGATGAATTTTTTTCACAATTTACAATCAATAATTGTTTATTTCGTTTTTTATTCAATACTGAATTTCCTGTATGACAAATCTCGCCTCCATCGCTACCATTTCCATTTTCATTATCAACACTGATTTGTTTTAATAAATCATTATCGACAACACCGTTTCTACGTTGATTATTTTTTGAATTTTTTAATGTTTTTGATGCTGATTTCATCATTGTCGGTTTCTTTTTTAGAGAATTTATTGTTATTGTTGATTGTAATGATGACAAATCTGGTGGTTGTATACGTGTCTGAACAAAAAATGTAGGCGTTTGTTGTTGTGATGGTATGAAATTTGAATTTAAAAAATTCAATGCAGATGGACGAATTGATGATGATATTGGAGCAGCCGATGATGATGATGTTGATACTGGTATCGATATATTTGATGATGATTGTGGACGAAACAATCCATACGGTAGGACATTTGAAATTGGATTTAAAGCCGATGGCATTGATACATTATTTGTGGTACCATTAAAATTGATGATCTGTGGCTGTGAATGATGAGTGACAATTGAAGGACGTGTTATATTCATAGACGTTGCCGTATCAACAGTTGATGAAGTTGATGTGGACGATGATGATGATATTCGACCAGAATGAGGATGAAACGATACTGGATAAATAATCCGATCACTTTGATTATTAGTTATGTTTGAGGATAACGAAGATGATGATGATGATGATGATGACGGAGGCGTATACCCACTACCCGTAAATACATTTAGATATGATTGATTTGATGTTGAAGATGGATGCGAATAATGGCAACTAGGGGATTGTGCTGGATATCTTGGTGGTACGGCTACACCGATCGGATTAGATCCAGCTAGATAATGTACACCTAAAAATGGACTAGCTGTTGTTGGTTGATGCATGGCAGTTGGTAGATGAAAAAATTGTCCAATAGCCGGAATCGGTGTAGCAGCTGGTGTAAATGGCGAGTTGATATATGGGTAAATTGTTGGTGGTGATGCAGCTATGAATGGTTGAGGTGATATAAATGGATGACTACCTGTTATTGGTGTTGGTTGTTCAAAAACATGACCACTATTATTAGCATTTCCAAATGGTATCAACTGGAATGGTACTGTTGACACAGTGGCCGGATTATAAAGGCTATATGGTTGTGATAATGGAAATGGATATGGATAAGGTGTTGCATGTGAATGATTCGAACCAAATGTTTGATTGCCTGTTGTTGGTATCAATGTTGTTGTCGTTGCTGTATGTTGATTATATGGTTTAATGAATGATGGATTTATATAATTACCACCAACGATAGCATTATATGGTGGTAATGATGAAAATGTCATCATACCATTGGGCGGTACAATAGCATTTGTATTTGGATGATAAAAATTTGTTCTAGGATTATGCTGCTGTATAATATTGGACGTTGTTGCTGTTGTGACTTTTGCTATGGCTGCTGCCTCTGATGATTGATGTTCTACTGTACGTGTTTCAATTTTGCGGTAATATTTTTTCATTATCGATGAATTTGATGGTTGATTAATTGTTGGAGATGTTTGTGCTGTTGCTGTTGTTGATTGAATGTGCGGTGATTTTTGCTTTTTCTTTGATCTACTTTTCTTTTTATTTGCCATCATTAATGAATTTGCATCGATATTTGTTGAATTTATACAAGTTGAACTAGTAACAGGTAATGATTGAGATGTAGTAAGATGATGATGAGAATGAGAAGGAACTTGATATATCAAATCTAAAGCTTGTGAATGTGGGGGAGGATGTGTTACAGTTGGAATAATTAATGGCGTTGATGAACCAGATGGACAAGGCGTAAATGCTGAAATAGTTGGCGATAATGATGTTGTTGTTATTGTAACCGGCGAAGAGGGATGAGAACAAGAGGAAGGGGTGGCAATAGTATTCGATGATAATTGTGCACTTGTTGCATCAATCATTTGATTATTTTTTACTGTTTTTCGTTTTTTCGACGTTGATGGTCGTTTATTTATGGTTGATTCATTTTTTCTTTTTTTATTTGATGATTGATTCAATAGATTCTTTTGCTGTTCAATACGTTGCTGTGTTGTTGTTGTCGTTTCTACAACTGTTGTATTATCATGTCGTAATTTGACCGTCGTTTTGACAGTTGTCATTTCGATATGTTCTTCAACCGTACTACTATGATGTGTTGTTGTCGACCATAAATGTGGTGAATTAGGATTCGATGATGTTTGATGATTATTATTATGATGAGGATCACTTGATGAGGATTTCAGCAATGGTTTTGCACTGGCCAATACTAATCGACGTTCTTTTTCCGGTGAAAATGTAGCGGCCATCATAGCCGATGCATTTAAACTTGCCATTCGTTTATTTCTTCGTGTATCGATTATTTCTATATCCGGATCGATCGTTTTCTTTTTCTTTTTTTTCTTACGATTATTTGTTAATTTTTTCTTTGTCACTACGGCTGTTGTTTTGGTTTTTATTTGATTAACTTTTTCATTTTTATTACAACTTTTACCGGATGTAGATTTTTGCTTGATTAATTTTTTATCAATTTTATTTGTTAAATGTTTTCGATTTTTCAATTTTGATACGGGGGAAGAGGCGGCTTTGGGAGTCTCTTTTTTATATACAACAACAGTTGATGAGGCAGTATTCGATTTGGGTTTAGCACCACTTTTAGCATTAATTTTTACTTTTTTAGATGATGATGGCTTGAAATCAATCACATTCAAACGATTTTGATCTACATCATCATCATCATCATCATCACTTTTAATGCTTGTAAAAGGCGGCTCTAATTTTTTTTGTCCGGTCATTATTATCGCATTATTTTGATCATTTTCACTTAATAATTTCACTTTTGCTGATGCATTAAGGCTAGCCACACGATGACCACCGGATTTTCGACGTTTTTTCGATATTTTTGATTGTTTTTGTTTGGCTATAGTTATTGATTTCTTAATCACTAAATTGTTTGCGATTTTACCGGGTTTTGATTTTGATTGCTTTGTCGGTGTAGTTATTGATGATTTTATCGCCGCTAAGTTTTTTCTTTTATTGACTATTCGTTTGTTATTGGATTTCGGTTTTGTCGGTATCGTTTTTTTCGTTGACGTTGTTTTGGTAGCCACATTTTCTTTGCTTTTCATTGTCGAAGATGTTTTAGCATTTTTCTTCGAAGTCGTGAGTGTTGATTCTGTATTTTTAATTTTCTGTTTTGTTGAATTTTTATTCGTATTTAAACTAATAGTAACATTGGCCAATTTTTTACTAGTTTTTCTTGCTACATTATTGTGCGTTATTGTTGTTGATTTGGCATTCGATTCATTTTTTGTGTTGGATTTTTTCTGTTTTGAATCCTTAAGTTTCGGTAATGATGGTTTAATTGGTGATTGTGTTCTCATCGATGTTGGACGAATCATCGTTGACGGTATCATCGACGATGATGTTGATGTAGCTAATAATGAGGCCAATTCTTTTGATAATCGATTTGTGATGGCCGGTTTTGATTTAATTTTTGGGCCATTTTTTGTTTTTGTTGATGATAATGATTTTCTTTTCACTTTAGATTGATTAGATTTTTTATTTTTTATTATTTTAGCATTCTTTTTCTTATTCTGTTGGCTATTATTATTTGATGTTGTTTTTTTAGCCGATTTATTTATAGATTTTTTCTTTCTTTTATGATGCATTATTGATTATTTAAATAATTTGATTTTTTTTTATAAATAAAAAAAAATTCACGGGAATGTTTCTATATAATTGAATTTAGTGATTTTAATATTTATAAAAGAAATTTTTTTTTTTGTGACTGTTTTGATGAATTTCAATTCTTGATTATTCGGTTTATTATCTAATAAATAATGATAATGATTCAATAATAATAAGAATAATTCTATCTAAAGAAAATTCTTTCATTCAAATGAAAAAAAATAATGATTGAAAATATTTAATTACCATTGCACTCGTTTGTTCCGTTTCTCCTTTTCTTTTTCTTTTGTCCCGTAACTTATGACGGGTTAAAAAAAAGATGAATGGAATAAAGTTCATACAAGAATTTTTCCCATTTTTTTGTTTGTCACATTGATGAATGTCAACAAAACGGATGTCCAAATGATGATGAACAGACCAAATCATATATATCATACACTTTTATATACTTTGACCAGCACAAATTTTTGGAATAATTTCAAAAAAAAGACACAAAATTTTTTCCCCTTTTATTATTATTATTCACAACTGGGAGGCAAACAACAACAAAAAATTAATTCAAACAAATCTGATGATGATTAATTTTAAATAATGATAAAATCAGAAAAAAAACAACAAAATAAAATGATAATTTTCATGTATAAAATAAATTATTATGATGTAATTGATGATAATCCGTTCGGATTAGCGTTGTGTTGTTGCACACATTTATGATGAAAAAGAGAGAGAGAAAAAAAAATTGTAAACAAACAGACAAAATGATTCAAAAAAAACTGATTTTAAAGATCCAAATCTTTTTGGAACCATAAAAAAAAGAAATATCTTTATCTTATGTGCGTGTGTATGATGTATGTATATGTGTGTCTGTGTGTGTGGAGGATGAGGATGGTTTTGATGCTGATGTTCAACATCATTCACATCACACACACATTAAGTTAAAAAGGAGAAAGAGTGAGCTATAAGAGGGAGAGATATTGATATTGATATTGATGATGATGAAAGATGAAAGAAAGATGAGAATTTGATTGAGGAAGCAATTCTGTATATAAAAAAATGATTGGAGTGAGTGAGTGAATAAGCTATAAGCGCTTACCGTTATCATTATGTTTTTATTAAACTACTATATATACACGTCCCATTTTTTTATCTCTCTCTCTCTCTCTCTCTTTTACAAAAATATAAAATACTATAAGTTTGAAATTATTACACAACAATATATACATGAATATTGAGCAAGCTGCAATGTATGAAGCGGTTTAGAGAAAAAGATATACGCACCCTCACAACACTCCCGATAACTTTTAATACTTTTTGTTCCAAAAATAAAAGATGCATCAAATTCTATGATCCACCTTTTTATCATCATCCTCCTCAACACTTGATTTTTTTTACAAGCGTAATAATGATTGGCCAAAGACAGCCCCTTTTTATCTATTTTAATTTTCCAATTGTAGCGTTTTGTATTTGTGTCGGTCTTTGATTTTTTTTGTTTGACATGGATAAAGCTTGATATTGTTTTGCTTAAGTCATTTTTAAATTTAAAAATGAAAGAGAAAGAAAGAAACCATTAAAGAAAACCATATTATTTGCGCATGTCGATGACGTTATTTTTTATAATGTTCAAGATTATTTGATATGCATGAATGGCGCCTCCTCATTTAGCTTTTCGTCATGCTACTACCATTTTTTTATTTTCTTTTTTGGAATGTTCGTAAATGACATGATGTTTAAAATTCTAATTCGAATACGCGCTGTTTTTTTTTTGTTTGATGCGTTATATTATCAGTTATTATAACCATTTATGGCATTTATTTTCAAGATAGATTTCTATTTTTTATGCAATTTGAAAACAAAAACTTTATTTGTACAATATTTATTGATGAAATTATGTTTAAAAAAATAAAATGTTTCGAGGAAAAAAATTCAAACTTCTGATGCAGTATCCGAGATGAAAGTATCGGCCATAGCATCATTGTTATTGATATTATTATTATTGTTATTCAACATTCGATTGGCCAAAATCTGATGACGATTATGATGATTTCTATACAATGTACTATAAAGTGGTGAATAAAGTGGTTCGGATTCTGCATACGATGCATAACGAGATCGATTAATATGATTGTTATTAAGAAGATTATGTGGATTAGCAGGATGTAAATGATGATTGTTGTGTACCAACGTATTGGTGCGATTCAAGGTCCAAGATGGACTTGAATATACTAAAATCAATAAATAAATGAATTAGTATTTTCAATAATTTTTAAGACATAGAATACTTACTTGAGCTAACATCCGGTATACCAAGTCTTGGTGGTTTTTTTACCGGATTTACAACCAATAACGGATTAAATTCGTTTTGTGATGCATTCCGTTCGGTAGTTGTTTCCGTATTTGTTTCATGATTTGGATCATCTAATGTATTGATTGATGTATTATTATCGGTATTGGATACCGTATCAATCAAGATCAATTCTTGTGTAGGTACAATCTTTTGTTTACGTACGAAAAAAACAAACATAATACTAAATATGACTAGAACCAGAAAAAGACCACTTAATATGCCAAGCACTAAACCGAATAAAACATGATCAGAATCTGTGATATAGATAAAATGGATGAAAATTAAAATGATTATCAAATAATGAATTCAACAGGAAAAAAACATACTTTCATCTTGGTGATTCATAATATTTTTATTATATGAAATTTGAGAATCAGAAGATGGTCGTTTGGCCGTATTAGCTGGTGATATCACTTTAGGATGTTGATCATTTTGAAAAAAATTCGTACTATGCGAATAATATGGTACAACATAAACGTTATAGAACATTTCATCACTTCCAGCATGATTAACAACGCTACAACGATAATTTCCAGCATTCAATGTCATCACTGAATATAATGTTAACTGTGATACTTTAAGTTTTGTTGTTTGATTAAATTCTTCAATCATTTCATCGATTTGAAATTCTTGTGCATGTGATATTGGCATATGTTTATTACAATTATGATCACAACCTTTTGAATTATTCATAATCTGTATATTATTCCAATACCAATTAATTTGTGATAAGGATAAATATTCACGATCAACAATTGGATCACCAAATGTTTCTACTTCAATGGCACATTTCATACGTAATGTTGAACCTTCACTTAACGTTATATCAGTATCTGAAACATTATGATAGATTTTTGGTGCACATTGAAAATGATCCAATGCTAAATTACTCCATATAACCGATGTTCCCGAACAACGTGGCTGATCAATAATGTGAAGTCGATTTCGTTGTTGTATGAGCATTCGTTTAAATGGTTGCATATGACAATTACAATTCCATTCATTTGATTCTAGATATAATGTATGAAGATTTTTAAGGAATATGAATGAATCTGGATTCAATATGGTCAAATGATTTGATGCAAGATTGATTGTTTGTATGTTGATGAGACCAGCAAATGAATTAACATCAATAAAGCTAATATTATTTCGTTCTAATGATAACTTTCTTAAATTAATTAATTTGTTAAATGAATTATTTGAAACTTCACGTATTCGATTCCATGATAGATCTAATGTTTGTAATCTTATTAGATGTTCAAATGCAACAGTAGGTATCAAAGTTAGAAAATTTTCAGCCAATGATAATTCAATTATATTTGTCAACGGATTGAATGCATGATCATCAATTTCGGCAATTAGAGCTATGTAAACAAAATATGAAATAAATTATTTTCAAAAAAAATTATTGTAATGAATTAGTTTATAATTACCTTGTTGTAGATAAATTTTTTGTAAATTATCAAGACATGCATTATGAAATATATGGCTATTAAGTTGAGCAAAATTATTTCGCTGTAACCAAAGAACCTGTATTTGTTTCATACGTTGTTGTTGTTCGGGATTTAAATCCGTACACTGATTCGAATTTGATTTTTTATTTAAAAAAATAAAAATAATACAAAATAGATCAACAAGTTGTTTTTGTTTATATTGTTTAAATTAATTACCTGAGGTAAACGATGTAAACTTAAGCCGGTACAATTGGCGGTAAATTTTCCCGATGATTGTATACATGTACATTGTTGATCACAAATAAAACCGTTGACTAATTGTATCGATAATTGTGATGATATTAAATAAAAACAATATATAAATATTCGATGATAATGACGAAATATTTCTAGCTGAGACATTTCTTCATTTAGATGATTTTCAACAACAAAAAAATACAAAAAGAAAATTAACGACTCAAGTCATGTCGACCATAATACTTGTTGATGAAAAAATATTTTCTTTTCTTTTTTTATTTGAAAATCAAAATCAATTCAAATTGATCAATCAATGATTGAATGGAATGTGAACCACCCAACAATATATAACACTCAAAAAGTTCCAGTTTGACCCGAAAGTTTTTGTTTTGTTTTGTTCGTACTGTTCATACAATCAACCGATCCAAATAGATATGTCGTTCACAGTTAAATGACACTGAATACCAAAGCGGTCATTCTATGGTCATTTTTTTGTTGTTGTTGTTGTCAAAGTAGAAGTGGGGATTTAAAATGATTGTTTTGCAGTAGAAAAAAAGTCAGCTAACTTTAAGAAATGAAGAAAAACTCCAACACAAAAAAAAAAGAAAACACGTTAAGAAAGAGAACGAGCGAAACATATACTCTGGCGCGATAATGAAAAAAATGGTGGTCTTTTTCTGTGATTTTTCTGTCGATAATGATGATGATGATAAAAAAAAAACGAGCAGGTCGAGGTAGTTTACGAAGTAACGAGCAAAATAAAAAGGTGGTGTCTGTTGTTTACTTGTTTGTGCGAATATAAACGTTTACTTGTATGACCCGAAAGCTTACCTTTGTCGGTTTTAACTTCACTTTATCTTTTTTCTAAACAATTTTTTGTTTTCTGGGGTCCCTATCAGAAACAATTATTCTCTGGATATGTCAGGTCGAGCAAGTTTTTTTTGCTTTCTTTTTGTTCGTTCACTAATGTGTATGTGTGGAGATTGAATGATAATACACGTGTATACGGTGAAACGGAGGATAAAAACATCGAAAGTTATTTTTTTAGGTTAAAAGTCAAAGTACATGCACAATGATTTTTCATTTGGGTGAAGATAAATACATACATCAACAACAACAAATAACTATCTCTGAGAAGAAAAAAAAACAGTATCATTCAAGTATCAATAGGAAAGAAGCAAAAAAAATATATATTGCTTTGATTATTGCAATATCGTCTTTGGTCGTAGTTATTGTCATTTGTTATTGTAGTTAGTTTAGTTGGAAAAATTGTGTGACGATAATTATGATTGGCCAACATACATATCATCGTATATGATGATCATTCATTCATTCACTATGATGATGGATCCATTCTTTTCAATGATGATGATGATGATGATGCTTAATGTAATTGATCGATCGTTAGTTCGCTTTATTGTGGATTCAATTCACTATGTTTAAAAAAAAAAAGACAATAAAATTCATCGCATATCTTTGAACAGGAAAAAAAATTGAATTTAAAAAGAGAAATTGAATTTTTCTTTTTCGTTGTCATTGTTGATGATGTTAAGGAAAGAATATGATACAATGAGTGCGGGTGTGTGTTGTTGGTTGTTTATTTTGTGATTAGATTTTTGCTGTAGTGAAAGAAGAAAAAAAGTTGCATGGTGACTAATTCATTATCTTTGTTTTACTTCAACAAGAACAAGAAATCAAAAAAAAATCATTTGAATCAATGAATACTCTAATCATTCTTGTTGAAAATCTTGTAGAATTCAAAGGCGTGTAATGTTTCTGTGTGTGTAGGAGGGTATTATGAGATGTTTTTCTTAAAATTTATTATAGAAGTGGTCTTCTTCATAGTTGTCTTGTATCCATTGAATAGGAATTTATTTTTTTTGGATTGAAGAACGAGTTTCTAATTTATATATCCATACGACGACGATGATGATAATGATGATGACCAATTGAAGATTCAAACAGATAGAACCGATGAAAAAAAAGAGGCAACAACATTTAATGGTTGACATTGATGGGTTTGTTGTTGTTGTTGTTGTTGCTTTTTTACATTGATGTCTGTTTTGATCATTTTCATTTTCAATTCAAATCAGATTCGATGATAAATGACATATCATTTTGGTGATTGTAGGATATGAAAAATCGAAAGTGAAATAGAAAAAAAATAATGAAAACAAAGAAATTCTTCAAATGTTTTTCAAAATGATACAATGTTTTTTTTTTTGGTGTGTACAAAACAAATTTTCACTACCAAAAAAATGATATAAATATCAGATTGATTATCAGCGAATCCTATTTTATTTTGGTCATATTATGATCATTTTCTAATACAAATGAGATTTTTTTTACTGCCAAACTTTTTGACTAAAAAGGAAAGTTTTTGTTGTTGTTGTTGTTGTGTTTGATGATTATGAACAAATGTATAATGTAAAGAAAAAACGATACTTTTGATATTGAAGATATCATTCATCCATCGATCAATCAATAAATGATTTATTTATTCGAATCGAATATATAAACCAAATCAAATGATATCATATGATACATGTGCGTAAATATAATTAAATGGATAAAATAAACCCGAAAACAAAATAATGATGACAGCATTGTTAACATTTTTATTTCTTCAATATATTTATAATTTTAAGGATATTTACAATGTTTGTTTTTTTTTTGTTTCTATTTCTCAATCCGATACCGGTATGATTGATTTTAAATTTCATATAGAATATTCATAAACATCATAATTTATGGTTGATGGTGGTTGTGGTGGTTTAGTTTTCGGTCGATTCAATGTACCTTCAGTCATTGTTAGATATTCAGGTTCAATTGGTAATTGTTTTATTATTGATGATGGAAATTGTTGTGATGATGATGATCCGGATGATGTTGATGTTAATTGTTGTGGTTGTATTCTTCTTGCCGGATCAATATCATAACGTAAAAAATTATCATCAGCCATTTCATAATCAGGCATTGTATAGATTTCTTTACAATCTTCATATATTGTTTCTAAACCAATATCTGAATAATAACCATCCGATGATGCTGATATTTGTTTATTCAATGCTTTTTCCTCTAATTCATATTTAGCTGATTCTAATTTTTTATTTATCTTTTTACCATGTGCACGAATTGATAGATAAACAATTAATGAAAAAATTGTTATCAATATAATCAATATAACTATAATGATACTGATTGTAATTGAACCGGATTGAAGTGCTAAATAGTAAATAAATAATAATAATGAAAAATAAATGAATGTAAGGAATTTAAAAATTGTACAGGATAAAATTATGAAATTTAAAAAATTCAACAAGGTCATTAATCTTGTTTATGTGTGCGGGTGTAAATTCCAATGTACATTTACCCATACCACATACAGTGAATAAATTTATTTATTTACCTGTTGTACAATGTGGAACTTTATTGGTCCAACGACCTCCAACACAGATACGTTCCGATTTACCAACCATAATACCTTCGAAATTTGCACATGTATAATGTATCCATGTTTTTTCAATTGCCAACCATTCACTATCATTTATCCAATAAACATTACCAATTTGTTCCAATTGTATTGTTGGATTTAATGTTTCGATAATTTCATTTTTTGAACATGTCGTCTTTGGTAAACATAATGGAAATTTACCTTGCCATAATCCATTTGCATCACAGGTGAAAAGTTCACGACTTTATTTTTGAACAAACCAAAATTGATAATATTTTAAAAAAAAAAGTTTTTTTTTCATCCATAGAAAAGAATGGGAAAAAAGATCAATAAATGAACAAAAAAAAATAGAATGATTGATTTTGCTCATCATTCATACCTGTTGTTATTGTTTGATGAAGTTATAAATGAATCATTACAGCTTATTACAACATGTCCCATTTCAATCTGTTCGAGAACACCTGTTCGTTCAATTTCTAAACGGCCACATTCAATATTAGATTTATTGCCCAAATGTTTTAATAATTTTTTATATGTTTCACCAATAAATACCGCTTCTAGGCCAACACTAAGATTACTGTTTGCTGTTTTTACAATTAATTCAATATTATCCGTTTTAATAATATTATCATCGAGCATCAATTTTGTCATTGTATTTGTTGTTGTATTGCTTTTAGTAATATTTTCATATAAATCACAGAAAAAATAATTTCCAAATATTTCTTCCTGTTCAATTACTTGATAGCTTGTATGTTCTAATTGACATTTTCTTTTGCATTTCCGTCATTCAATGTTATATTGATGATTGATTTTTGTTTTGTTTTTTTGATTGATTATAAAACTATTTGGTTAAATTATCAACATTTAAAAATTTTTGAATTAATTAATTACCTATTTTTAATATTAACATCAATTTTTGGCCGTTCTTTTTTAATTAAATCATTTTTCTGTATATTAATATCGATTAATAAATATTGTATTTCAACTGGTTGTTCAAATTGAATATTCCAACGATAACAATCCGAACCGAATACTGAAAGTACAGTGTTTTCCGGTACACGTGTAAAATGAAATGAATTTGGTGGCAATGGATATGGTGTTTCATCTGATTGTGTTAAATTCAATGATAATAATGATTGATCCGATCCCGAACATTCACTTGCTTCTAATCGATTTATTTTTGTTACAACTGCTTTACCTGTTTGTCGCATGAGAATTAATTGATTGAATAATTAGTTAATTTCCTTTTGATTTATTTGTTTCAAAAAAAAAATTACAACTTACCACAACGTGCCTGTTTACCATGCCAATGTCCATGACGACATTTTCGTTTTTGTACATGATGTGGGAATTGATTCTCTTCACAAATAATATAAATAGTTTCATTTTCAGCAAATTTAACCTTTTCAGTGGATACAAAACGTATTCGTGCTTTTGGTGGTATATTTGGTCGTGAACATGATCCAATTACAATCGATGAATTATTAATATTTTCCAATAATGATAATGAATCTGATGATGATGATAATAATGATTCATATCTTTGTATTTGTAATAAAATTATTATTATCGAAGTAAATTCAAATGAAAAGATAATAATATTGATTAACCGTAATGGTAGCAACATTTTATTGAAAAAAAAATTCCTTTTCAATCAAATATGTACACAGAAAAACCAACACAGATGAATGATGATGATTTCATCAAACAACAACAACAACAACAACGAAAATAGTTTGAATTAAAATCAATTTTATTTTAATATTTGAAATGTCCATATAAAATAATTAAGTTGATCATCATTATCATTATCATCATTTTACATTAATTTTTTTTTTGATGGTTTTTCTAATCATTCCAAAGTGATATCCCGGAAATGTTCACTATCCCTTTCCCTCTCATATCAATATATGATATATAGCAACAAATGTCATATACACATGCAAAAAAACAGAAATTAAAATCTCAAAACGGAAATCTATATGATGATGATGGTTCCGATTTCAAAGTTTTGTTTTATTCAACAACAACGACAACATATAGTAAAAAATCCGATTTCCATAATAGTTGAAATTTTTTTTCTTCGCAAAAATTTTATCTTGTTAACGCTTTTTTTTAGATTTGCATATTGAGTGCAATTTTTTTTATTGTCTTTTTTTAAAAAAAAAAAATAAATAAATTTTACTAATTGAGATTTGTAGTTTTTTTTTGTTCGTTTTTAAAGAAAAAATCATTTTTTTAATCATTCAATTAATTTTGATTTATAAATCTTTTCCAAATATTCACTATTTTTTTTGATTATCATTGATTCTTCATCTCTACGTTTTAATGACATTTCTAATTCAAATAATTTATTTGTTGTACGTTTTGCATCCAAACGTAATTCCGTTATAAGCATCTCTTTTTCTTGTAATATATGTTTCAATTCTTCTAAACAATCACCATTTGTTTTTTTCATTTTTATTGAACCGGATGCATTCGACGACGACGATGATGATGATGATGATGTAGAAGAGGTAGTGGAATTTGTATTTGCAGAAGTTGTGGATGATGATAATGAATTAGTACTTATTGTTTTCTTTTTATTCACCATTTTTTTCAATGCATTCGGTATCTTTGTTCGCCATTGATTCGAACGATTCGTTGTTGTTGTTGTTGCAGTGGCTGCTAATGAAATATTTTGATGATTCGCAAACATTTTATGATTTTCGTCATAATGATTTCGTTGATTTTGTGAATGTGAATGATGATGATGATAATTTGAAAAATGAAAATTTGCTTGTCTATTCATACTTTCCAACGATAGATGGGAGAATGATCGATTTAAAGGAACTGTTTGTGGTGATAATGGTGGTCTTGCAATAATCGCTGGTTTCGTCCATTCCGGATCATCATCATCATCGTCATCATCATCAAGATTATCTTTGACACCGACAGGAAATGGATTATAATCAATGACAGGCATTGTAACTGGTATTATTGTTGATTGTTTAGTTGTACGTTGTTGATTATGTTGTTGACATCGACATTGTTTTAATTCTTGATTCAATTCAATTATTCTTCGGCTCATTTCATTCATATCATAACGACGTTTTTTAATTTCATCTTGTAATTCAAATATTTTTTCATTTTTATCATTAATTTCATAATATAATGTTTCCAATATTTGTTCCTTATCCATTAATGATTTATAAATTTCTGTTATGGTCATTTCTTTTTCCATTAATTGTTTGGATAATTGGGTTTGCCGTTGTTGTTGTTGTTGTTGATTATTTCGATTATCCATAATACGTTGATCATTCATTTTTTTCATCAATTGTGAATTGTTCAAACGATTTAGATCTCGTTCAGAATTGGCTCGATCTTTTATCAGTAAATTCGAATCAATCTATAGTCGAATCAAATTAAAATATCATGGTATTCGAAAATATTATCAATATAAACATAACTTACCGTTCGTTGACATTTTTTTACCATTATCAGTGGACATTTATTTGTCATTTTATCTCCATTATTTTTATCTTCTTGATCATCATTCAATAAATCCATCGAACTATGATAGATACGTTGTTGTTGATTGGACATCATCGTTGATGATTTGGTTGATAATTTTTTTATTGTCGATTTTACCAATGATATTTGTGATTCATCTGATTTTGCTATTTCATCGTTAACATTCGATGGATTTGAAGTTTGATCTTGAGATTTTTGTTTTTCCGATTGTTGTTGTTGGACAGATTGTTTAGATCGATTTATTATTGTGATAGTCGATGTTGTCGAATTTGTTGATTTTCCATTCTGTAAAGGAATTGTTTCATCAGCATTTTTATTTGCAATTGGTAATGTTGGCTGATTTTTATTCACATTATTCGTATTGATTGTCGCTACCGGTATCAATGATGGTAACACTAATTAAAAAAGGTAAAGAAAGTAAATTCTTTCAAAATGTTTTTTTTGTTAAATAATAAAATACTAACATGGAACATGTTGCTGTTGTGGTGGACTCATCGATAATTATAAATTAAGAATTTTGGAAGTTGAAAGAAATAATCGATTAAATCATTGAAAATGTAAATGATCAAAACTGATATGACAAAAAATATAAAACGGATATTTTTAAAGGAAAATTTTTGTTCGTTTACCCTTATAATAATAATGATTGTATTAGTTTTGTCATTGTAAATTTGATCTAGATTATGATCCAAAGAAGAAAAAAAATAACTGTTGACAAGTAATGTTCCAGATGAAATTTTTCTTTCGCTTGATTGATATAATAATGATGAACAGAAACCAGTTTCTTTTCAGTTAATACCATAGGAAAATAAATGTCATAATGAATTTATATTTGGTATTTTTAAAAGTTTTGAGAAAAAAAAGAGAATAGACCAATATTATGTTTGTTTGTGTGCTCGTCGTTTTGAAAGGATATACCGTCAGGCTAATTTCTTTTCTTTTTTTGCTTTACTTTTGTTTTTTCTTTTCTTTCAGAAAATATTCATTAATCTGATTTTTTTTTGTTTAGCCAAAACGAAAACAATATTGTCGTCTTTGTTTTTATTTACCGTTATTTGTTCAATTATATTCAATGTAATTTAACTATGAATTATGTGTAAAAAAGGATAAAGAAACTAAACAAAAACCTGTATGATTTTAAGTGGAAAAATTATCCATTTTTTTTTTGTTAAACAATACAGTTCCAGACGAATGATTGGAATATGGAAATTTTTCTCATTCTTTTTTTTCGGTTTTTTGTTTTGTTTAGTTTATTTCACCGAAATATTATTTTTCAATAGATAATGATGAATGGATTATATAATTGAATGGATCTAATTTGAACATGATGATTGTTTGAAATACTTTGCTGCTTTGTTTTTGTTGGAAAAAAATCATTAAATGGCATTCATACAAATGATATTTATGAAGCTACTAAATCATCAGCGTTGTTTTTCTTAACATTCATCAATATTTAATTATTTCTATCAATCTTTGTTTCATATTTTTGTTTTGAATTTTAATTTAGTTTTTTTGAATTTTATTATTGAATGATTTATGCTGTCGTTATCAGTAATTTTTCTTGCGATGTATTTATTGGTTTCCATAGATAAGCCCAGTTTTCTGCCATGAAAGTGTAAATTCGAAACGACAAATTTTTCGATAAAGGATTGAATGAACGACAAATCTATGGATGAAGTTCAAGCACAGATTTTGTTAAATTGAAAAAAAAATAATTTTAAAATAACATTTTTGCAAAAGAAATTTGTTGGAAAAAGCAGATGATTGTCGTTTATATAAAAATGGTTTGTGTCAAAGTCGATTTCTAACTTTTTGTTTTACTACTTGAATATATCTCAATGTTAACTTTTTAACTTAAAAAAAATGGATCTAATTAATGTTAATTTGAATATTTTCAACGGTACCTATCAATTATTCAATGAAATCAATATTTATACATTCATCATTGATTTTTTGTATTGTTTAACAAAACTTTTTTATCGAAATAATTTCTTTGTAATCGAAATTCTAATCCTTACATTTGCCATATATTTAAATGCAATTGGACGGCATTTGTTTACCATCAAAATCGTTGATAAACTTGTTCATAATGGAATTATTCATAAGGAGCATCGATCACGTTTCGTACGTTTTGGATTGACTTTTTTAATAACAATCATAATTGTAATTTTAGCCGGAATATTCAACTATCAAACTGGATGTTTGAAAAATCTAAAAATATTATGGTCTGATTATAATAATGTTGATCAATCAATGCCAATTGTATTTATTATTCCTTTTTTAATGCATTCATCGTTTTATATTTATTCAACATATGCATTAATATTTCATGATGAACGTGATAAAGATTTGGTAATATTTTTGATACATCATTTGATTGTCATCTTGATCAGTACAATATCGTATGCAGTCGGTAAAACATATCTTACTTCAGCAGTTGGTTTTCTATTGGAATTAAATGAAATACTTATGGCAATGAAAATCATATTCAAACTACAGTTTCAATTCATACAAAAAAATGGTGAAAAATTACGTTTAGTATTTTTGCCGGTATTCACCATTACATTTGTTCATACTCGTTTATTTATTTATCCATATATTGTATTGGAATGTCTACAATTTTTAAAACAATCATTGGGTAAAAGTGAATGGGATGCCATTTATTTATCGATATATTTTTTCTATTTTATGATCTATATTATGAATTTTTATTGGACATTGCTTGTAATTCGTGCGACTGTTTATGCGTTTCGAAATGGTTTGGCAAATTTAGAAGATGTTCGTGAAATTGAAAACAATATCCCAAATCCAAATAGAAACAAGATGACTATAAATAATAATGGAGATTATAACAACAACAACAACAACAACAACAAATAATAAGAATCAATTTCTTTACATAAATGTTTTGTTGCTTAATTAAAAGTGCATTATTTTTCTTAAAATAGATATGATAATTTAATATTTATCGTTGTTGATTAATAAATGAGAATAATTTAAATAAAAAAAATCATCACCATCTATCGTCGTTTTCATAAACCAACTGAATGAATATTGTTATCATGCCAATTGTCGTGTGAATAAAGAAAAATGAATAAATGAATAGGACAATGAAAAAAACATCATGATAATTGATGTTATGACGTTATGGTTGTTTTTTTTTTGTTATTGATAAATGACTTTATATCTTGTCCATTAATTCAATAACATTTTTGTCATTTTTATTTAGAGAAGAGGATAATTAAATAGATACGATTCATTCATTGGATCCAGAATTTATAAACAATACCAAAGTTCATAATACAAGAAAAAAAAAGAAAACGTTTCATTTAATTGAAAGAAATGTACTGTCAACGTTATCTATCAACGATCATTTCGACACAACGAACCATTTGTTCATCGCCATCGTTATCATCATCATCAATATTCGGGCAGCATTTTCGTTTAAATGTTAATGAAACTACCAAACTAGTTTCAAATGTACGATGCTTGTCGTAAGTGTTCAATTAAGTTTCATTTGATTTTGTTCAAATAGCAATGTTTGTCATTTTTAAAACTGGTTTTGCACGACTATCATTTATTTGATTTTAATTTCTGTATATTTTTTTTTCATTTGATATAAATACAGTAGTCAGTCACCGATATTCATTCCACCAACAATAAAATCGTGTCATGTGGAAAATGAATCAATGTTTGCTTATCAACCTAGTTCTAAGGAACGTATAGAACTGGAACAACGGATTCAAAACTATCTTGGAACAGTAACCGAAATACCATTGGTTATTGGTGGTGAAGAAATAACCACCGGCAATGTTAGTGTTTATCAAAAATTTATAGAATTTTTTTATTTATTTTTTCTAAATGCACACAGATTGAAACACAATTAGTACCATTCGATCATGGCCATATTCTTGCTAAATATCACGTGGCTACACCAGAATTGGCTAAGCAAGCCATAGAGAAAAGTTTGGCTAAGAATATTGAATGGTCACAGACTGATGTTAATCATCGAATTGATTGTTTGCTGAAAGCGGCTGAATTATCTAGTGGCAAATATCGCCAAGATCTTAATGCGGCGACCATTTTGGGTCAGGGAAAAACGTTTGCACAGGCCGAAATTGATTCAGCGGCTGAATTGGCTGATTTTTTTCGTTTCAATGCACATTACCTCGAGCAGATTTACCGTTATCAACCATTGAGTCCTTCGCCATCAGAGACTAGAAATGCTTTTCGTATTCGTGGTTTGGAAGGTTTTGTTGCGGCGATATCACCATTTAATTTCACGGCCATTGCTGCCAATCTTTCATCAGCGCCAGCATTGGTTGGCAATGCTGTCGTCTGGAAACCAAGTCCAAATGCTTTACTTTCGAATTGGATCGTATTTAAAATTCTTCGTGAGGCTAATTTTGCCCCCGGTGTCATCAGCTTTCTGCCATCAACACCTGAAACATTCAGTCAAAATGTGATTGCTTCCCCTGATTTGGCTGCCGTAAATTTTACTGGAAGTGTGGCTACATTTCGTGCCATTTGGAAAACGGTGGCAGCCAACTTGGACAATAATAAAACATTTCCTCGATTGTAAGTAAATTAAACAAATAAAAAAATCCATTTATTCATGGCTATTCAATTGATCCAGGGTCGGTGAATGTGGTGGTAAAGATTTTCATTTCATTCATCCTTCAGCCGATTTGGATACTGCAATTGCACAGACCATAAGGGCTGCATTTGAATACAGTGGTCAAAAATGTTCAGCTTGTTCGCGTCTGTATGTACCAAAATCTGTTTGGCCAACGGTATAAAGCATACTTTTTTGTTTAACATTTGACTGATGATAATTTTCTATTAGGTAAAGGACCGTTTAGTTGAAATAACTGCTTCACTAAAAGTTGGATCACCACTCGAACCGGACACCTATTTATCAGCAGTCATCAACGAAGCATCATGGGATCGTAATACATCATTTTTAAATCATGCAAAGCAAAATTCATCCGATCACAAAATATTGGTCGGTGGTCAATCGGATAAACAGAAAGGTTATTTTGTTCAGCCAACTATTGTTAAAACTACGGATCCTCGAAGTAAATTAATGACAACGGAAATTTTTGGTCCAATTTTGACCGTCTATGTCTTTGATGATAATAACATTAATGAAACACTTGACTTGGTGGACAAATCAACGCCATATGGTCTAACTGGAGCCATATTTGGTCAAGATCGTGATTTTCTTCGTAAAGCTACAGAAAAATTGAAATTTGCAGCAGGAAATTTCTACATTAATGATAAATGTACGGGAGCCATAGTTGCACAACAACCGTTCGGTGGTGCACGACTTTCTGGTACCAATGATAAAGCTGGTGCTCCTCAATATCTTTATCGTTGGATTTCTCCACAGAATATTAAAGAAACATTTGTTCCATCACCAAATTGGAAATGATCAGTTAACTATGTTCCCTTAAGAAAAAAAAGTTTGATATCAATTACAGAACTTTGACCTCCTCTTTATATTACCGGTTAAAAAAACTTATTAAAATTGATATGTGAAATAATTCACAGATGGATAAATAAATTGTTGATTTTTTTTTTTAATTTTATAAAACTTATTGTGTTTAATTGGTTATTTTTGTTACCATAAAATATTTACAATCAAATAAGGGGGGTGACACAATCGAATGTTTTCGTTTTTTTTTTTGGTCATGAAAAAAGAAGAAAAAATCCCACTTGTATTGAATATAATCGGATGTATAAAATCAAAATCGGACATTTTTATCATTATAATCACCATCATCGACGAGATTATTTATTCGCTGTCAATGAATTTGATAGCCACTCCATGGCCTCATCAAGACCATCACCTTTAATGGCTGATGTTTTAAATATTTGAAATGTACGATTCTTTAGCACATCAAGACCAAGTTCATTATGTACTTCGGCCACTGATAATGCATTTTCCATATCTTGTTTATTGGCCAACACTACTAGTATGGCATTTTTTAATTCTTCTTCCTGAGAAATTAAATGAAAAAACATTGATTATTATCATAATAATACAACCACATTATTATTACCTCAAGCATGGACACTAATTCTTGTTTGGAAATACCTATTCGTTCACGATCACTACTATCGACAACATAGATAATGGCATCAGTGTTTGAATAATAACAACGCCAATACGGCCGAATCGATGTTTGACCACCAAGGTCCCAAACTTGAAATTTCAAATTCTTATATGTGACTTGTTCGACATTGAAACCGATAGCTAAAATTTCAATAATGAATAAATTAATAATTTTTATCACTAGATTTCTGACTTACTTGGAATTGTAGTGACCACTTCACCCACTTGAAGCCTATATAGGATGGTCGTTTTACCGGCACCATCTAAACCGAGTATTAATATACGCATTTCACGCGAACCGAATAAAGATTTAAAATATGATAATAGATTGCCCATAACTGTAAATGACTTTGTATTAAACGTAGAAATTAAAGTATTAATGTAATATAAGAAGTGATGACGACAAATATCGGTTTTGGAAAAAATTGATCACGGTAGTTTGTTTTTAATTAAGCGACTAAATTCTCGAATGATTGCTATCAAACATTCATCATAGAATTGTCATTTTAGAATCATTAGTATTGAATATTTCAGAAAATGAATTGATGTCGTAAAATGCGAAAAAAAAATCGAGAATGTTTATGTGTGTGTGTGTTTATTACCCAGACCAGAATTATATAAATCATCAGTGTCGCCGCTTCACGGGTTGACGTGTAGATTAAATAAACGAGTTCTATTTTGAGTGAATCAACCTATTTAGTCAATATGGAAAATATTGGCTTTATTTTCTGTAATTTTTAATTTGATTTACAAAATAAAAAATCGTTAAGTAAATATAATTGAATTTTAATTTTTTTGTACAAAGAACAATGAGGTTTGAAACAAGAATGAGATCATCAACAAGCTATCATAAGGTCATGTTTATTTTTAACAATTTGTTTGTAAAACTGTCAAACTGTTACCATTCATTTTGCCTGTTTCCGTATCCACATTTATTTGTAGACATGCTTCCAATTCTTTTGGTTGCGTTTCTTTTTCAGCAACTTGTTTATGATCACTTTGTTTTTTCTTTTGATTACGATTATTACGGATCAATAAAAGAATTGCCAATAAAAATATACAAATAAGACATATGAAAAATATAGCAAAGATAATCCTTCGAAGATAATAATGTCGTTTGGAATCGGTAAACAAATCCTGAACAAATGTATTCAAACCGAGCATTATGTTAGGATGTTGACATGTTTTAAAATAATATGGATTATTTGGCTGCCAATTTGATGGTTCGGCTATATTTTGAGTGAAATGAACATCAGCCAAATTTTCCTGGTTAGCTAAACGATAATGAAGATCACGATCAAAAAGAATAATATCGATAGTATCATTTAAGCCCGGTTCCACTAATGCTGCTGTCGTCGTGGTACCAATAGATAAGCCAGGATATGCAATCACTTGGGCATATGGATTATCGATACATTGGTTTTTATATAAAACCTTGAAAACTTTGTCACCTTGTATGAAATAAGCAATATCACCAATAACACCGAAAGCTCCATCTAATTTTCGTTTAAAATCGAACGCCATAGTCATAAAATATGGATCTGTTGCCGTACAAATTTCTTTTTCTAGGTCACAATTTGCAATTTTTTGTATTTCATTCCAGAAAATTGGCGTTGTACTATTCCAACGATTGATTTTCATCTCTAATTGAAACCATTCTGCCTGTCTATTCGATGTAATTTTCATCTATTTTTTTTAAACAACAATCATCAAAAAAATTCAAACTAGTCAAAAAAAAAAAATGATTTTCTAAAATCATACCTGAATCAATAGAATCGACCGATAACCTTTTGAACATTGACTGGTATCCTTTACAATGGCTACATCTGGTTCGAAATTATAAGGAATTCTCAAAGCAATACGTTCATTCGGTGATTGTTCATCAAGATTATATAACCAATAATAATGACCATTTGAAAGAAAATAACGTTCGAAATGATCTTCAAAACGGATACGTACAGCTGAATCAACAGATTCATTTTCACACATATCTGGTATACGGGATTTTGATTCGATAATGTTGACATATTGAATTAGAATGATGGATGAAATAATCCAATAATATATGGCGTTTAGTGAAAAATGTACATGTTTAGAAAATTTGATCGTATCAATCATTATCAATGAATTACAACCATCACTATTATCACCATTATTATCACAATCGATTAAATTCTGATGATTGAATTTCATTGTAGTTTGTTTGGTAGTAAATACAATTTTCAAATTACGAATACAAACACAAAACAAAAAACGATATTTATAATTCTGATAAACATAAACAGCAAATCGAGTAATTTTTCCAGTTCTAAGCATTCATGCATTCACTTTATTTTATTTTATTTTTTTTGGTTGATAGCTTTGATTAGTCGATTTCTGGTTGATGGTTGTTCTGTCAGTTCGGTTATTCACAACCAGTCAGGTCAACATTGTCAAAGAGTCGAAAATTTTTGAAATATAATTGTTATAACTGAAACGCAACAAAATTGTTCCTATTTTCTTATTTTTGTTGTTGTTGTTGTTCGTAAAATCAACATCAAAATGCCAACATAGCCAAAATCGGCAACCTGTTAGCAAAAAAAAAAAAACAAATCTAATGGTGGTGGCATTCGGTGATAATATCACCAACCAATCCCGTTATAATGGCTTGACTGGCCACACATATATTTTTATTTGAAACATTTTGTTTCGTTTCGTTAGACATTTGAATATTGAACAAATAATCTAACGGCATTTTAAATATATAAGCACCAAGGCGATTTTGTTCATATTTTATTTTTGTCTTTGATTGTTATCAAAACAGCAACAGGTGAATAATAACATGGTGAAATTTTTTCTGAATTAAGATTCAAAAATAAAATAAAATGTCTTGAGTTTGAGAGTGATTGAGTCGAAATAGTTGTTCGTCATTTTTTTTTTTTGTTTCAAATCATCATTTTTTTCTGAATACCGTAAATATTTCGTAATTTGTTGTTGTTGTTGGCCTTCTCAAATTTTCATCATAATTTTTTTTCTGATTGATCATTTCATATCTCTTTTGTATTGTATTCGGAGGGGAAGAAAGGATAATCAAAAATTTGACCATAAAACTCGATCTTACAATAAAAAATTGACAATAGAAAAATCGACAATGAAATGTGACATTCAAAAATAAAAATAAAAATAAAAACTCGGATACTATTTTAATGTTGTAATCATCTTGTTTGTTGTCATTTCAAAATAAATAAATTGAACATTGATTGAATCGAAAGAGTGAAAATGTAAAATACCTATGTTCAATGAAAAAAAATGAATAAATAAATCATGCATCATCGATTATAATAATAGTTTTGTTTGTTTTTGAATTTTGTTGCCCGAATTTTCAAACACTAAAATCTGATAAATAAAATGGATCATCATGCTCATTCTCTCTCTCTCTCTCTCTCTCTCTCTCTCTCTCTCTCTCTCTCTCTACTTATTTTTCTCTTTTTTTTTGTATATTTTTTTCCTGTTGTTTATAA